ATGTGTAAAGACCAAAGTAGCCAAGTCATTAAACATTGACTATGAGCTGTTGAATGATGAGGCTTTAAAAATCAAAAAAAAAAATTTTAGATAAAGCAAAAGTGCTTTGATAAAATGATAGAGCTTCTTGTAGCAAAAGTGAAGACAGTGGAATCAACTAAAATCAAAATACAGATCTTGACACTTCCCCCTACCGAATATTCACACAAAAAAGTCATGAATGTGTTTGGTGTTTCAGAACACATTGTATGCAAGGCTTGCAAATTGTGTTTGGAAAGAGGTATTTTAGTGTGCCAGAACCAAAAAGGGGCAAGTCTTTGCCTGCTGATATTGCACAGTTAGTGGAAGCATTTTACCAAGATGATGAATAAACTCGTCTGATGCCAGGCAGGAAAGACTATGTTATATTCATCAGCAGAAAAGACTCATCCTGTGCAACTTAAATGAGAACTTCAGAGCATTCAAGGAACAGAACCCAACAGTATCTTTAGGGATTTTCAAAATTTTGTAGTCAAAGGCTGAAATGGTGTGTCCTTGCTGGTAGTGCAGGTATGCATGTTGTATGTTTATGAACTATCCACCAAAATATGAAATTATTACTGGAACCACTGAATGTATCATATAAAGATCTCTGCAAATATATTGTCTGTAATACCAGTAGCAGAGAGTATGATTCATTGGTGCCCAAATTGCCCTAAATCATCAGGGCAGCTTGAAAAATTTCTTTATGACAACATGGAAGGATATATTGATAATGCTGAATCAATAGAGTTCTCTCAATGAACAACAACTGACTGATCAACTTTGACAACACAAAAGGAATCTTGTCAAGCTTACATTGATTTAATTGTTTTGCAACTGAATAAATTAGCACCTCATTCTTGGCTAAATCACAATCAAGGTACTTAAAGCAAAGAAAAGAGGAGATTAGTGATAGTGAAATTTTGTTCCTGGGAGATTTTGACGAGAACTACAAATTTATAGTTCAAGATGAGATCCAGAGTTATCATTGGAATACTTCACAATGTACTTTACATCCAGTTGTACTCTACTTTAAGCTTGAAAATGCAATGCAAAGTGAATGTTTCTGCATTATGTTGAGTGACAACTCACATGATGTAGCATTTGTTTATATGGTACAGAAAAAAATTATTGAGGTAATCAAAGCTACCTTGCCAAACATAAAAAATATTGAGTATTTTACTGATGGTTGTGCAGCGCAATACAAGAATTATAAGAACTTTGCCAATTTGTGCAACCATCAGAAAGATTTTGGGCTCAATGCAAAATGGAATTTCTTTGCAACAAGTCATGGTAAACAACCATGTGATGGCATAGGTGGGACAGTGAAAAGGATAGTGTCAAAAGAAAGTCTCCGAAGACCAACTATCAAACAAATCTTTTCTACAGAATCTATGTTTGAATATTGAAGGTATCAAATTCATTCTGGTTGAAAAGGAAGAAGTTTAGGAAGTGAATAGGAGTCTCACCATGAGATTCGAAAATGCATCCACAATCCCAGGAACAAGAAGTTTTCATCAATTTATTCCACTCACCAGAGATAAAATAGCTATAAAACAATGTAGCAAAGATGAAAACTATGACCTATTATATGACTTTTCTATTGGGACTGAAGAAAAACCAGTAAATTCTTTTGTTTCAGGATATGTTTGTTGCAAGTGCGACAATAAAATTTGGATTGACATGGTCCAGGAAATTGATATGGAGAATAAGGACTTGCTGATTAAGTCCATGCACCCAGCTCTTCCATCACATTCATTTTACTGGTAAGAAGATTTTAAGAATATATGTTTTGTACCATTAATGAATCTTCTGTGCACTGTTGATGTTTCTACAACAATAAATGGTAGAGTTTATCATTTGTGCAAGATGGATAAATTATCTTTGCAAAAAATTATATCCAAAACAATTTAGTCTATATGCACAACAAAATTTAGTGCATAGTGTAGTTTAAATGTAATCTTTTAAAGACTCTTTGTATATTCATTTTTATTATGATTTTCTTCTGAATGAAACAAAATTTAAATATTTATGTTTCATGAAAATAATTCTGAAAAATTATTTAAAAAATAAATTTTAAAAAGTAATGAAAGCATTTCCTTCAACTATATAAATATGTTAAGTGCCAACTTCAAATATTATGTTTTAAAGATTCACATTTATCTTATGACTTTTTTGAGAATGAAAAAAAATCAAATGTTTTTTTGTTTCATGAAAATAATTTACCAAAATAAAATTAAAAGAAACACAAACAGAAAGAATTTCTTTTAACTTCATTTGTTAAGTGCCATTTAGAAATTTTCTATGTACTGTTGATTATCATACATGAGGCAATGTTTACCACTTTTAAAGACAATCTATCTGTACAAAAAGTAATATCTGCAAAATATATTTAAATAATTTTTTTTTTAAAATTAATAAAAACAATCTTATTGAATAGTTTAAGAAGTTACTTAGCACAATATCAACATTTTAGAGGTCATGGAGCATTAGGATGATTGTCTTTAATTATAATCTTTCTTGGAAATCCTGCACATACGTAGGAAAAAACTCTAAAATTTGGCAGGGTCATATCTTCTAAAGTAGACATAAAACCCTCACAAAACTTTTTGGTGAACTTGAGCAGGCATTGTAGATGTTAGGCAAAAAATATTATGAAATTTGAAGAGGACGTATTTTTGATAGACTGACCGTAAGCTACATAAGTGAAAAGTTGTTGATTTTGGGGTCATGTATTAGGATGAGCAAAATAAAATTTTGTATCAAGTGTAGGCTTGAAATATTTACATACTTGGGTTCTACACTTCTTATTTGAACTAAATACCAAATTTCATAAATATTGAAGGTATGGAAGTATTTTTCTTTAATTTTTAAAAAACACTGAAATTTGGCGACGTTGCACGGCCTTAATTTAGAGGCAAAATAGGAAAAATATGCACCCCCCCCCCTTAAAATTGGAACGGTAAAGTTTAATACAGAATAATTTGGCACCCTTTCCTAACTCATGAAGGGGAACATTTGTGCCAAATTTCAAGTAATTTGGTGTCGGTGGGTGTAATGCCCTGGTGAATTGACATGGAATGACCCGATAATGCTGGACAATTTCCTCACAGATGAAGAAAAGATTTGAGGCAATATATATATGGTTCTACAGAAGGATGCTGAGAATTCTATGGACTGAGTGTGTAAGCAACTAAAAAGTCTTAAGGAAAATGGAAGCAAAAATGACGTTTATACTCAGAATCAGAAATGTGCAGTTGAAAATTCTTGGACACATGGAACATGGATGGCTTACAGAATTTGATATGTATAGGACATTGAAGGTAATATGGACAGGGGAAGGCAGCAAGCCACCTACCTGGTCAGCTTGTGTTGAATGCATGGTAGAATATGGGGGGAGGCTTGGAAATAGGACACACTTTTATAAGGGCTACAAGGGACAGGAAGTTGTGAAGAGCTATGATTGTCCACATCCTGAAGGCACATAGAAGAAGGTGCATTTATAAATGTTGAAAACTGCAGCTTTCAAGGGCTTTTTAAATTTCAGTCAAAAGTTATGGTGTCCTGGTATGACAATAAACTACATCTGGCAGCAATACCTCTGATTGGAAAATAAACCTCTTAATTGCATCTGGCCAATACCTCTGATTGAAAGTTTTGAATGGACTCTTAATTGCTGTTCACAGGTCCACCCAGAAATGGACTGGTAGCACCTATTAGGGCCCTATCTATGGGTAATTAGCTAACACCCAAACTGGGGTCAAAGCACTATGAAAGTATAAAAATAGATTTTTATAATAAAAATACCAGCAATACATTTTTGAAAAAAATATTACCAGCAATACATTTGACTCTCAGCAAAAACCCTCTTTAAAAAATATGTCAATGAAACCTGATCTACAAACTGATTTCTTACAAAGAATACATATTCTATTCATACGAACCTATTGTAAAAAATCTTGTCAGCATTAAATAACCCATTGTGGTTGATATGTCATAAGACAAATCTAACCAAACCAAAAGTTATTACTTTCAGAAGTTAAAGGTTATTCAAAAAAATTATTACTTTAATTTTTTATGCTTTACCAAGGATACTGTATCAAGGTTACCATACAAATAGATTTAAGTCAATAATAAAATTTTTAAATAAGACAATAAATCAACTCAAACTTCTTGAAAACGTCACATTTATTGTGTTTTGATCCTTTAATCCCATAAATTTTCAGAAATAACCCAGAAAATAACCATGTTTTAATGATTTTCTGTCAAAAAAATCTGAAGAAAATGCTCATTTTTACATGGAAAACAAGAATATTTTAAAACTTCAATGTAAAATAAAAAAATAATCCCCAAGACAGGACATGTTAACCTCTCTCTATATATATTCAGATATATTCAATATATCTGAATATGTTTTGCCTTTTTTATGCATAAAACTGTTTGTCCATTGTGGTCCATTCATAAATTCAGTTACCTTTTGTTGACAATATCTAGATGCAGTAAAACCTACTTCTTTTATTTGTTGTATGACAATAAGTCCAAATAATATAAAGTCTCAGAAATATAGACAGATGATCTTTGTTCAAAAGCAATAATTTCAGTTTCACGTGGATATAACAATGGATTTTGTAATTATTACACTTTTAATTTTTAGCCCGAAACAACAATATTTTTGAATTGTGCCTCCCTAATATGAATGAAATGAACCATCAACCTCTGCAAACATTATTTTTACTCAAATTATTCCAATATACATGCCAAAAGCAGTCAGTGTAAGTTTTGTGAAGATGCATAAATACTTGAAAATGTATATACATGCCAACAGCAGTCACTGTAAATTTTGTGAAGATCTACAAACATGTTTACAGCAGTAGAAGTGTTAAGACAAAACAAATGTTTGTTAGTTTTCCCTTTTCCTGGCTGTGGATAGTATTTCTTTGACAAACTTATTTTTTACTATTTGTTTTATCTATTTTCAGAAAATGGGATGGAGGATTTGTTTGAGGATACAGAAAGTGAACCTTATCACTTTATTGTGTTAGACTCACAGGACACAGAAAACATTCCTCCTTTGTGGAATGACGCAAGCATCCTGAAATCACTCCCAGCCCTACAGATACCAGAAACTCAGGCAAGGCTCAAATGTATTTTATTCTAAAATCTTTTTAGTAATTATTACATGGTTGCATTTTATGTTCTATGGCTTACAAGGAAAATATACTTAGCACCAAATGAATACTCAAAACAGTTTTGTATCACATTTAACTTATTCTTAGTATTTCATATTATGAAAATATATTAAAAATAGTGTTTACCAAAACTTAGGGTTAGCCTTTTGTCAGACTGAAGTAACTATCTTTGGCTGTCCACCATAACAAGATGGACTCAAAGACCAATTTTCTAGCATAGTGGGTTTGATTTGATCCTCACTGAGTGCCCCTTTTACTGCAGTGATGGGCCAGACTGAACTAATCTGAGTAAACAAACACTGTTGGTTTCAATCTGTGGGAATGACTGTAAAACACTTCCCCCTTTTGAATTTATAGGAAGAAGCACACAAATGCATGCTGGGACTTTTTCCTAGCTAATAAAATAAGCCAGTTCTCGATTTCATCTGACTCAGTCCTGGTCTGGCTTGTCTTGAAGACAGAATGCTACATTTGCTTGTTTGAACTTGCTTTTGTGTGTCAACCCTAATTTTTAGTTTGTGAATTTTTTTACCATATTACTATTGCTTTGCCTACTGTTAATTTGCCTTGCATATATTGTTTGCTTGCTTTATATTATTTTTTGCCCTGTTCTTTTCTTTTTATTGCAAGTTTTGTCAAATCTGCTTGTTGGGCAGTTCTGCCATTCATTTATTTTACATTTCACCATGGCTACTCAACCCCACAAACACAAAGCATTGAAAAGAATCACTTTTGGGTCATTGTCAACAGGGAACATATATAAAATTGGCATGTCACTATGTGGTTGCAAAGAAAAAAACCAAGTCTTACCTTGAAAAATAATTTGTGTTATCTGGCGAAAAAGAAAATCAGAATCAAGATTGGGTTGACTTGTCAACCGATTTATTAATGGATAGGAGTATTCAATATTTACAAGGCTTGATGTGTGCATATGTAGGCATAAACCCGTTAATTGTCTACATGCCATTGTTAACAGGGAATATATATAAAACTATATATGTGGTGAGGAAGGAGAATGCCAAGCCTTACCTGGAAAAATAATTTGTGTTTTCTGTATTATCTGGCAAAAAAAAAAATCAAGATCAAGTCTACTTTAGTAAAACTACAAAATATTGTCATTTCTGTGCACTTACTTACCAGTCTTGACACATCACACCCTTTCTAATGCCAATAAAAGAACACTACTTTGAATGGCAGCAGTATTGTTCTTTGTGAGTGAAGTAGGCAGTTGTATGTTGCTAATTGTGGATACAGATTTATGACCCTGAATCTCTGAATTGGGATCTGACCCACTTTCCCATTGGTATTTTTTTACTCTTTTTCTCTATCCTTGTATTTATACCATGACCACCACAAAGCTAACCAAAAACAGAGTTCATATGTGTGTATTTGGGAAAACCACTTTCCCTTAAATATCTTACCTGCCACTAATGAAAAAAGCAGTTATCTTATAATCAAACTTAAATGGAACTATATATATATGAAGAAAAACTATTATTAGCCAAATGGTTTCATCCTTTGTGGGACTTTATCAAGGCAAATGTAAGGATTTATTTTGTTATATGTGTTTATATACAAGAGCAAGGATGTCATTGGTTTATCAAGAATTTTAAATTTGAGAATGTTCATGAATATTCATTAGGTGGCTGAAAGGTCAGTCAAAACATATGGAAGACACAAAGTGCCATAATTCAATGTCTGGTAAGACAAAAGTAAGTGAGTAATATTCAAGAAATATTTTTTTTTTCATTTATAAAAAAAAACATGGACAGATGTGTCGGCAATAAAATGTAGTGTCAAAAGGATAGTTTCTCCCATGACACTGATTTTTTTTTTTAACTACCTTCACTCCTTGGCAATGTTTATTGTTTTAAAAAGCAATGATTAAAATTGTAATAAAACCTAAGCATGTGATGAAAGTGAAATTATACATTTTTTGTTCTTGAGAATTTACAACAAAAATATTAAACACTAAACATTGTAAAAACTAATATAGTGCAATATTTATCATTTACTAATTTATAAAGAAATAAAACTGAAAACAATTTTTTATTTATAAATTTATAAACATTTACTAAATTATTAAATATGTGAACCAACAAAGAAATCCTTATTATTTAGCAGTTTATAAAGTTTGAATCGATTGGCAATTAGCCGATGTTTTGTCAACCATTCCAATAAATAATATAAATAGTGTTTATTATTTGTGTTGTCAATTTTCACGAACATCGAAAATGTATAAATTTACTTTCATGTTATGTTTTATTACAATTCTAATTGCTTTTTAAAACAATAAACATTGCTGAAGACTGAAGGTAGTTAAAAAAGTGGGTTCATGGGAAAAGCTGTCCTTTTAACACTACATTTTATTGCAAGCACAAAAGTCCATGTTTGCTGAAAATTCATTTTCTGCTGAAATGTTTTTGTTTAAGTCATCAATACTGTAACATGAAGAATAAAGCAATTTACAAATTAAAAATAAGTGTGGGGTCTGCATTCACTCTCATGCAGATGATGATGAGGATCCAATATTTGTTACAAAACCTTAAAATAAAATCATTCTCAAAATGGAAAAGAAATGAAAAATACTGTTGCAGAAATAATGATACCTTTATTTTGTATTAAAAAAAATGAAAATATTTTAAAACAATTTCTTAAGATTGTTTACACCTTTTATATTCAGACTATTGTCCTCATCTTTGATGTTGTTATCATAATGTTTCAGCCAATTTTCCCTTCAGCCTTAATCATGTGTATATTAATCTGGGTAACCTACAGGGAATTATGAACTGAACCCTTTATTTAATCTATAAGGATAGACTGTTCTTGGTTCAATGTGCATGTCTAGGGATATCTTTTCTAGTTCTTATTTTTTAGTATTGCTCTGTTATTGCTCTCCCCGTTTCCACTGAGTTCAAGTACACACTGCCTGGCTCAGGAATTGAACTTACAATTACTATGTTCCCAAATTCATAAACCAATGCTTTGATCTATTTGTTGTCCAACAACAAAAATAAGGACAATAGTTTGAATGTAAATGATGAAATTTCTTATCAGTACAAAACTTAAATATAGCTTGAAGAACAATAGTATTCTTTTCTCCCATAAAAGTTCTGCCATTAATTCATTTATGTACCAGTGTGAATTTGGTTACATTGGACGACCTCACAAAGGTTGGAATGCAGGATGAATCGGCATATCCCAGTTTGGATCAGAAATGGTCAATCATATCAAGCAACAATGTTGGCATAATCAGAGTGTGTTTCAAATTCAGTGATTGTCTAAAACATGTTATTGATAATCCTGTTTGTATTGACACTTTCTCATTCAACATATTTAATATTCTAACTAGCACGTTCGTCTTTTTACTTAATGATTTGGGAATCTTTTTTTAAGATGTCAACTATTTCTCTGCAAATAGAAGGACTTTCTTTACTCCTTTAGTGTCTCTGCATTATTGTGGGTGACAAATTATTTTCCACCCTACAACCCTTTTCTCACAGATGAAACATTGCAAGCCTCTCACTGCCCCATCGCTATTTCCATGAAAAGTTCTCAGATGAACTACAGTCCTTACTTCCATTGGTTCTAACCTTCACAGTTAAGACCTGCCATGCCACACCCATTGTAGTGAACCACCCTTATTCCCTTCCTATTATATTGGTGCAATGTAAGTTCAACTCAAGCAGCTTCTTCCCGTGAATCACTGCTCCATGGAACTTCCAAGAGGGTGTTTTCCCAATCACTACAATCTTAACCTGTTCAAGTCTAAGATTAACCATTATCTTCTTCACATATCTGCCTAAATTGTACCGCTTACCTTGAGTGGCTCCCGGCTTTGTACAGAGTGAACATTACTGTCAAAAAAAAAAAGTTGGCTTACTATTGGTAACTCATATTTTTTGTTAGATGACAGATAAAGTTTACTTTTAAACTGTTTTACCTTGTTTTTATTGGTAATTCTATTTTACCGTTTAACATTTTAAACTTATCAATGATCTTCTTTAATAAGAACTGCTTTTTCTTTGTCGCAGTTAATTTCAACATGTCTCTGCTTGTTCAAAATATTTTTATTACATATTTTAACACAGAAATAATATATAAAATATTATTTCTATGCAAAACTTAGTAATTTTTCTTTCTTTTCCTTTTCCATCATAAACATTTCCACACTTGATTACAAAAGCAATTGTTCTAAATTATAAAGCATTATATTAAAAAAAAATCATTTAATGCTAGACACATGTTGATTAGAGATTAGTTGAAATACAAGTGAGACTAACTTTAAAGTTTGGAGTTTGGTTAATTACAAAGTAGTCTCCCTTTTAGCCATTGCAGCTAATTATAAATTCCATAAATAGAATATGACTTAACATCAAACTTAACAAAAACATTTATTAATGAAATATAAAGTTTATATATTTTTTGTTTTTCTAATTGCACAGTATGATTTTGAGTTGACCAGCATACCTGATACACCACTTTCACCTGTCCATAATTTTAATCTGTCAAAAGTACACCTGTTTGATAGTGAGTTGGGTAAGAATTTTATAGCATATTTTTTTATTATAGAAAAGCTCTTTAAATAAGATATATTTTTCACTTTATTTTATTAGATGTGTGCAAAACCTCTTTTTTGTTTTCAAACTGCATACACAGTTGAAACAGTTTTGAGTTTTCATTTATCCTGTGTTCAGAAGAAATATGATGGCAGACAAGATACATATGTAATACTGCATGTTGTTTCTTTCCACTTTTAACAAAACAGCAGCAACAGCAGGAGTGAAGAAGCTGATTGATGATGAACATGGTTTGATTGGAAGCAGCATGCATTGTGAATGGATTGTGAAGATCGAAAAAGGACAAATCATGCAGCAGTATGCCACAAGAATTTAGAAATGGTGACTTGCATGAAATTTTGGTTGATGACTCAATGTTGGAACTGGATGAAAAAAACTTGGTGTTTATCATCCAAAAGTTGCAAGACATTTGCAAAGTATGAGAAAAGCACAGTAAAATGGATTCTGAATGAATTGCCATAGTAAAGAATTGGACAGTGTTGTAGCATACCTATGGGCAATAATGGATATGTCCCCATTCACATAAATACAGTAGTAAATACTGTATGTTGGTCTGCAGTTGGAGATTTGTCTCCAGTTGTGCTGGTCAAACTCTCTGCCTCTGGGCAGAGAGGATCCCCAGATAAGGCTATGTCAAAGGGCAGAGTCTCGTTTCGGGGAAACAGCTACCTGACCCCGTTTTATACGCGGTCTATGGGGAATTTTTGGCTGAACCTATGGGCATTAAATTCAGCCTTGTGCCACATTTGACTGCATGGGGCTGTTGGTAGATATCTTGTAGTTGAAGATTTATTGTGGAATTCACTTGACTCACTTCTAGCAGTTGACTACTTCTATGCGCTGCTGGCAAATCTTATATGTGTTGTTCTTGTCCTAAGTATTATCCCTAGGTTACAACAGGTAGCATTTCATTTCTTGCTAAATATGAACAAAAAAATCTTTTTTTATGGAAGATTGTTTCTGGAGATGAGAAGTAAATTCATTATGATGATCCAACTAAAAAAAACCCCCCAAAAAACGGGCTGATTCAGAACAGCCTGCAACATCAGCAGCAAAAAGATAAGCTTTTTTATTAGGAAAAATGTTATTGCTCTGTATTTGGTAGGTTATGAAGGCCATATTGTCTTATAAATTTTCAAAGACTTGTGAAAGAAACTGTTACTACAGATCATGATGGCATCATCTTCAAAGATGAAGAAGAAAAAAACATTTCCATGACAACGAATCTGGAAAGTCATACTCATGTATGACACCACATGTGATGCAGCCTGAAACAACCATAGTCATGTCAGGGCAAGATAGCCTGATGGTGGGTGGGTTCATTTCTCTTTTTTTTTTTTTTTTTTTTTTTTTTCAGGTTGTTTATGAATTCAGAGTTGTCATTCTTTTAGTCTGATTATTGTACCAAGTCTGCCCTATTATTTCACCCATATCTGGTGAACTGAGGGGGATGGTGAATAGATGTATTCATGCCTTCTCCAAGGGCATTAGTGTGAATGTAAACAGTCACAACTTAACCAATCCCATTTCCTATGCTGATGAAAATTATGCCAACTGAGTCTCTTTGGTTGCTCTTATAAGCTCTCAATACCATTTTGATAGCATTGGTTATAAAATGTGAATGCTCATTCCTTTGTCATCCACCACTTAGATGGCAATGGTCTGAAAATGATTTTACGATAAATCATCAATTTTATTGCATCATTAACACATTTGAATGCTTAATGAGAAGGAAATTATTTTTGCTTATAATTAACATATTTTCATAATTTTGATCTTTGATTGAAATAATGTGTATCATTGTCTTATTATATATTCCCTTTGTGAACAAAGCTTCATAATAATGCAGAAATTATGATAGCATAACTAACAAAGCCACAAGTGCTTCATTCAATGAATAAAGACATTATTCTTCTATAAAACGATTTTAACATGATGCCTTTTTGATGAAAAGATAAAAATAAATCAGAATCATGAACACTATATTTTCTATTGGTTTCTATTTTCTATAAATGAAAGTGTTTATTATTTTGATTGAATTACAGAAAATTTTCGCTATATGTAGGTGTACCATATTTTATAATTTTCTCTATATATAGACGTACTATATTATAACATCTTATATATATATATATATATATATATATAAACCTAATCCTAAGGAGCCAGGCAAACCTACCTAGGTTTCACCTAAATGGATCATCAGGGCAATGCTGGTTTTGCTCTACTTTGTGTATTGAGTACTTTACGTAGTTGTCTTTTTACATGTTTAGAGTTTTTTTTTCTTTGGACTCGGAACTTGAACATTTGATGATTGTTTTCGCCTTGGTTTAATGTTCTTGGTTCTTTCTTTTTTTATTCCTCATTTTTCCTTGGGTACCGATTTGTTCTACTGCAAGTTGAGCTATCCAAGGTTTTTACAAGCGAGTACCACCATTTATATATATATATATAGGCATACCATATTTCCTAATTTTCTCTATATGTAGGCATACCATACTTTCAATAAGAGTGGCTTTCTCTCAGTAACTAAGAGAACTTATCTGTATAAACCCTTCCTATGATCATTAAGTTTCTGTTAACAGACAAAAATGTGTTGGTGTATATACTATAAAACTTTTTTATCAATAAGAATTGTTCCTGATTTTATTTTCTCTACAGATGATTCTTGCAGTTTAAATCTAAATCCAAAAAGAAAAATAATGGATGACCAAAATAAGGTTATTGATGAAACCTGCAGGTAATTGATTTTTTTTATTTATATTACATTCGTATTTCTTTAATGTCTTGTCTTGCTTTAGTAGCATCTCTAAATGTAGCATTAATATGAGCATTTTACTGTTTGATGCATCACCTTAAGCCATACACTAAAAATAATTTGAATAAATTTATATATTAGTAGTAGGAATTAAAATTAAATAAAAGTTTGCTAATTTTTTTACTATAAATATTTTTTATTAATTATATATAATTAACTAAGATTGAACTTACTCCAGTTTGGATTAAAAAAAAAAACTATTATACAAGGTAATTTCATAATCTACAGTACAATCACAGAATATTAGTAAATTTACTAAATAATACTAAAAATCTTAACTCTTGGAACACATATTTTCCACAAGTCAGTGTATGTGCGTATTTTAAGTCAAGACTATTTCTATGAATGGTGACTTGTTGTACTACTTTATTTTTGTTATGTAAAATATTTTTATTTATTTACTTTTAATTTACCCATTGATTGCATAAAACTTTTCCTAACTCTTAAAAATACATTTTTAATTATTGGAATGGATTTTATTTCCATTTGCATTCTTTTTAAAGTTTATACATTTCACAATTTCAGTGAGGCTTTATGCAACACATTCTTAATATTGTTTTTAATATATAATTATGAGGTGTGTGCAAAAGTTCCCAGCACCCACTTCTTTAAAGCTGGAGACTGAATACAATGTAGAAAATTTAATTTTGTCAAATGAAAATACCAGAAACTTTTACACCTCCTTAATAATCTATAATTTTTAGTATAGCTGGCCACTCGTATTTGAGGATACCCATCTACTAGGATGGCTAGCCAATCCCTATTGCAGACGCTTGCTCAGGTGCATTTGTGTTTATTCAACACCTGAAGAACCCAACTGTGGTTTATTGTAGTGAAAGAGATAATCAGTTACCCTGAAAAAAGATTGTGTTTTGTGTGCGATCTGCCAAAGAAAAATTACCAAAAAGTAGTTAGCAAAAATCTACTTCAATGACTAGAATCTATGCTAATGTTCTCCCCTCACCTGAATGGCATGACCAATCAGAAAGATCTCTCGATGAACCAAAGCCATTGTTTTTCGCTTATAAAGGCAGAAGATTTTATGAGCCGAACACGTGTTTTTGCTCGTGAGAAGTGAAGGTCTGACCCCATTTTGTCGTTTCTACTTTGCTTGTTGAACTGTGATTTGGCTACAAGTGTTGTGGTCGAGAAGCAGAAGGAATCTGTTGCAGTTGCTACTATAAGTTGACAGTCTTTTCTTTACTACAACATTTATACTGCAAGTTTCTGAGAAACTAGCATAATCAACAATTTGAACAAGGCCAGTACACTCAAGCCCTTGGCCACGATGACTTGTGACTATCGACGACCCCCAAGTGTTCCATCTACCCAATTTCACTCACAAAGCTTGGGTCAACCTATGGTATGGTTTTCAGGCACCTTTCTAAAGGTGTTGCACGCTGGGATCGACCCCTCCAGTTTGAAACATAACCCTGAACCAATCAACCATGGTGAGATTTGAACCCAGAATGCGAACATTCTAACCACTCAGCCATATGCCCATATAATCTATAATTAATATTAAATTATATATGATAAGAAAGTATCAAACTTTTATTTAATTTCAATTCCTACTATTAATATATAAATTGATTGAAATTATTTTCATGGTTAGGCTTAAGGTAGTGAAATTAAAAATTCTTTGCATCTCTTATCACCCACAAGGATATTTAAAGAATTTTTGGTTCAGTAGATTTCATATCTTTCATTTCTCTTTTATTTATTTATTTTTTTTAAATAATTAAATCTCTAATTTTTCATATATAATTATTTAAAGATATTCATGTATAAAAAAAAAAAAAAAGCAGTACAATGTTGTCTTTTATCATACATTAGTTTTCAAATTAGAGACTTGGGCAAATATTTTTTGGGTATTTATTAAGTGTTGTAACCTCATTGTCAAATTTGTTGTGGGATGTGAACTAATCTTAATGACAGACAAGATTATAATTTGAATAAAGTGTCACCCATGTGTTACGTGAAAATGGCCCCTTGTTGCCAAAGAATGTTGCTTTTAAAGGGTGTGTGATTAATACAATTAGTAATGTAAAAATTGAAATGATAACAACATGCAGGTACTTAACAGAATGAAATTTATTAAGACTACATAGAGATGTATGTTGACTTAGTTGTATTCAGAATGGATTGAAATTAAATATGTGATTGCATGGTAGTTCAGTTTGTCATGTTTGAAAACAAGACAAGACAAACTCTAATGAGTGGAGATTAAAAATCCGCTAAGAGACGTAACTCATATTGAGTTTGGAGTTATCTCCCATTTAATTTCTCCGTGGAGTTTTTTAAACATTTAAATTACTATCAAACTTTAAAATCTGTTTTTATCTAAATTGCTAAAGCTATACCACCCCTCTTCTTCCTCCGAAAACCCTAAGTACATCTCTTTTCTCTTTATGTCCCCCTTTTTTTCTTTTTCCCTTTTTTCTCCTTCCGTTTTCACATATCATTTCCATTGAGTTGACCGATTAAATAGATCAATATCTGATCCTTACCCCCTCCTTCTTCAAAATTAAGTATTATAATAAAAAGAAATTTTAAAATTCTCCCTTCCCTCTCTAAACTCAACCATGTCTCACACCATTCCTTGCTACCTTCTATGTTAACTTATATAAGATTAATACTGCCTGTCAAAAGTGTAAATTTTAATTTCATTTTTCGTTTCACCTTTTGAAAGTGATATCTGAAGATCGAGGGAAAATTAAGTCTCTGGTGAAATAAACTATTACAATGGAGCCTTAAAGTGGTCTGTTTTTCTTTAAATTATTAGCTGTGAATTAACATTGAGCTCTCAGGATTTCATCCTCATTCGGATTATCTATACAGATTACCAAGATTTTCGTTAATTAACTATATATATATATATATATATATATATATATATATATATTTTTTTTTTTCTTTATTTTAGAGTTCTTCCTAACACTTAAATCTGACAAAAAGTCATAAATATGGAGCACCTTGTAAAGATTACTAGATGGTCTGCTAATCCAAATTATTGTTATTCTGTGGTAAGATATTTGGAATACAGAGTGAAGTAAACACTACTTCGCTTATAATTATTTATTATGTTTGGCAAAAATTCACATATATCACACATCCAAGGGAATTGATCTCATTATGGTACTGTGATTAGATTGTTAACTATAGCTCAGGCAAACAAAACAGTGTTTTGTGTTTGCTTAAACAATAATTTGATTCAATTATTTCATATTTTTATTTTCATAGTCAAGGTTCATCTACAAGTGATTCCAGTGGAAATTTTGGAAAGTCATTGAATCAGTCAATGATTGAAAATCCTAAATTTTATGAAAAACCAAATTCTCCAGAATCTTCAAGTGAGTAAAATTGATTCTTATTGATTAATAACTTCTTTTTTACTGTAATATAAGATTCTTTTTTTCTTATAACTATCAGAATTTTCCACCACTAGTATTGTGAAGAGGTGGTTGTGCGCTGAAAGTTTTAGCTAGGAGTAAGATGAGTTGATGAGCAGTAATTTGAAAATACTGTCATAAAACAAGCAGGAGTTCATACACTGACATTCCAAAAGGTATGGTTTAATGGCAATAGTAGATGGTACCAATAAACCCTGGACATCATGGAAATCAAGTTCTGCTATCTAGTGAGTTAGTGTGAACACTGGCTATACTATTTGTGGTAAGATGATGTGAATTATATGAGGATAAACTTCATCCGACAGCAAGGCCTTTGATCAAGAGATTGGAAGTTTTGAGGAGCATGGAACCACCTCTTAACTGCTATTGTTCCCAAGTCCACCCTGACCTGAGGTGGTAGCACCTGTTAGGGTCCCAGCTATAGGCAAATAGTGAACTTCCAAACAAAAATAAAGAGTACATTTTTTAAACTATATATCAAAAAAACATACCCTTACCCTGAAAATACAAAATTATATACAAATAATAAAAATGAAAGCATAAAATTACGTACAAAATATCTAGATTTCAGCATTAAATAACCCATAGAGGTTGATATACTGCTAAACAAAATCAACCAACCAATGATGTGAATTCTTGGGTTTTGAACCATTGCAAAAGAGTTAGTTTAGCAATATGTAATGGTTTCTAATGAGTTAGTGTGAACACTGATTATGCTGTTGAATGAATTATTGGATTTTGAACAGCATGATAGTGTGAGTTAAATGAAGCAACATTTCATTTCCGAAGTTGTGGGGACATTAACATCATGTATGTATTATGAATACATGATGGAAAGCATGATTGTCCCCTGTAGATTGTACTGTGGCCTGACAAGGATCCTTAATGATCGCGACCAGAGGTGTATGGCTAGAAATTCTTTTAGTGACAGACAAGTAACATTGGTTCAAATTACATCATGATGAACTTTCCTCTATAGTCAGGACTTCATAGAGACTTGAAGTATTATGGTGACTGTAGTAAGAATGGTAAGTAAGAATGTTGTTTTGGTATAAGGACTACTGTGGTATGTTTGGGTCAGTAATTTGGGTCTAGCTAAGTTTAATTATAAGACAGAGGGAGACCAGTCTTCCCCATCCCCCCTTTTGGCCGTGTGACACATTTTTTTATTTTACAAAATATTACTTTCCACTATGTTACATAGACTTTATAAATTTAAGCACTGTAGTTGATTGGCAGTAAGGGCTCATCATTTTACAGTTGAAATGGCTAGATATCACTAAGTTCTATGCCAACAATTTCTTCTATCACACTTCTTGCTTGTGGAACTCTATTTGGGCTTCTTGCTTTCCAGTTAAATTTGATCTTCAAAAATTTAAATGCAATGTCATTATCTTGTTCTTTTATTGTTCTCTCTCTTTAATAATGTCTTTTTTCTCATATTCTCTCACATTAAGTATCCCCCCCTTGTGTCTTAGTGGCTTTATTGCCTTTCTTGGGAGTGAAATAATTAAAAAACATTATTCTACATTTAAATGTGGTTATATGCTAACAAATCTAGTATTTACTAAGCTTGGTTCAGATTCTTTGTAGTTTTGTTAATTGCTTTCTCTTTCAAGTTACAGTTTTTCTTTATTTATTTCTACTGACAGAAAACATAAGTGAAAAAGTTTTGAGTGTTAAAGAATACAAAGATTCAAGTGATACAAAAACCAAAAAAGACATTCCATCGACGTAAGTATTCATTTCTGTTACTAGTCAATCCTTGATAATTATTGACACTTACTAAATTTACCATAGTACAGAACAAGTTCAAATAAAAACAAGTAGGTTGGATAGGAAAGATTGTCTTGTGTCAGTCTTCCAAAGTCACTATCTAAAATTCTGGGTTCATGTACTGTGACTTTTGTTACAAGTGAGAAATGCACAATTATTTGATGAGATAGGTCAATAATATTTAAGTTTAAAAGGTCAAAAAGCCAAAAAGAGTAATAAGAGGGTTATCTTGCCTGTGTACTAATTTTAGCTTGTCTGACATAAGGTCTCACTAGAAGGGTCCCAGTTTAGATGAAGCTCTCTAGCTTAAGGAATTGGTTTGCAAGACGTGTTAACAATCATTTTTGTGCTCAGTAGACTATTTGTTTACTAAACATAGTTTAGTTTAACTCAGAGTGATAATAGTAGGGTAGGCAATGAGAATTGAAAACCCAACACTAGTGAACTTGCCTGAAGGAGAAGCATTATAGTCACAATCATCTATTGCTGGTACTTAATTAGTTTAACTCCTGTTAGATGAATGATCAAAGAATATTATGTAATATAAACTACTTGTAGCGTTACAATACTTGGTTATCTGCCCTTGACTGAACTGTTTGTGTGCATATCAAGAGATGAGAAATGCATCATGTGACACTTTGGTGAGGTGCAAAAATTAAGTTGCTTGGCCGTATGTACTCCATCTTTCTTTTTCTCTTGCTTTATATGACTGAAGCTAAATTGCAGATGCAAAGATGACCACGTCACATTATTAAATAAGACCTTAATTCACTTTTCTTTTTCATATCTGCTAATATGTATCTATTTCATTCCCTGAACAAACTATTGTCACATACAAGTTCTGTAAATAAAATGTTTTTTTTAACAATTATACATGTCCTTGTCTATTTTCAAACATGAACAAAATGTTACCATATCACAGGTATGGTAATGATATATTGGAATGGTAAAATAGAATTTGTTTTCTCCACTAGCCATTCCAATGAAATAAACTTTCTTCATCGAAAGAGTGAGCCCAGAAATAAAAGATAAAAAATTAGGCTGAGGATACATTTTGCAGTTAAAAAATGGCCCTAATTAAGTGTTTCTTAAAACATTTCTGCATTTGAGTAGGCAGAAATATTCTTAAAATTCTTGCAATCATGTGCAAGCTATGCCAGAATGCTAGTCGAGAAATGATTGCTCTCGTCTAGGCCTATGGGAGAAAAAGTCTGATATCATGGAGGCCCGATACGTTCTATGATCTCAGAATAGACATTACTGAGGAAGCATTCTGGTGTGTAATATATGCATATAAAACGAACATGATTGTAATTTTAAATTCAGATTTTTTTTTTTTTATTTTATTTTTTTTTGCTTGATGTGGTGATCCTTAGGGTGAAAATATAATTTCAGTGTCTATTCATTGAGTTTTATCCAATGAATTTTGCTTTAATTTAATAATTAAATCTTCAGTGGCTTTCTTATGCTGATTGAAGAAAAACTTCATGTCATTATATCATGTGTATCACAGCTGATCATTCATTCAATGCCAGAAATGAGTAAGAAATAATGGATTGAATCAAACTCCAGACATCTCAGCATATACATATTAAATGGGAATAGATTGGAATCTGTCATGAGTTTTAATATATTTATTAGGTACTGATATTCAGAGTCCTTAAAAGAATTATTTGGTTACTTATTTTAGAACATCATTTTACTTACAATTATTATGATATGACACAAACAATAGTCAGTGCATTATTTAACTGAATTAGTTGTAAATAATCAACAGTGCTTTTTTGTAGCCATTTGTTACTTATATTATTGCCAACTAAAATTTTAAATTTACATAAGTAGTGAAGTAATCATTCTAAGTATTGTGGTTAATCGAAATAAGTACTGTGTAATTGGTTTTGTATTTATTAATGCTTTATTATTCAGTATTTTCTTTTTCCAAAGTCAATATCAATTTATATTCCAACATTGCAATGTAAATATATTTACAATATTTTTGCTTTTAGCATTTATTTATTTTTTTCTAAACTATTTTGGAACCCAAAAGAGCATCGTTATGACTCTCATTTGGGTTACTGTCATTGCTTTGGTAACCATTTTCCTCATTCAATAGATCAGCCATGTTTTTTCTAAGACCAAGACACACAAATGAAGCAATTCTAGTCCTAGGAATTCCAACATCAGGTCAGCACTTTCCCATTCCATTAAAAGAGGGAGAGTCACGAGTCGTCTTGAGGAATTGGTCAATTTTATCTTTTCTCGTATGTATGTGCTTGGAACCCCACATTAAACTGACTTTATCATCATGGGAAGGTAAATAAATTCTAGGATTATCTCTTGTAAATAAGACTGCAAATGATACAATCAAGGGAGATAACTCATATCGCCTATAACGAAATCCATTTTATTCAACAAATTAAATCAATGGCGGCAAATCAAGTTTCATTGATTTTTACTAATCTCTTAAGATTTTACTTCTGTCTTACTTTGCAACCTAAGAAATATATAATGTGCAATACTATATATTAAATAATTTTTTTTATAATGAATTAAGTGTTATTGTTCTAGGCTGGTTGCCAACCATGGTTAGAAAGTTCAAGCTATCCTACTATTTAACATATAGCTGGTGGGAAGAAGAGACAATGTAGTGATATATAATGGAATGGCTAATTAGCATAGCTAAAGCATACGCAAACAGTAAGGTTATGATTGATAAACGACTACTGTTTGACTGATAAAATATGAAATCACACTTCATAACAGACAGATTCATGTTTTTCCCAAAGGCCTTAGTACCGAGTGAATACAAATTATTTGAACTTGTCAATACTATTTTCCAGGCAGTTAACTGTTTGTTCACCAGCACTGCCAAATAATCATTACAAACTGATATACACTTTAACTGTTTAGTAACAGGGCTGAACTATCATCTGAAAAGTTGAATGATGAAGATAATGACTGGGTTGATCCATTGGCTTGATAATACAAGCCTTGGGATTAGCTGGCAGGTCTTCATACCAGCCAATCAGATTGCTTCTCGCATTTCTTGCACATCTGTGCCTTTCAGTGGTGGTATCTATGATAGTTTGCTATATTATGTGATTTTATATCAGTTTTTTTTTTGTGTTTCAAGTGAAGTCTTGTGAAAAGGGCTCTGTCTTCTTGGCACTGAAACTCCAAATGAGGATCTGTCTCCAAAGGGATTAATTAGTATCTAGTTTTTCTTTTTTTTTTCTAACTTTGACTTTTTAATTTGAACCATTTTGCTAATGAAAATAATTTATTGTGCCTTGTCTATTTGAAGATCCTTTTCTGAGAAAATGACAAAAGAGAAAAATGTAACTGTCTTGGCTCGGCAATCCTTGTTTAAAAATTATCAAGAAGACACTGAAAGTGATGAGAAAGGTAAGTAAACCTCTCGCTTCTTTTTTTTTTTTTTTTTAACTATAACGATATAACTTAAAAAAAGAGAAAATTCAATAATTATGAAATGTAAGAATATTATAATATATATTTATGGGGAAAGCTTGACAAGCATACCTGCAAAAAACACTGACAAAAGGGTACATTTTTTTTCTTGACATTCATATTACTGTATATTCCCTTTTTGTCATTATTTGTTTATTTAAATTTTCTTGTTCTATAGTTCAAAGACACTTTTATTAATTTATGAATAAAAGAAGTTTGTTTTCATAGTTATTTCTTTATAATATAGTAAAGGATAAATATTGCATTATAGTTGGTTCACATATTTTTTTTACAATCTTATAAATTTGAAATTATTCTTGTAAACAATCTAATAAATAAAAGTGTTCAACATTTTTGGTGCCAATTAAGAAAAAAATATGTATATATCCAGCTTTATATGTTTGGGTTTTATTAAAATTCTAAAAATGGTTTTTCAAACAGTAAAAATCACCAAATATGTACTAGCGAGAAAAACTGTCCTTTTGACATATAATGTTTTGATGTGGACATTTGTTATACTTTTCCTACTTTTTCTATTTTATGATGTATTAATAGAATATAATTAGCATTCAGTACATATATTAATACAGAATAATAATGATTCATATATGAGGAGGGTGCTAAAAAATTCTTTGACCAATCCATTCCCAAAAGTCTGAAAAACTGACTAAAAATCAGATTTTTTTTTTTTTTTTTGTATCCTGTCTTTGTTAAACTGAGAACTGCTTAGCAAAGTCTCATAATAGCTCCATTCTATCAGATATACTTGTAATAATTCTTGACCATTGACAATCTCTTTCTTAATTTTCAATCTATAGTAAAATTATTTTCATTGCTTTTCTCGAGTAAGATAGTTTTCAGTATATTTTCTATCGTAAAATTAATTATCAATTGTGCTTTGACATCTGGCAAGTCAGTGTGAACACCAGTTTGACTGCTCAGGGCAAGTGAATTAGATAGAAGTTGGGAGTCCTACATGATGATTTGGTACCTAGCCCATGACTTTTGGGATGTTTTTGTATTCTAGCTTGATTCTCTCAGTAACACCCCAAAATTCCCTTTGTTCCTTAATATGCAACATACAGAGATTGACTGTCAAAACTTGCTCAAATCTAAAGTTAAATATTTCACAAATTGGTGGTTACATCATCAAATTCCTCTTTTAAATGCTAATTGTTCTCTGGTGTTTTTTTTTCATTCTTTCATGACCTTGGGAATGGCCTTCAGCAAATTCTTCTGTGAGAGGAGGTCAAAATGCATCTTCCTACTGTCTGAGCAGCACTGATATTAAATTCTCTTGCAATTGACTGATGAATATAGATAATTAACTTTTTGAATTATTACATTTTTATCTTTTTCCTTGTGTAAAATATACATTAGAAGTTTTAGCTTTGCTTATTTCTTATGCCACTAAATGAAAATCTTGGTTCATTCTTTAATGAATCTTCTTAGCCTCTATATCAAAGGTTACATAAATACTATTAAAATTATCTACAATGTATTTTTTTTATAGTAGAATTGTTTATGATACATTTTTAAAGCAAAACAATGGTACCTTTGATGTATCCCTATATGTAATAATTAAAGTGAATGAAAGTTTTGATGAAATTTGTCTAATAAATCCTACCTTTTATACCAAGAGTTACATAATCTGTAAATATCTATCATTTGTTCTTGCTTTAAATATTATTGCCACATTTAGTCAGGTGCTCCTGCTATATATTTAGTTATTCTTGATAAAATCCAAAGAAGAATTTGCAATGTTATTGATCCTAACCTGGCATCTCAGCTTCAGTTACTTTCCCACCACTATAATGTAGCTTCCCTGTGCCTTTTTTTTATAAATAATTTCATGGTAATTGTTCTGATAAACTTTCCTCTATGGTACCCAGACTTTATGAATTTGAGTGCAGTCCTTGATTGGTGATAAGGTTTCATCAGTTGTATTGGCTGCTAGATTTAACCATAAGTTCTATGCTAACAGTTTCTTCTATCACATTTCTCATTTGTGAAACTCTATTCTGGCTTCTTGCTTCCCAGTCAAGTTTTATCTTTAAAACTCTAAATGCAGTGTCAATCGTTATCTTCTGTCTTCTTAATTCTTATTCTTTTATTTTTCTCTCTTTCTCCTTAATAGAATATTTTTCTTGTATTCTCTAACACTCAGTAATCCCTTGTGTCTTAGTGGCTTTATTTTGTTGCTTGGGGTGAAATGATTAAAATAAAAAAAAAGAAAAATTAATTTTTATAGTAAAACTATAGTACATTTTCTGTAATGAAAGTTTTAATGGATTTGTTTAATAAATCTTATCCATGAATGTAAATAAATAATTTTACATACAAAATGATATTTTTGAAACTTTTTAAGTTTATCTTTGTGGATTTAATTATTTCTTTTTCAGTTTTTAATTTTTGTTTTCTTGTTCTTTGACAATAAAACATTATCATTTCTCAAAATTGATGATATAATGTTATCATTTTTGACAATTTAATTTTCAAATTCCCAAGAGATGGTAATTCCATGTTTAGAATATTGCTACCACATATGGTCTTGTGCCCTTGATATTTACTTTGAGCTCCTTGATAAGATCCAAAGAAGAATCAGCAATATTATTGATCCTGATCTGGCATCTCATCTTCAGTCACTTTCCCATTGCTGTAAGGTTAGCTCTCTGGGCTTTTTCTATAAACACTTTCATGGTAATTGTTCAGATGAGCTCTTCACTATAGACTTTTTGAATTTAAACATAATACTAGACTGGTGTTAATATCTCATCAATTTACAATTGTGCTGGCTTAGATGTAACCATAAATTTTATGCTAACAGTTTCTTTTCTCACACTTCTCGCCTGTGGAACACCCTTCCGTCTCCATGCTTTCTGGCGAACTTTAATCTGTAAAAATTTAAATGAACTGTCAATTGCTATCTACTGTCCTCCTGATTACTCTTTCTTTTTCCCATTCATTATTAATGTTTCTGTTCCTAAATCTTGCACACCCTGTAACCCCTTGTGTTTTAGTGGCTTTACTGCCTTGGATGGTGTGATACTGATTAAAATAAATTATATTGTTTTTAATAAAGATTTTTTTTTATCTTTCAGCATCATATTTACTGGCTTATTTACCTCCCCCCCTCTCATTTTTTTCTTTTTCCATTTCCAGAGCCGAATCCTGTAGTATGTACACCCTCAACTCACATAGGCTCTCTGCAATTTTCACAAGAGTCCATGTTTGTTCCAGACACTGCAGATGAAATGAAGTAAGTAAAAGCTTTCCAATATAAATATTTTTTAATGCTTCTCAAAATAAACATTTTTTGCATTGCTAACAATAATGAAGTTCTAAGCTGACATATTCTCTTTGTCTCAGACATTTTTCTGAGTAGTATTTTGATATAATAAAGATGACAATGACAGTAAAAGTGTTCAAATGTCTTAAATGGTCCATTGTCAAGTCATCATTTCAATTTCAGGTATATTTCTTTCATCTCATTTCTGTTGCTTTGTTATTGCAACCCTCAGACTGTCATTCTATGATCATTTTTTACAATCTGGTCACTGGGTGGGAGTGTAATAAAATCAAAATATTAATAATAAATGACAATATCTCTTCAAAGAAATCTGAATGCGATTATATCTAAAACTATTATTGTAAAATGTAAACAATACAAGATAATGACACATGACATTCAGAGAAGTAAAGAATATAGCTATATGACTAAATATGAATGACTCTTACAAGGTAGCTTTCATAGCCTAATCAGTAAAGGCTTCCATGAATAAGGAATGTGAGTTCAAAGCTTACTCAGTGCTTATTCTTTATATTGATTTGTACTAGTTAGTTAAAGAGTATAGAATAGTAATATGAAAGTTACAATAAAATGTAATAGAATTTGAGTTGAAAGAAATACTTATCAAATACCTATAAAAGCATATAAAGATAGGTTATCTTTATTTACAGTATTTATATTAGGACTATTATCCTCATCTTTGTTGTTATCATGTTTTGGCTCTATATTGATCTGGGTAACCTTTCGTCAGTTGCTGTGTCAAAAATAAAATCAGACGGATAGAAGATGTGTGAACACATATGCATATGTATATACATGTGTGTGAGAAAACTTTATTCCATGAACAAAATAGACGACTGATGAAAGATGTTTGGTACACAATCCAACATTGAATAAAGTGACCAATTGCATACGTATGTACACAATAACACATTGATGTGCATATATGCCCACTGTTCATATATGTTAATGTTTGTTTGAGCTACAATTTGTGGACGTGCATGTATGTATATCTGTGTACATATGAGTGGCGTTCCGACCACAATTTTTTCTCCCACTATGATTAAAACACCGATATATGCAACCATATATAAATCCAAAATTTAAAAATGAATCAGTTTGTCTGATGATCGCAAATAGTGTGAAACCCAGAGTCACAAACTCACATCAAAGTTAGCTGCCATAGATGGATTTTCTTTCAATTTGATTGCCAAAAATTATTTTTATACGGACAAATCTTCATGATCAGAGGGGCAAATATGAATTACTACATAACCAAAAAAGAAGAACTTGTTCATTATTTTGAAAAAGTAGTACTGGGGATTCACTACTCATTGACATTGGATGAATCCACATCAATTCAAAATAAGCAATATATGAACGTAAATGTTCATGCAAAAGATAACCATTGATTGTCGGGTTTTATTAAGATCAATGGTTCCCTTAATAGCAGGAGAACCGAGAAATTTGTGAGAGGATATCTTTTTGGATTGAATTTGGATAAACACATTGTTGGCTGTACAACCGATGATGTTGCTATGATGGTAAAGTTTAGAAAGGAAATAAGACCTGATCACCAACAATGTATCACACATTGCATACAGCTGTCAGTGATATTAAAACAGGCCGGTAAATGTTGTTTAATACTGTTTATTATAAACAGAGCATTTACTTAAATATTTGTATCTATAAAAAAGAATGTATAAACATTAAAATGTCTTATATATATATATATATATATATATATATATATATATATGAATAAAAAGGCAAGAGGAAAAATTGATTCTTAGCCGACATGTATTGTTCTCTAAGTGACTTTATCAAGGCAAGTGTAGGATTTATTTTGTTGCATGTGTTTATATACAAAAGCAAGAATGCCATTGGTTTATCAAGGATAGTAAATTTGGAAATGTTGATGAATGATCATCAGGTGATTAAAAGGTCAGTCAAAACATGTGGAGGACACAAAGAAATATTTTTCAACTGCTTGATGAATATTCATGAATGTTCTCAAATCTAAAAGCTTGCTTGATATTATTTATTTTTGCTCCTTTTTCTTTTTATTGCAAACTTTGTTAATTCTGTTTGTTGGACAGTTCTGGTATTTCTTTTGCATTTGACTCATCAGAGAGCATGTTTATTAAAATTTCTTGAATACATAGGCTGATAGATGTAATACACACTGTATAAAATAGAAATAGAAATGACATGTCTATTTCAAATATGATTATCCACTATAATGTTATTTGAATTAATAAAAAATGTTGGATTAAAGTAAATTTATTGATTCTTTTTATATATACATACACACACACATATATTTGTGTGTATCACAATGATCAACATATAAACGAATGAGTAATCTTACTTAGTATCAATAAATTTGTAATCTCTATTGTCAGTCTTGAAAGAATATAAATTGTGCTTTTACCAATTCTAGTAATAAAATTTCATTATTGAATTACAGCCTGATATTCCTACAAATGAATTCTGTTCTGTCAGTAATGATTGTATTAATTTCTGTCCAGACACTATGCATTTTCCAAAGAATTTCAGGTGAAAATATTACAAAATACTTTGGTTAAATAATCAAATTCCCTGTTCAAGCACCAATTCATTTCCCTGTGAACAAACTTCAGCTTCTTATCCAAAATCCTCTTAACTTACATGACACTTTATAGACTGAAGTATTCCTGATTGAGTGTGGTGATTTTGCTCTCATTGCTCTTAGGCGCTTAATAGATAGTTAAGTTGGGGTAGTTTTTTTTTTCTTGAGGGAAATTTCCAATCCGACCTCACCTTAAGACCACCTTATGTATATATCATTCTTTATGACCCTTTAAATGATTTTCCAATACCCCCCCTTTAAGAACACCACATTTACTGCATATTGAGAAAAACTCTGCTCCCCATCCCAATTATTAAAACCTAATTGCCCTTGTGTGAGGCATGTAAGTGTACATGATTTTTTAACAAAAGCAACATATGGGGGCCTATTTGAAAATGTTGATGTGGATTAAACAAAGTAAAATTTTTAAAAAAATTATTTTTTTAATTCTTTGCCTTTTGAACTTAAGAATTTGAATGATATCAATTCTTAATAGTTAATTCTAATATTTTATGCAACAACAATTAAATAAACAAGTTTTAACACACAATTTCAAATGATCACCATGAGAATGCGAACTGTATAATCGTCAGATTATATTTGCCAATTTGCACCTGAAGATTGCAAGAACTGCATGAAACGTGTTATCAATATTGCATATTCACTAATATATACTTATAGCTCTGTTTCACTACATTGAACACTGTATTTCTAACACCTAAGGAAGAAATGTATTTATATGTACATACAAGTATATGTGCATGTATGTATTTTTATTCTACCCATTCCTATATATATATATATATATATAGTAATTTTATTTAATGCCTTATATATATACATATATATGAATTAAAAATTTAATGCCAATATATATATATATATATATATATATATATATATATATATATACACCTAGTGAGCCTGACGATTTGTTTAGGTGAAACCTAGGTAGGTTTGTCTGGCTCGCTAGGTGTATCTAGGTCTGCTCTACGGTTGTATTGAGCTCTTTTGTTAGTTGTTACTCGTATCGGGGTTTTTCTTTGGGCTTCAGACCTGCATCTGTGCGATTTTTTTTTATCGGCAGAAGTTCATGTTTGTAGCTCTTTCTTTTTTTAAAACCTTTTTTCCCTCGAGATTGATTTGATTAGCAAATCAAAAATTCGAGGGTTTTTTGAAATGAGTCTAGTTATCTATATTTATATGTATATATATATATATATATATATATATAAATAAATATAAAAGTGAACATAGAAGTCAACACTTAGAGGCGACAGTCTGTTTCATTCTATATGTAATCGTCAGGCCACGTGTGCTGTTATTTTTCTCACAACAGCACACGTGGCCTGGCGATTGCATATAACATGAAACAGGCTGTAACCTGTTATAACTTTATATTTACACCCTCTATCTCTGATATTGAGCACTTTATCCCATAAATATAGCACACCTTAAGACTATATTTCTTATATATATATATATATATATATATATATATATATATATATAATTATTTATTTAAAAATAAATTTATAACATAAATATGTTTATAAAATCACTACAAAAATAGCCATTTTGTTTCAACACCTCGTGTCTTATCAAGTGATGATGTTGAATGTAAAATAAATGGTTTCAAAAGTTTCAAATTAATTAACAATCCTTCACAAGGGAAAACGTTACAAAAGCTAGATGGACCAATCAAAATACAAGTATAGGAAAATTCAAAAGCTTGACAACGAAGTCATGTTATAATAGCTATTCAGATGTTTAAAATATGGGTAGTATTAAAAAAGAATTTCTTCTAACCAATAATTACTAAATTATATGATAAAATTTAATATTAAAATTAAAAACTGCTAATTTCAAAATCAAAATTTAATCGCTATTAAGTTTACAACTATAAAATTACTGAGGAGAAAAGAAGAAATATATATGTTATTCAATTTATTTCTTCATTGAAGTTACTTTAGCTAATTTTATATCCGGTCCTTTGACAATGTATACATTTTAATCCTAAGAGTGTGTGAATGGGGTCCTAAACTCACACATAAAACAAACGCAATCAGATTATGATATATAAGCACCCAGACATATTTATATATATATATATACACACGCAAAAAGAGACGAGACAGAGAACATCTCCACGATCGTTTATGAAAAGAAAAAAAAAAAATAAGTGTGTGTGTGTGTGTGTGGGGGGGAACAACACACACGTACATACATACACGATTAAAAGTGAATGCACTTTCCATACACATAGACAATTATAAATACATGCACACACATCCACAGACATTGACCCAGACAATCGGATACAACAACCAATAAATATTTAAGACTGAAAGTGTCATTACACAAATGCTAACCACTTATTGAAATATAACTTAAGCGAGCAAATATACAAAGATAAAAATGATTAAAAAAAAAAAAATATCGGACATCAAAGTCAACACCCATAGGTAACTTCGATGTCCACCTCACTATATATATATATATATATATACACACACACATAAACACATATATACATATGTGAGGTGGACATCGAAGTTACCTATGGGTGTCGACTTTGATGTCCGATTTTATATTTACATACACTATTTTAATATATTAAATAATATTTTTTTATATATTTATATATATATATATATATACATACACATACATATATATATATATATACATATATATATATATATATATATATATATATACATACACACACACACACATAAACACATATATACATATCTATATATATATATATATATATATATATATATATATATATATATATATATAAGTGGACATGAAGTTACCTATGGGTGTAAACTTTGATGTCCGATTTTATATTTACATACACTATTTTAATATATTAAATAATATTTTTTATATATTTTTTATATATATATATATATATATATATATATATATATATATATATATATATATATATGCATATATATATATATATATATAAAAAATATATAAAAATATTAATTATTATTATATATATATATATATATATATATACACATACATACATACACACAAATACACAAACATATACATACGTATATATCTCCATGATAACAAGTACACATACACATACATACATACATATATACACATATATACACACAGCAATACACAAATATAAACATATATACACACATATACTAACTCATGTGGCCGTAATGACATACCCAAGTTTCCATACCTACACGTACACACAATCTCATATACTATAGGTGTCAACATACACATATACAACCGCAAACATACATAAGTAAACACATACACACACACATATATATATATATATATATACATATATACACACACATAAATACATACATATATATATATATATATAAAAATACCTATCTAAAATAACAAGTACACATATATACGTACATACACATAAATACAACGACATTCAACCAAATACATATATAAACATACATACATGCACATACATAGACATAGACATACATCCATATACATGCAAACACAAAAATACATGTTTCCTAACATACATATATAAACACATTCATACAAACAGAAATATACGTAAATTTAAATTTAGGTACACTGAATAACAGTACACATATATATATATATATATATATATATATATATATATATATATATACACACACACATATATATATATATATATATACACACACACACACACATACATACATACATACACACATATATATACATATATATATATATATATATATATACATGCATATATATACATCTACACATACATACACACACATTCATACATATATACACACATAAATACATACATACATATATATACACACACATACCCACATACATATCAATATTTTTAACCTCTTTTCTTTTCCTCCTTTTTATCTTCTTACTTTATATATATATATATATATATACACACACATATATATATAGATACACACACACGCACACACACACATATATATATATATATACACACACACACACATACACATATATATATATATATATATATATATATACAAAACCTAGCAACATATTAGTACACTAATATACAAACATACACATTCCACAGTACAAACACACATAACTACACACAAATATATATATATATATATATATATATATATATATACACACACATATACAGAAAAATGAATAACACTATGTAGTTATACAATACACATTCATATCGTCAGATTGGTCATCAGGCAGTAAAAGTTATAATCTATTAAACTTACAGCAACATATCATTATCATTTAAAGTATACGACCCCTATAATAAGTTAAATTTATAACGGTGTTTACAATTAACCGTTAGTTCATATCTTTGACTTAAAAGACAGCCTTGTTTTTAAATCTAATAATTTCAAATTTTTAGTTAAGACATAGGTAACATGGGGAATATAGGGAGTTACATGTCCGGGCTTTCTTAATCAATGTCCATTTAACCGTAGGTGTTTTGTTCTTTTCTTTTAGATTCCAAAAGTACTTGGATAATGAAGTCATGTATCTATAGTCACTGTTATTAAAAGATTGCATATGCCCCTTAGCGTTCTTTGAATGTTTTCATTGTGCTACCAATGTAAAACTTCTTTATATTTGGATTCTCAATAGTTGAGATGGTACTAAGATAGACTACAGAACTAATCCCACAGTTATTTTGTAGTGGACAATTATTAGGATACCTACAATTACATAAGTTGTTATTCGTGTTATTATACTTAGTATCACTGTTAGTAACCTTTTGAGTAATCAAGCTTTTTGAGTCCCTATACTTGTTAAAGACTAAGTTTTAATTATTTTCTCTAGGTTATCTGCACAACTATAGCTTAATTTAAGGGTATTAGGATTAAATATTTTACTAAGTGGGTTAGTTTCAGGGTTAGGGAAATGTTTCTTGATGAGGTTTAGAAACATATGTCCTAATTTAGATTTAACCATTATATTGAAAGGGGGAGTGAACCAGATGATCTTTCTAGATCTTCTTTTCTTATTATGGTTGTAATCGACAGGGTTTTTTATATTGAATAGTGATATCTTTGTATCCAATATTTTTGAGTGCACAGAATTGTAAAAATCACGATGTTTATTAAAAACATCTTTCTGCTCTACTTTGTACTGAGCACTCTTTTAAGAATAGTATTTGTTGGTTATTGGAATTCATTCCATATACACCAATCATATACTTGGATATACATTGGATATATATATATATATATAGTTTTATTGGTATACTATATTTATGGGTAAAAGTGCTCAATATCAGGAATACATACATACATATATATATATATATATATATATATATATATATATATATATATATATAAAAGCATTAACAAAATTTTGAAATGTTTATGATAGTAATTAATATAGAAAAGTTAACATTCAAACTATTTATTCATTAGAATTGTTATCTTGTAAGATATGTATATTTGGTTTTGGATTAAGAGAAATTAAAAAATGATAGAATAGAAATAAAAAAAATGACATAGAATGATTTTGTCTTTCAATGACCTGGCAATTTGTGAAATGTTAAATCACTTAACCTAGCCTTATTTAACTTTGCTGTTGCCATGACCTGGGCTCTGCACGAGGCCATAGCAACAATACCCGGTTATCAATTTTGGCCTTTCAATAGCGGAGTATAACAAAGGTCACACAATCCCAGCTATATGTTGCAGTTATCCCTAACTGTGATGTGTTCGTTTTGAATATGACAACAGTTGTTAAAGCAGAAGATTTTGTCATCCAGGGCATCAGTGTTTTGTAGCTTGCAACTACTACATACTAACACCCCAACAATATTGAGATGGGGTTTGAATTAAGTTTTCCTTCTCCTAGACTGGCTGCTAGCCAAGGCAAGAGAGCCCAGTTTGCCCTGCTGTTTACCCATAGCTGGATGAAGATGGATTGATGCCTTTTCCAAGGGCATTAGTGCAATCTGAATGAAACAGAATTAATCAGAAATCAAACTCGGCATGCCAATTACAATTTCTACACTGGTAACCGTTACACAACCTGCACATCCCCAAGACCAACACTCGCCAAGAATGGACTAATACGAATTCTTCTGTATGAGGGACCTAAATATATCCTTTTTTATGCTCTAGGCACACCTTCGAAGTTAATATTTTGATTAAATTTCCTCTCAGAAGATAGGTAGGTATTAAATGAACAAATTTTTTAATCATTAGTGCTCATCGAATCTTTTCACCTTTATTTACAGAAATTTTAGTATCTGCTTATTTTTTCAATATGTTTTATTATTTGCTGCATTACAATATATTTAAATGTGTATTTCCTTAACAAATTCTCTATGTAATATCATCTATTACTAGTTACTATATTACTAATATAATATAATATTGGTATTATACCAGAGTTTGAGTTTTCAAAGATTTTATAAGCCTTACAGTTACCAGATTGTTTATTGGTGTAATACAAACTTTTACAAACTTCTTAGTTGAGAAATATGACCAATACAGATATGTAAAACGTTTAGTTGAAAAGAGTGTACTTTTTTGTTATGAATCTTGTTTAGATTTCCTTTTTATTAATATAACAACTAGACAAAAATATCACTGATGTATAACTGTTGCATGATATTACTCCTTTTTTAATTTTGATCAGTAGGACTTTATTTCATTATTGGTTATTTTCTGTTTGCAGCTACATTGAACCATCTCCTGAGTACAATCCTACTCCAACCATAATTCCTGATTCTCCAACTGCAGGCATGTCAGAAGGTAAGAGATTCAAACTTTTGATTTTTGTGTGTTTTTTTCACTTAATTTTATTTTGGATATAAATATATTTTTCATACATATGGTTGTTATGAAAGTCATGTGATTTTTTTTTTTTTGAGCTACAATAAAAAAATTCTTTTCTTTATTAATTTTCAAAAAAAATCTGAGATTCTCAACAAAAAGAAATTCTGATCATGGGGAGTTGACACTTTTTTAATTTTCTACTAAGAGTCCTGGACACTGAAGTGCTCCTGTGTGCTGAGATGGAGAGCATCCGTGCCATCTATCAGCACTATCAGCTCCAGTGGGCTGGCCGCAAACCACTGCATGGACGACTGTTGCCTCCCAAAGAGTTTGTTTTATGGTGAGCTATCCACAGGCAAGTGCTCACTCGGCAGACCAAAGAAATGTTACAAAGACATGCTGAAGGAATCTCTCAAGCACTGTGGCATTCCCCATTCCACCTGGGGAGAGTCTGCTGAGAACTGTGTTGTCTGGCCTTTTAAGGTCTGGAGTGTTTGATTTTGAAGAGAAAAGAATCAGAGACAAAGAATAGAGATGACAGAAAAGGAAAGATCGAGAGGGCTCCAGCTCTCAGCCTGGTTCAGCCCCCAGCCTCCTATGTCACAACTGTAACAGACTTTTCAGGGTGAAAATGGGACTCATTAGTCATCTCCACACCTACACCACCAACCAGTAATTCAAAGTCAAGATCATCTCTGCATGTGGAGGATGAACATAGAATAGAATTAAGAAGTCATTCTAACAATCTGATGATTTAAAATCCTGAAGGTGTTTTATCCAGTAAAAAGCAATGTTGAATTTGATTCTCCTAATCTAATGATATTTTACTGTGAAGAATGACAGCTATTGTTCCTAATGTTTTGAGTGATTCATTTTGTGGCCTTCTTCAGGTGTGCTACTTGTAGGGAAAGAGGTGATCTCTTTTTGGTTGCGCAAAACAAAAATTGGTAACTAAAAATAAATTTAAATATTCACAACATTGGTTGTAACTGAGAGCAGCACAGCTTATGCCATAATTTTTAACATGAATAATTTCTTTGTTAAACAAAGAATTCCCATTCATACCTGTTTAACTTATGAATTGAATCAACAAATTGTATTGGCAGAAAAATACACTGATTAATCATGACTCTTCTCAAAATTATAGATGACGTATTTTCTATTAACCAAATTAGAATATTTTATTAAATATTTACTTGTTCACTTATTCTTGACAGTAAATATCTGATATTGTTGTCCTACATTATTTTAAGAGCTTGTAATAAACAAAATAGTATGTTAATTCGCTTTTGCTCAAATGCTGTTGGGAAAGGCATGAAACACTTCTCCCTGCAGCTATGGATTAAATTACAGGGTAGACTAGCCTCTTGGGTGACAACCACTATTTTTCTCAAGAAAGCTTAGCAATTCATTGCTTATAAAGAAAAGTGATCTGTGGAAAGACTTATTACCAACATCCTGAAGGGCATGACATTAAAAACAAAAAAGACAAAATGTAGCATATACTGATGCAGTTTTAGATATTGACATAGGTTTTTTTGTTAAACTCTCAGGTTCTTTCGACAAGGACTAAAGGTATTTTATCACTGTTGATTATGTTATTGATAAAGATTTAATGTTTTATTTAATTTTATTGAATTTGAATAGATATTAGATATTAAATTTTAACAAACTTTTTTGATTATTTTTATGATCAAAAATGTAAAAAAAAATAAAATTTCAACTTTTGATCAGAAGATTCTTTTCATATTTCACATTTTCATATTTCACATTCAAAAAAAAAAAAAAAGAAAGAAAAGAAAACATATGAGTACAGTTAGTCAAAATAAAATCCCCAGGTTCAAGTATGCAAAATGATAACTTTAATGTTAAAAGTATAATCATAGGTTTCTTAGGAAACTATTTTAAGTTGGAAGAGAAAAGAAGTATATTTTTTATAACAATGTTTGCTTATTTATCAATAAAATATCCTTTTTATAGAAAACATTTTAAGGAAATTTCTCTTGAGATGAGGTAATTTAATTTCTTACTAAAGTTAAATGAATGAAAAAATTATTCTGAAAATTATTGAAGAAAAAACTTAGTCTTGTTTTAGATAGTTTTTTTCTTTTTTTTTTTTACAGTAAGTTTTACCTTGTACAAGGCCAGGGGGCCACTCAAGGTAGAAGGTTACGTTAAGGGTTAGTTTATATGGATAAGAGGGGAAGTTAATGATTTACTCTAGACTTGAACAGGTGAAGATTTTAATGATCTTTGAAACATCCTCTTGGGAGTTTGTTCCATAGGGCAGTGGTTTGTGGGAAGAAGGTGTTTGAGTGGAACTTATTTCTCGCTGATGGAATACAAAAGGAATGAAGGTGGTTAGCCCGGAATTGTGAGCTTCTGCAACATGATTGAGGCATTGATACCCATTTCATACAAGAACATAAGGTCAGGTTTAGACTGAAGAAGATGGAGTTCCACTTCTGGAAAGTTGGAACGCAGACCCCTTATATTGGTGTAAGAGATGGTATAACTGGAGTTTACTTTTCTTTCTTTTTTCTTTTTTTTTTTTTTTTTATTTGAGGTTGGGTATTTAGAGGATTTATATTAATACCGTCAAGAGCACGTGGCCGAGTGGTTAGAATGTTCGCATTCTGACCGTGTGTGGTGAACAGTCCCATAGAAGCAAGTGAGCCAGAGTGGCCTGCATCTGGTGCATAGGAAAATAAGGGTCTTACCTCAACGTGCGGCACATAGCATTGGCAAGTTTGCTCTGTGAAAATGGCATTACTCTCCCGTCTAGCCATTCTAGCAGTATGTGCGGTAATGAGGGTTTTTGTACAGTTTGGCATGCTTCAACCAATAGCAAGTCATGTGCTGATTGGTCAAACTGGAGGAGGCTATTTACCTGGGTAACTGAGAAATAAAGTGAAGAATGCTGATTGGTTGGTTGACCGCGGTGTTGGCCTGATAAAAGAAAGCGGTGAAAAAGAAGAAAAGATGGATTTACGTTTTGAAGTGTTCAGAAAGCAAGAATGGCGGATTGAATCAGCGGTATCTTGATTTGTACAAGTGAAGTCATAGTAATAGAGAATCATTTAAACTACACCGTGAGACCCTGGTTCGAATCTCACCATGGTCAATTTATCAAGAAGGTGACTTCCTGATGTTATCGGACTGAAGGGGTTGATCCCAGCATGTGACACCTTTGGAAAGTGCCTGAAAAGCATACCATGGGTTGACCTAAGCCTTGTGAGTGAAATTGGGTAGACAGAACTCCTGTGGGCTGTCGATAGCTGTGCTAGCATGGTCACAAGTCATCTTGTCTGAGGGCTTGAGTGGGATGGCCTTGTTCAAATTGTAGATCATGCTAGATAACACGCTCTTTCCCAGAAACTGTTACTAAGGTTTGCTTAGCATAGTTACAGTATAAACCACAGGTGGGCTCTGTGGGTGTTGAGAAAACACAAATGCGTCTGAGTAAGCCTCTGCAACAAGGATTGGCTAGCAGCCCTAGTAGATGGGTATCATCGAATGCAAGTGGCCAGCTATACATACATACATACATTAGTACTGTATAAAGCTATAAATATGGGGGATATAGGGAGAATAGAACTCACTATAATTGTAATGCACTGTGAAAGAAGCTTAATAACCCTTGCTTTAATGTGAATAGCCCATGAGTGAAGAGCGGGGATTTATGAAGTATTGAACCAACAACAGTTAATAGTCTGGGAAATAAGCTTTCGAGTTATGACTCCAAGTGACACAATCACAAATGCTATGTAATTTTATCACTTTCATTTGTTTTGTTATTGCAGATTCAGATGACGATACTCAGGACCCAACTATAATAGAAACTACTATTGTGAAGCAGAAGGAATCGGTAAGGTTTAGAGATATCTCATTTATTATAGACTCTATTGAGTTTTGAGCTTGACGAAAAAAAAAAGCTGTTTTAAAATTTTTAATTAAAAATTGTGAAAAAGAAATATTTGGATACTTGTGAAATATTTATTTAATAAATTTTAAATTTACACTGCTCATGTATTTTGATATAAAATTAACAATTACTAAGAAAAAAAATACATACTTTCAAAAGGCATCAATATTCAGATGATTACTGTGTTACTTATTTCAGTGCATCATTTTACTTACAATTATTAAAACATGATGCAAACAGTAGTCTTAAATAATCAACAGTGTTTTTTTTATAACCAATTGTCACTTACATTATTGCCAGCTAAAACTTTTTGCATTTATATAAGTAGTGAAGTAATCGTTTTAAGTAATGTGATTAATCAAAATAAGGTCTCTGTAATTTATTGTGTTTTCAAATATATAATGCAAAATAAAATATAATCCAATGTAATAAAAAGTTTTCAAACCCATTGATTTCATAATTTACTATTTAGTTGCATAACCCTTCTTTGCAATTACTGGTTGGAGACATTTTTCTAACCCTTTTTAAAATTCTTTAAAGATCATTATCATCCTCAACCACTTCACGGTCAATATCCATTTGACTAAAGCCTTCAAAATCATCATCAAAGAAAAACTCCTGAATAAAGGCTTTTTTGGATATTGACGTGGCCATTTTTGTTTACAAAAATTTGGGGAAAAAATTAACGTGTGTTTTATTGGTGTTTCACCTTGTGTAGAGTCTAGAAGAATTCAAAATGGTGTTGGAAAACAGAAGTTTAGCCTTCTCCCAAAGTACAATTAGGCAATTTCCAGCTTAAAATACTGGAAATAACAGTTGACAACTGTTTATTTATAGCAACTATCTCAAGGCAACAGAATGCACCTAGAGTAGCAAAGGGAAGAATTCTATGGCAGCTATTGTCACCTGCAGTGTGGTAACGGTTAACTTATCTGATAAATACAGTATATACTTTGGATAATTAAAGAAATGTTCCTTATTTTCATGTACCTGAAAAAATATGGTGGTTAAATGTAAAACTAATGTTTATTTTTGTTTTTGCATTAGTCAACACAGAATCTGGCAATAAATAAATGCTTTTGTTATGTTTTTCCTATTCTTTAAACCTTTTTTTCATAGGAAAATCTTGATATAACAGTTGAACCTGTTGTTGAAGATTCTGTAAAAGAAAGCCAGAGTTTCCAGTTGTTATATTTGGCTACACAACCTTCACAGGTTTGTATTTTTCTTTTTTTAACATTATTCTTTAATAAGTTAATCATCCTTTTTGTTAAGGGTTATTTTTACAATGTTTATATTCTGATGTCTTTCCATCTATGAGAATGATCAATGAAAATTAAGTTTAAAACTGTTTGCTGTAAGTGACTAATAAATTGACTAAATAAAAACTCAAAACCTTAATATTAAGACAAACTCAATTCTCCCAATAAAGTCTTAAAAACACCTTGCTGGAGTGAGCAATACAGATTTTAAACATGTAATTTAAAAAGAATATTTAGTTTTCAGACCAAATCAATTTTGTACAACATTTAATAATCACAATAAAAATGTAAATTTAAATTCAAACAATTAGAATGAATATCAAAAGTTCGAAGTTAACAGAAAAATGTTTTTGTTAAGCTTTGAGGTAAGATCTCGATTGCTTGTTCCAACAAGGTTATTTTTTAAACTTAAAATATTAGTTCATAATCAGTAGAAGCATTAAGTACAAAACATTTCTGAAATTTTTTTAATAATTATTGAGAAATAAAACTATATTTCCTACCATATAAATTTGAGCCTGTAGGCTACCTGTGGAGTATAAAGCCACATCCTAAGACTACTGGGTGGTGCTACTGTGGTTTTAGAGGTAAGTAGCATTTTTAGGATGGAATTGCCCAATCAAGGCTAGAGTGCACAGTCTGTCCTGCTAGTTAACCTATAACTGCTGATGAGAAGAAATGGATTCCTATCATTTCTAAGGGCATTTCTGTGAAGATGAATGCAACTACTGGAATTTGAACCTGGTTTTCTGATCCTATTTTTCATACTGGTAACTGCTACACATACATTTTGCACATTCATATCTTAGGAATTAATATTTAGTAAAAACTAACAACATTCAACTGATTATTCAGCCGTATTTATATATTACTTTCTTTTATATTTATACATTATTTTTATTTGTTATAATTTAACTATAATCATATATATTTCACTTATGAGTCATCACTCAACTGGTGTGTCAAATGGGCTAATGACATTGGCAAAAATGGATTCACCCTATTTTGTATAGAGTTGAGCGACTACTAATAAGTCAGTCGTCACTTGGTACGGGGGGGGGGGAAACTGCTATGTCACAGACTAAAAGACATCACAATAATATGGCGTTGCCAAAAGGATCTCTAACATCATTGGATGAATCGGGATTTGTGGTAACTTAGATTCATTATTTTGCTTCCTATGTGCAGGCCAAGAAGTTAAAAGACCCCAACGTTGCAGGAGGGGTGAACAAGATGACAGTTCTCTTTTTGACTTTGTTAGGATGTGAGCTCATCAGAAAGATCTCAATCATGGCGTATCCCAGAATAGCTATGAGTGGGATATTCACTTGTCTTGATTATTGTGCACACAATATAGTTCTCTTGTGTAGTCATTGAGACAAGTAAGATCAGCAAAAATAAGACTGTTAACTACATTCTTTCATGATTAGCTTTCCACAGTGAATGTATGCAAACAATGCCAGTAATGGCTGCCAACCAGTGATGTGAATGGATCCAAACTTTTACTGTTGATAACTCCAAAATGGTAGATTTTATCAAATTTATCAAGCCAGATTTGAATGTACACTTAAACCTAAATGTAAGTATTTGGGAAATTTTTTTATGCAAACTGAGCATGGGTCCTAATCTGCAAATTAACCATATTTTTTACTTTTGGAAGTTGTTTGAATTCTGTGATAAAGTATTCTTTTACTGTTTGTCAGGTTTTTTTCATGTATCTTACCTTAATGAAGAAAACTAAATTAACTTTGTAAGCAGCACCCTTGTCAAACCGAGTTATATCCCTTGTTCTAATCAGATGTCACAAGTAGAAAAATGTGTGTCTTCTGAGAAACATGTGGTTGGAGAAGAACCTAAAAAAGAAACAGAACTTTCTCATCATGGTAAATAAATATTTTTCTATGTACTTTTCTAGCTTTGATTTTTTTCTTATTTTATAATCAATCATTTTAATATGTATTTTTTCTTAATAATCATTAATTTTATGAAGATTGCAAAGTCCATAATCTCTTATAGCAATAAATTAATCTCATTAAGGAAGGAAATAAAACAGTAAATTATGATACAAAATGGAAGGGGATTCCTGTTGTCTGTTGGAAATATGTGTTGAAAATAATGATAAGTAGATAGGTGTTGGCAGCTTGTAAAATAGTTTTAGCTGTTGTAATAAGCAAATAATATTGTTGCCTCATCATTCAAGATGCCTTAATAAACTGGATTAAAATATCTGATCTCATCTCAAAACTATTTTTTTCTATTTTAATGTGGATTCTGCTTCTATTTTGAAAAGGAATGTTTCACTTCATATGTTTTTATTCAAATAAATTTTAAATTTGCTAAGAAATTTCAATACAATAGACGTGAAATTTTACCTGTCTTAATGTGTTGGAATGTGTCACGAAAAAATAAATGATTTCGTCTCTTTCTCTCCTGCTTTCATAGCGACGGGCACAATCTCCACTTCTGAGACTGAAAAACTGCCCTCCTTCTCATTCCAGCCCTTTACATAGAGCTTGGTAACTCACCTATGCAAAACACCAATAAGCCAGCTACCAATCACAGTTCTCGCGCCTGCCCACCTCCACTCGCTTTGGGGTTGTCAAGTTGACCGACCAACTATTTACACTTAATAAGAAGAATCAGTTCTTCAGGGTTAGCAATAAGCTTCAGTACAAACATTTCAGAGTGTTTGGGTATCAGTCTGAGAACAGTGCAGAGGATACAGAAAGAGTTGGATGAGTCTAATGGTGATTACGAAGGTGTTTGGAGTGATCACTAGTGATGGTGATGTTATGTCTCCATTCATCTTCCAACAAGGCCTCAGACACAACATCCTACAGGCCTACATCAAGTGCCTTGAGGAGGTAGTTATTCCTTGGGTCAAGAGGTCATAAAAAATATATGTCTTTTTCACATTCTTAAAGTTATCTGACAATGGAGACTCATAAAATTAATGTTTTTTTTTTAAATAGTTTTTTTTATAGTTTCTGCTTATAAACCTTTTCAGAATTTAACCAATAATTGAATAACAACAACAATATTTTGTTAAAAATCTATCATTAAATAATGTTAAGTTTAGTTTGCACCAGTTTTTACTTCACCACTTTTTTCTTAACTATCAAGACATGCAGGTGATGAGACATTGATTAGGCTAATTGGAAATAGATCACAAGAAGGAGTGATTTAATCCTTTTCCAACAGGTATTAGCAAAGAATAGACAAAAGTTGTCTCAGCTAGAATTCAAATTCTATTCATCCCACCTATTTATCATATTGATAACCATTTAGGCATTGTATATCTCTATTCACTAAATAATGAATTTGATTGTTAAAAATCTAGTAATCAATATTTTTGTAAAAACAGATATCAGTTGCTTTGTAATACATAAAATCCGTTAATTCTGCTCAATGGTATTGAGTTAGCTTTCCTTACCGATATGTAACGAAACATATTTACCACTTATCTCCTGAGACTGTGAAGTATGGATGACTAAAGATGACAAATAAATGATGTTACCCACAATGACAAAAGTATATTTTTAATATTAAAGTAACATACAGAATAATAGTTTATTAATTTTTTGCATGGTTTCTTTTGGTAGATAATTCCAGCAATGTTTCTGAAAGTGAAGATTTAAACCTGCATCTGAGTTTTAACACACAGACAGAAAGTTGTAAGGATGCAGCTTCTCAGAGGAGCAGTTTCAGTGGTAAAATGAGTATTTCTCAAAGTCCTGCAACACCAAAAGATAACAGCAGTGATGGTTTGTCTGTTATTCAATTTCACTAAATAGTTCCATTGCTTAATATTGAAGGAAAAAAAAACCAACTTTTATTTTACACAGTATTTATTTTTCAATATAATCTTCTTTATAAATGCACTTGCTTTAGTGCTAAATATTAATCATACAGATCAAATTGTAGCTAACTAAAATATTCTTATTGAATATTGTATTTTTGTCCTTTGTATATCTTGTTACCTGTTTAGTCTCTTATCATTCTATCCTAAAAAAAAATGTCTAAAAAGGGAACTTTTTGAAAAACCATATAAGGATGCACTTTACTTCCTTAGATTTTAATAACTTTGTTTAATGGTATTCCTGGAATATTTGGGCTTCAGTTTGTCATAACACAAATACTTCTTCATTTTTCCTTTTCTTTTATTTTGTAGAAGTCAAATTTAAACTTATCCTGCCTTCAAGTGCTCATTCTCCATCGCAAATTTCTAAAGATGAAACACACTTTGAAAGGAGCTCTTCTACTTCTGTTAAATCAAAGCCTTCATCTCAACAAGATGTCTCACAAGGGATATTATCTGCCCAATACAAAATGAAATCTGAAGAGAAATTAACTGACCCTAAGACTCTCCAATCCCAAGAAGGTCATTCTGAAATGACAGATTCACAGAAAAAAAAAATTCCAAATATCTTACCTAATTCACAGGAAAAAGATTCAACAATTGTAATCTCAAAGTTTTATAAAATGGGATCTCAAGATAGATGGCTTGGCTCACAAAAAAAAGATTCTCCTGTTGAGTCACAGAAAGTTTATTCTCAAAATGTGGCATGTAGTTCCCAGAAAAGGGATTCCCATGATGAGTCACAAAAGGGTTATTCTCAAAATGTGGCATGTAGTTCCCAGAAAAAGGATTCCCCTGATGAGTCACAAAAGGGTTATTCTCAAAATATTCCATGTAGTTCCCAGAAAAGGGATTCCCCTGATGAGTCACAAAAGGGTTATTTTCAAAATGTGGCATGTAGTTCCCAGAAAAGGAATTCCCCTGATGAGTCACAAAAGGGTTATTTGCAAAATGTCTCACATAGTTCCCAGAAAAGGGATTCCCCTGATGAATCACAAAAGGGTTATTCTCAAAATATGCCATGTAGTTCCCAGAAAAGGGATTCCCCTGATGAGTCACAAAAGGGTTATTCTCAAAATGTGGCACATAGTTCCCAGAAAAGGGATTCCCCTGATGAATCACAAAAGGTTTATTCTCAAAATGTGGCACATAGTTCCCAGAAAAGGGATTCCCCTGATGAGTCACAAAAGGGTTATTCTCAAGATGTGGCACATAGTTCCCAGAAAAGGGATTCTCCTGATGAGCCACAAAAGGGTTATTCTCAAGATGTGGCACATAGTTCCCAGAAAAGGGATTCCTCTGATGAATCACAAAAGGGTTATTCTCAAAATATGCCATGTAGTTCCCAGAAAAGGGATTCCCCTGATGAGTCACAAAAGGGTTATTCTCAAAATTTGGCACATAGTTCCCAGAAAAGGGATTCCCATGATGAGTCACAAAAGGGTTATTCTCAAAATTTGGCACATATTTTTCAGAAAGAGGATTCTTCTGAGTCACAAGAATATTATTTGCAAGATATGGATTCTAATACTGCAAAAAGCATAGAAAGAAGTAGTGACACTCAGAAAAAGATTTCACAAAACACATCACCACCACTACTAGCAACAACAACAACGTCTCAACAAGAACATTTCCATGGTTCACAAGAACAAAAGAATCAAACACCAATTTCTGGCTCTCAAGAAAGGAACTCTCAAACGTTGGAATCACAAAATAAAAACATACTAGAAATGGAAAGTGGATTAGCGGGAAAAACATCTGAAAGTATATCGCTTGGATCTCAGAAAGAAGATAAGTTCCCTAAAGAATTGAAACTAAATGAGGCTTCATCAGACATTTTAACTGAATTGAAGAAAAAGGACTCACAAGATGTGACAATGGGGTCACAGAAAGAGAGCTCTTCAGATATGCATGTCCCTCAAATGAGTGATTCTCAGGCTATTTTGGATGTAAAACAGAAAGAGAAAACATCTGGTACTCTTGAAAGAGAAAATTCCCAAGGCATATTAACTGACTCACAGAAAAAGAACACCCAAGATATGCCAGGTAATTCACAAAACAAAGATTCTCAAGTAATGCTGCCTCTCTTGGAGAGAGAACAACTTCAAGCAACAAATAATTCTCTGAAAGGGAATTCTCAGAGTATGTCATCTCTTGCACAAAGGGAACAGTCACAAACAGGTAATTCCCAAGGTGTGTTGTCTCTATCACAAAAAGAAGACTCCTCAGATAAAGTGAGCAAGTCTCAGAAAGGAAATTCTTGGGGCTTAATGCATGGATCACAGAAAGAGGATTCCCAGGGCATGGTAAGAAACCCTTTGGACATATCTACTGACTTTCAGAAAGAGAATTCTCAAAGCTTGTCAGAAAAAGAAAAATTTTCAGATGGGTCAGCTCACTCTCAGAAAGAGAAATCCCAAAATACACTTCCAGGTTCGCAGAAAAATGATGCCTCTGCTTCACAGGAAAAGAATTCTTATCTCCAGGCTGGATCACAGAGCCATATTATTCCACATGTTTCTGATGAGAAAAAGGAATTGGGTCTGTCTTTTGGTTCTCAAGGAACCAAATCACAGTCAGCAATTTCCAGAGATGATTCACAATCAAGAATTTCAGTTGTGGATTCAGCAAATGCTCTGTAAGCAAACATTTCTTCTTTTTTTGCACTTAAGGTTTATTTTGTTTCTTAATACTAATTACACCTACTTTTCTATTTAGTAAGAATAGGGTGGCTACCTTCACTTGACCAGTTTCCAAGTCTGCTCTGGCTTATTCTGATACATTCAGTGTGAAATGGGGGAGGATGTTTTTGATCATATTTATTATGGAACAAGTTGGAAAAGGACTCATCCAGCAATGGATGCACAATAACTGATGATAATAATAAATAATGAAGGCTAATCTTGTATTTTCTTGAAATTCTGAGAAGAAATAAAATTATCTGTATTGACTATCTAATTTGATTTTGTTTATAAAACTTGTCACTTGTTCAAACTCCTGAATGTAAATACCATGATGGCTTTGTTTTGATCAGTGGTTAGTGAGTTAGTATTGTCTAGTGGGCACCCGCTTACATCTGAGCATCAAGGTTGTCATCCACTCTCCTTATTCCCTTTCTCTCCTCTGATGATGGTGGCAGATATGGCTGTGAAGGCCCAGCCTACTCCTGATGAGTCATGAGCAGGAGTCACAGAGGTGTGTAGGTGGTGGATGTGACTGGGTGAGTTCGACCCTCCTGTTGGACTTAAAAAAATCTCACTTCCCCCTTCAGATGGTTCTATGCTAGGAAGGTTGATTTGCAGCAACAGTTTCTCAGGTCTCAGGATCAATGTTGGCCTGTGTCAGGGATGTTTTCAACTGATCCTTGAAGCGTTGTTTTGGGTCTCCATGTAGCCACTTGCTGCTGGTAAGTTCTCCAGAGAGAATGATACACGGGAGCCAAGTGGGATGCATTCTAGACACATGACCCACCCAGTGGAGGCAATGTTGAAGTTAAAAAATTATTTGTAACTATTTGACATTTGATGAAAATTAATAATTCATATCTGACATAATAAAACTTTATAGAATCTGAGGTTTTTTTTTTCCAGTTGTGTCCATCAAAAGGTAATTTTGTCAGAAGACCAGGCTGCAAATTCTTGTATAGATTGGGAATAGTTGAAATTCAAAACTCAGATAAAAATGGTTGAGTTTAAGATTTAAGAGAATTGTTTTAATGACAAAATTGTAACTATTTAACATTTATCAAAATCAATTAATCGTCAACACTCACTCACATCTGTGCATTTCCTCTCTCCTTATTCCCCCTGGTGGCAGTGCTGGAGATGGCTGTGAAGGCCCAGCCTACCCCTGATGAGTCATGAGCAGGAGTCATAGAGTAGTGTGGGTGTGGACACAGCTTGGTGTGCTGAAGAGTGGTAGAAAGCACAGTCAAAGCGAGTTTGACAAGGTTATTTGTGGGAATTTGATTTTGGTGGACAACTCTGCGAGATGGAGAAACCCACACACTTGGCCAGAAGCACGCCCCCCCATGCTTCAAATTTAATATTTTAATATTGTAGATCATTCCTATTGTAGTGAGTTCAGTTCTCATGAGCAGACCAACAGATTTGGTCTTGTGTCAGTGTAAACAAACTTAGTAAATACATATGTTAAGGAAATTCAAGAGAATGTGATTGAGGCAGCTGCTTGCTATTCAAAAAAGGATTTCCAGGATTGCTTCCATCATGATGTTGGATAAAGTGTGTTCTTTCAGAAGGAGACTACTTTGAAGGAGATTAAATGCTGAATTAATATGTGTTGTATTTTTATTTTTATAGCACCAGTTCTGATACTTTTTGATCAGATCCTGTGTGTGTGTGTGTGTGTATATATATATATATATATATATATATATATATATATATATATATATTTGAATATTTCAGTTTTTACTTATTGTAATATTGTCACAGGATTAACTATTGTAAATATGAAACTTTAGTTAGTGTATTTAATAAGTTATTATAAAAATATACATTTTGTAAATAATACAATATTCTTATCTGACCCTGAGGAATGACAACATTGCAATACTTTTAATAAGTTGTTTAGTCAGAATGTTTTATTTACTGTTAATAATATTAACCTGTTGTAACATTTAATGACTTATTCTGCTTATTTAATTAGTACATGACGTCTTTTTTTAGCATATTCTGTAATGAAAGTTATACAGAAATTTATATGCTTGATTTCTTTTTTAATGTAAACTGACTTTACCTCAAATAAACTGTGCTCTATGCACCAGTGAATTGTAAATACTTTAAGGCAGACATTGATAATTTTTTTTCATATTTTTTCACACTCAATAACCCCTTGTGGCTAAGTGAATTTATCACCTTATTTGGGATGAAATGATTTAGAAGAAAAAAGACTTATGCAGACCAAGAACTATCTTTCATATAAGCTTATGTGTATTTAATTCTGCAAAATAACCCTTCCCCCTTTTTGTTTTTTGCTGAACTTTTCAGTGTCACTGAAATCAACACAACATCACCTGATAGGGATAAAAAATCAATCAAATCCAGCTGTCAGGTAAGTTAGGAGAAATTGTAAGATCTTTTTTTATTTTAAATTGTTTTGTTTTTTATTTTAAATTTTGGTCTGTGGCATTGTCTTCCTTATATATTCACAGAAATTGAAACACTTCTGGTTCAGAAAAAGAGTTTTTTTATGCTAAATGCTCACCCAATACAAGGCTTAAGAATCAATCAATGTAGAGTGTTACTAAATAAGGTATTTGTATGCACATGGAAGGGGGAAGTAAGTACAGATGCATACAGTAGGTAATGGCTGACCCAGTACTTGAAGAGATTAAGAGTGTAATGTTTATGAAAATATCCTCTCAGGAGTCTGTTCCATAAAGTAACAACATTTAGGAAGAAATAGCTGGAATGGAAATTTTTTCTTACCAAAGGAATATGAACCAAATAAGAATGGTTCATCCCTGGGTATGTGGTATGGCAGGTCTTAGCTGTAAACGTCTGAACTGGTGGAATAAGAGAATATAGCTTATCAGAATATTTTCCATGGAAATAGCGAAAGACTGGTGAGATGCTTGCACCGTTGCATATATTTTAAGAATCTGCCTGATTATGTCCAGAAAGGCAATTCTTCTGCTGACTCACAAAGATTATTTTGAAAATGTTCCGTCTGGTTCCCAGAAAGGTGGTTCTTCTGTATTTTGGAGAGAAAAAAAAAAAAAGGAACTAAAGAGGGAGGTCGCCAGAAGTTGGCTCCAACGACCAACTGTTGGACAGGACCAGACAAGCCCCAATCGAGATTGACATCAAAAAACGGAGATGGAGATGGATTGGCCACACACTCTGCAAGCCTGCTTCTAGTGTCACCAGGCAGGCCCTTGACTGGAATTCACAAGGGAAGCGAAAAGTGTGTCGACTAAACAGACTTATCACAGAAGTGTAGATGCAGAGGTGAAGCCAGCCGGCATGACGTGGGCCGAGCTGAAGAGGATTACCTGGAACTGCATCCGGTGGAGAGGTGTTGTTGTGGCCATATATTCCCCAAGGAATCATGAGGCATAATAAAAAAAAAAAAAAGAGGACGGTTTCTCTTTCTGATCTTCTCCCAATGTGAAATAATTTATCTGACGAGATCAAATAACTATTTTGTTTCAAAAAAGAAAAGAAATCTTGTTTATTTATTTAACAAAATCTGATCCTGCACTTATCAATTGATGTTTATGATTTCTCCCAGTTCTTGTTTGATCACTGAAGTTAAGCAATGTCAAGCCTGGTCAGTACCTAGATGGGTGACTGCTTTGGAATACCAAGTGCCATATGCTTTGATGTGCAAGAGTGTAATAGATAATGGCTTGGAATGAAAAATTGGAGAGCCAAGTTTGAATTCCAGTCAAGTTTATTACATTCACTTATGCACAAATATCCATGAGAAAGGTATGAATACGTCTCTTCGCCCCACTAGCTATTGGTCCTATAGCCTTGGTTGGTAACCAGTCTATCATAAAAAGTAATGGCAGCCTATTGCAGGAAATCTTCTGCCAAGTTAATCATTAATTGAAAAGAGACATGATTGCCCAAGTGTCCATCACGCATATAATCTAAAGAATTTTAATATGTAGTAATTCTGGGGGATCAGTTTAATACTTAATGACAATAGGAAGCCGATCCTCCCACTTTATGTTCCATAAAATCTTATATGAATGTCAATCATGAATTAAAGGGAGACATGATTGGCCAAGAGTGCATCATGGATACAACCTAAACAAGAATTTTAATATATAGTAATTATGGGGGATTAATTTAATACTTAATGACAATAGGAAGCCAATCCTATTAAGGCTTCCTATTGTCCCACAGAATCTCATATGAATGTCAATCATGAATTGAAGAGTGACATGATTGCTCAAGCTTGCATCTTGCTTGGTACCTAAAGAAGGAAGGATATTAATGAAAGCAATCATAATTCTTGTTGGTTAATCAAATATTGATTGCCCAGTAAGCAGTCAATAACTTTGAGAAATCATTAGCATATCCAAAATTTCTTGGATATTCAAATCTATTCTTTGTATATTTGTTGTTGTTAACACCTTCATCAGTTGTAATCCATGCTCACAAAGCAAATATAGAAACAAAAGATTTATACATTTGAACAATGTTGAGCTTCTTGAACAATAGTTTTTTTAATTACTGTTATCCAGTCTTTTAAAATTGATGGATAAAGTCTTTGTAAAATGTTGGCTATTAAAGTATTGATCTGTTGAAACACTTGTTACAAATACCAATCATTTTGTGGTAGGTCTTAGCAAACCACTGTTGAGATATATCTTTATGTCATGCTCATATTATAAAAAGCCTGGAGAAGAGTGTTATCAAGTTAAATCATGATTATAAATGTCTCTTTAGCGGTATGTAATTTAGGAAATGTCTGATTAAATAAATTACAAACATTATGTTTGCTTATTTTTAGCATAATCCGTTCATATTCATGGATATTTTTCCGTGTATTACAATCAAATGATGCAAGAAATGCACTGTAACAGTGAAAATCTCTTTATTTCCCCAAGTACTTTCCATCTCTTTCTAAGATCATCATCCCAGGTGCAACTAGTAAGGCAAAAACTATGTGTAGTTATTCGTTACTGAATTGCTTTTCATTTTTGCATTTAAATGCAATGGCTGACAGTTATGCTATAGTGTTCATTAGAATGTGAAAAAATTATCCACAATGGAATTTTTTTCTTTTATGTTGGAATGTAACACATGGAAAAATATCCATGAATATGAACGGATTATGCTAAAAATAAGCAAACATAATGTTTGTAATTTATTTGCTCCCTAAATATACAAAAACTTAGGAAATGTAGCATTTTGTCTATTGCTTAGAGTCGGTGGATGGGTCAGATTTGTTTTGCTATTTATTTAACTATAATGTTTATAACAGTAGATATAATCCAGCAGTTATCTGAAAACACTTGCAAATTGTTTAGAAATGTTTATAATATATACATGTAAATTGTTTAGAAATGTTTATAATAAATATATGTAATTTGTTTAGAAATGTTTATGGTAAATACATGTAAATTGTTTAGAAATGTTTATGATATACATGTATTGGAATAGCATTTATAATTTTTTACATTTTCTTATTTTCTAACAGCAACTTTCCCATAGTCAACCAAGTAAACAGAGCATATCTGGATCTTATAATACCAATCTCCAGGACATGAAGCAATGGACTTGCAGTCTGGATTCTGGTTTGCCACAATTAACCAATGTGGAACCATTTGCCTCTTCCCTCAAAAGACAATCACCAACAGATAAGGCAACAACAGATCCTGCAAGAATTTCTTCACTAGGTACTGAAGACAAAAATCTGAAACAAACTCCAGAAAAAATAATTGCATTTTCTCTTGGCTCCATCTCCAATTTCCAATATGTTAGTTCTTTGCCGAAAAATCAAGATTCTTGTTCGAGTGAACCTGTTATGTTGTTATCCCAAGAAAGGGAACTTTGTGTCAAGAAGGAAAATATTTCAAGCAGTCAGCCATCAACCCTGACAGGAATGTATCCTGAAAATACGTACCAAATAAAGGCAGACATCTGCAAAAAGAATGTCAGTGGTGAAAAGCTGACATCCCCATCAACTGTAAAGATTGAAAATCAAGATCAGCAGAAAGAGTTAAAGCCAAATGTGAGTCATGAGCTAGAATCCTTAAAGATTTTGTATCTTCCGGATAAGGAGAATAAAGAACCTTATAAAGATACAGTCAATGACAAAGAAACTTCTGGAAAAACACCTTCAGTTACTGCCTCTCCTGAAAAGATGGAAATCGATTTTGCAGCCATCGAGCTTCCCACTAAACCAAATATCTGTTATCTTAAAGATACTGAACATTCACAAGGGAGTAGCACAATATCACTAAGCCAAAATCATCAATTTGAAATCTATTCTTCTCAAATGGGAATATCTCAAGAATTAAATAAGAATTCTAAAGAAGTTTCTTCTCTTTCAACTCACACAGCTTGTGATAAAAATCTTGTCTCAAGTCCTCACCAAGAATCTACCAAGAATATTCTTGCCACTGCAATAAAAAAACTTACTCTAATTAAGCCCAGATGCAAAGAAGGGAGATCAGAATTACCTGAAGCTTCTTCAACCATTTACCCCAGCCAGACCAGCGCTTCTCAACAGAGACATACCCCATCTGTTGAGATGCAACCACAACAGAGAATTACTTCTGCAAATGTGGCCAGGTACAATATTAACTCGGTGCAAACTAATCCTAAAACTGAACAGCCTTTGGCTGGCCCAAGTAATGATCCTTACTTATTTATTGAATCCCAACCGAAAACTGCACAAATAGTTGAATCTAAAAAGAAACAACGCCGATCAAAGGTAAGATCTTTGATTATTATTGGGATTTTTGATTTAGTTCTCTTTTTAAATTCATGATTTTATAAGATAAATTTATGGGTGCCTCATCATAGGTTAGTGAAGAAGACATTTATTATTGTGTAATGTGTTTGATTTTCACTGGGTGCCCTAATCTTGAGTTAAGCTTAAAAATTCCTGGAAGATTTAGGCAAAAAAGTAATATTGTTTACATTCATAAAATAAAATATTATTATTAACTACAATACAGGTGATCCTTGAGTTATGATAGGATCCCATTCCAACCACCTTGTCATTAAGTTGATTGTGACTTAGTTCAAATACCTCCTCTAGTGAGTTGTAGCAGTAGTAGTGTCATTTAATGTCAGTGTCTTGAAAAGGATTTTTTTTGTTTTTGAGAATAATGAAACATAGCAGCAGTAAAAAGGTTCATTACAAATGCCATGTGACATTTCAGTTTATTGTAATGCTATGGCAATTCAATTTATATGAATGTGTGAATTAACTGTGTAGCCATTATTATGCAGTCCTCCCATCAATATAATATCCTGGGTGCACATGTATTAGGTCATCATGTATTTTAAATCAGGGATATATACTTGCACACATGTGTACATACATACACACCCACCCAAGCGTATACATATATTAAAGCCTTTTTTTGTGTATACAAAAAAAATCCCTGATTTAAAATCCAACTATACCAACTGGCTCTAATTTAGATAAAGTTAAAACATCAAACAGGTGGACAGACACTCCCTTAAGACTGGACATTGGGAAGTGATAAGCTAAGGTAATTTAATTTGATTTATGATTTCCGCTTTTCCTCAGAGTTCCTAAGGCATTTTCCTCACACACAGTTTTGTCTTTCTTTCATTTTAATCTGAGGAAGCCAAAGAGAGCATATGATCTCTGGTGAAACATGTAGTTGATAAATTTATCCACTTGGTCTCATCATTTTCACATTTGTTTTGGATGCTATTATATATCCTACATGCGCACACACACACACACACACACACTAGATTCTTTGTGAAACATAGATTGCTAGTTGTTAACATGTATATACATTTTCAAGACATATGTCTTTATGAAACTTACATTGGCTGCTGTTGAGATATATATGTTTCCAAGACATTGTGAAATATTGGTTTCTAGCATTTATGTTATATACTAAATAATGGTAAGTGCTATTTCCAAACTACAACACAGCCTGTTTTTTCCAACATATTTTTATTATATTGTATGTCATTTAGCTTAGCCTTTATTGCAGTGCATCTGATGGAAACCACAATACCAGCATCCATGAGAAATTGCTGTCAATTTCTTTATAGTCATTTATTTTCAGTAAATAACAATTTCCTATTTTTCCTAAAATGGGCCAGCACTGCCAGGCAACAATGCTATTACAGTGCAGCAGTAAAAGTATTAATGACCAAACATCAGAATACTTATTTTGGGAAGTGGATTGGGCTAAGAACTTTTCATCAATCTCTCATATCTACCATTCTTGTGTTAGGATAATATTAACTACTAGTATGTGTGAAAATGTCATGGATTTCCTGTTTGAATTTTCTTTTCTTTCTGAACTCAAACAGCATCTCTGATATGTCTTTTCCATCTTTCCTTGTGATCAAAACAGAACAGTCTATTATTTATAAAGTATTGGCTGAGCTTTTCTAGCTTTCCTTCTTTTTCTCACTGAAATCAAGTAGCATCTCTGATATGTCTTTTCTGTCTATCCACACTATCAAAATGGAATAGTTCATTATTTATGAAGGTATTAACAGGGTGTAATGTACAGGCTAACAAAGGAAGTAAGGGAGGGACAATTAGAATTATAAGATAATGAAGAAATATTTTTATTGATCTTCTTTTATGTGCTGTGTCCTTTCATGATGTAGGCGATCATGGTTCTCCACCTCCTCCTGTTTCTTGTAGCTCTTAATAAGTTATTTTGTTATTTCTCCCAGACACTGTTCTGCCATCTATTTGCTTAAGCTTGTTAAATATGTCATGCATTGCTTTCCCTTGTCCCTCTTTCTCTCTATCCACCCAGTGAGTATCAGATTTTCCAAGCCCTCCTTTTTCATTACGGGTCCCAGAAATTTCAGTTGCCTCTTCCTCCTTGTTTGCATCCTCTCCAAAACCTCATGGTTGCTCACATGTTCGGTCCATGGTATCCTTAGCATCCTTCTGTAGAATCACACCTCTGTTGTCTTGAGTCTTTTCTTCATCTTTAAGGAGATTGTCCAACATTTGCTGTCGTAAAGGAGGACAGATATCACATAACAGTTCAGTACTCTTTTCTGTGTTACCAGTGAAACCCTCCTGTCTCTTAATCCTCTGCTTAGCTTTTGGAATGTGTCTTTAGCCTTCTCAATACATCTTCAGATCTCAATGTTGCACTTTCCATCCTCTGTCAGAACACTTCCCAGATATTTAATTTTCTGCACCTGCTTGATTTTAGAGACCCTCACCTGTAAATTGCGTTTTGAGTTCATCTTTTTGCTGATGACCATGCATTGTCTTCTTGTAGTTTATGCTTAGTCCTTTCTTCTTGCTCTCCTTTGCTACCTTCTATAGGAGGTTTTGTAGTTTCCTTTCTGTCTGCTATCAGCACTGTGTCATCTTTGTATCTTATGTTGTTAAGATTGTGGCCACCAATGAAATTATTATTACTGATAAAATTCCATTATTGCAGGATTTCTTAAAAATGTTGTTTTCATCTTGTGGTTTGTTTAACTGTGGCCCTGTTTCTGTCTATATTTCTGAGATGAGGTATTATGTACACTATTTACATTATTCCTCAAGAACACATGGCACAGTGGATAAAGGTGTTAGTTAGATCCAGTGACAGAACCCAAAGTGTGAATTCAATACCCGGTTAAGGCAGTGGAGAACTTGGAGAGGGGAATTAACGGGAGATAACTGATAACTGACATCCATTAGACATGGCACATGGAACTAGAACAGTCTACCCCAGTGAGCGAAATAAAGGGTTCAGTTCAACATTCCAATCACCTGAAGAAGGCTGGAGCGTACAACTGGGCCACACTATTCACATTATTCGGACTATTGTCCTCATCTTTGTCGCCATATTTATTACAATGTTTTGGCTGTTGTCATTGGTAAATTTAATTAACTTCAACAATACTCCTTAACAAGTGTAAAAATAACAACTTTTATTAATGGTACTATGATTGATTATGATCATGCATACATAAACAAAAGGGATTTGAAGAAGTTTCCCCATATAAGGAATTCTCAAGCTGGTAGAAGAGAGAGGTTGACTGGTGGTTGCAGCTATGGTTAAACAGCCCAGAGTTGTTCAACTATTTAAATGAAAGCAGCTGATCAAGGGAACTCAAAAAGTGGTGCAAAGAACAGAACATCAGCTGATTGAGTGACCATGATCATCCTGCAGGGAGAGTGTTGGTCTACTAGTGGCAACACCAGTTTAATCTTACTTCTACTCTTTTAGCAACAGCTTTTATAGGGGTACAAACCCCAATTGCACTGCTTTGATTGGCCAGCCAATAATAATACTTGACCAATTATATCGGCTAGCCAATAATAATGCTTGACCAGTGGTCTTGTCATACACATTGAAGGGAAGGACAGCTCCCAAGAATCCAATATGATTGGTGGCCCAATTAAAATAATGGCTCTGTGTTTTAAGTATCAGAGGGAAGGGCAAGAAGCTCAATCCCAGCCATGCTCTCATTGGTGGGCCAATCAAAATTGTGGCCTTGTATTGCTCATATCCACCTTCAGTGGAACATTTTCCATGTTCCAGAATTTCATTCTCATTTGACTTGATTATCACAGGTGTCATCATCATCTGACAGTGTGTCATATGCCTAATCAAAACAAACCTGACCTTTTAAAGATTTACTTTGTGTCACTCATTTCAATGTGTAATTTCTTTATCAAATGAAAACAGCACTCAAGTTCAACAGACTGATGATCTACGACTGTACCTAATGACCAATGAGTTGACATGCCGTTAAATCCAACATCCATCCATCCTAATGACCAATCCCACCCAAGTTCACAATTTCACCTCACACACTATACTCCAAAAGATATTTTTCCCACCTTAGAAATAAAAATTAAGTTACCAGTTTACCTTTGACATCAGTCATGGTGTCATATAATGTCTTTGCCCTTTTGAGTAGCTTCTAATGTTTTTGTTATTGCTCTCAAAATCATTGTTTTTTCATAAAAAATAATCTCTTTTTTTATATCAGTATTTCTCCATAGAAACCTTGTTCATTAAACAATTTTCTGGCAAAATTGCATACGTTTGTTGGTAATTAATATTCTTTCCAGGCTGATTTTTAAAAATATTTTAGTGTTTATTCAGGTCATCTTCCAAATCAAGAGAGATGGAAGTGACTTTTTTTACCTATTTGTGAGTTGATGTTTGTTCTTGTAAAAGTTATAGAACCACAATCATATTATTACTACTTTGGTTTTCATGGAATGGAATTGCTAGCCCCAGGCCTAACCCTTCAGTCTTCAATACAAGGTTTTACTTCTAGTCTGCTTGCCAACTAAAGCTATAGAACCTAGTCTTCCCTGCTATTTTATTCTCAGCTGGTAGTAGAAGACCTGAATTTATGCCTTTCCCCAGAGCATTAGTGTAAAACTGTCTTAACTGGAATTTGAACTCAGTTTACCAATTTCATTTTCCATACTGTTAACCTTAGCATATCCTTATATTTGTACATACAATAGAATCAAATGGAACAAAGTCCTGGGTATGACAATAAACTACAACTGGCAGCAAGGCCTCTGATCAGGAGATTGGAGGTTTTGAGGAGTGTGGAACCACCTCTTAATTATTGTTGTTCTCAAGTCCACCCTAACCCGGGCTGGTACCATCTTTTAAGGTCCCAGCTATGGGCAAACAGTGAACCCCCAAACAAAACACTATGAAAGTATAAAAATACATTTTATAGTAAAAATACCAGGAATACATTTTTATATAAAAAAGGACTAACAATACATATAGTAAAATTACCAATAATACATTTTAAAGCAAAATAACCAGCAATACATTTTATCTAGAGTCAAAAGTATACAATTGCATTTAATATATATTTATTTGAAGCCATAAAATTGTGTTCAGATATTTAGATTTCATTATTAAATAACCCATAGAGGTGTTGATATGCCGCCGAACAAAACCAACCAACCATCAGATGGAACAAATGTCACAGTCAGTGGATAGATGCAAAGATAAAGTAAAGTGTTGCAAGAGATTTTTGTAAATATATCTCATTACTTCTTGTACTTATTAATGCATCTGTAGGAAAACTGGAGATGTAATACATGGTCTTAGCATTTATGAAAATTCAATAAAAAGAAACATTTTCTGTGATGTTATTAAAGATAAATGTAATGTTTGTCATTTGCAGGGATTGTCCAAATTTACCCAGAAGAGGATGCAGAAGAAATCTATACCAAAAAAGAAGAGTTCTCTAAGTGGCCGCAGCTGGACCATTCGCAAAGATTATAAAAGTCCTGTTCACCGTGTCAGGTTTGAACCGCTCCGAAGAAGAACTGCCACTGTGAAGCTCCTGAAAGATGACCCTATATTCCTGAAGGTTCCGTCTTATAAAGATATTGAGACAATTTTCTCCAGGAAGGACAGCCTGAAGGAACAAATAAAATCTTCTTGTTCAAGTGATGGGAGCACACAAAAATCTACCAACAAAGATGATCCACAACATCAGACATTGTTCTCTGTAAGAATATATTTCTTTTCTAAAATAAAGGCTTGTCTTATTTCCTGACCATTAAAAATTCCTTTCTTCCAGATCTTCACTGCATTTCTAGAGTGAAAATATTAATAGTGCACTTACAATATAAATGGAATTGCCCCATTCTTTCAGTAACATTTGGTTTAATTCCTGACTATTGACTATTCCTTTATTTCTCATTTTAAATTTATAACATGCAAAAATTAATTTTAAATAAAAAATAAGAAAATTCAGTTTCTAAATATTAATTTATTCCCTACTGTCAGAAATATTTATTTTCTTAATGCAGAAAAATGAATTTTTCATAATTATGAAATATTCTAGACAGTCCATATAGAGGAAGGAATCAAGAATCAATTGATCTGCATTTTATGCAAAACTAGAGGAGATGCACTCATGCCTTTCTCAAGAGCATTAGTTAGAAATGAACAGAAACTACTTCATTGTTGATCCTTCATCCATCCATCCCATAAATAAAAGTTTATTTTCTATCACAATTGAAGAAGACAATTTTAGCTAATCAACAAAATTTGATAAACATCTTACACAGAATTCGTTTTACTTTATTAAATAATTTTAGGAAATTATTTCACTAAGTAAATGTTTAAAATTGGATTCATTTGGTTTGTGAATTTAACTTTTAAAAATGTTCTCTATAGAATCTCCAGAATGTTCTGCAGAGGAAGATTGTGGAAGAAACAGTTGTACAACTTGTTTATCGCAAAATCACTATTGAAACAGTGAAAAACTCCAAAGTGGTTGACAGTAGGACTATTGTGGTAAGTTTGAAATTTGAAAATCTTGAGGAATTGCTAAATCTAAATAATAATTAGAGAACAGAATTCCTGAAAAATGCAATCTGCTAATGTAATTAAAAGATAACTTTTGAATTGGATTCAGTATTGGTCAGAAATTAAGAATTGTAAAAGAGTGTATTAAGCCAGTATGGCATTAAAAAAACAAGACAATAAAATAATTATGTATCAGTTCATATAATTATTGAAATTTTGACATCAGCTTGCTCCTTATATATACTTTTAGCATTTGCTGTATCATTATATATGTAATTATTAGAGTGAATAAAAGTTTTAACATATTTGTATATAATGATATCTTGGCTTGAATGCATAAACATGTAGCTAAAATATAATTAATAACAAAATATTAATTATAAAATCTAACTTTAACTCATATCCTCCAGGCATCAGTTTAAACTGAAACCTTCTTGACAATATATTGTTACAATTTTGTTTAATAAAGAAATAACCATAAACGATGGCAAAGGGAGCCAAACTTCACAGCAAGGCTACAGCAGAAGGGAAGAAAGAGATGCAACAGCAGATAGGTCATATATAACAGCATCACTAAAAGAGGTCAAATATAACAGCAACAGCAAGTAATAAGAATATTAGGTTTAAGGCTCCAAATAGCTTCAGGATTGTCCCAATATCTAGTAAAATAAAATTCTACATTGTGATTTAGTGATATAGTAATTGTGAATTCAATCCTTGTCCTAGGTAATACACACTCAGTGGAAACAGAACTAGCAATAACTATGAAATAAAAGAAAAAAAATAGTTATCCCTAGACAGGGACAGCAGGATGAAAACAATCTATCCCATAGGTTAAATAAAGAGTTCAGTTCAAATTTCCCTTACGGATCAATAATCACCTGAAGAATGGAGAGCACAATGGCCAAATTTATGTTTTCTTGATTGCAGATGAAAACTTTCACTTTCCAAAATTATTATCTACCATATTTGATGGCATATAAGGTGCATGTTTTTTACTGAAAATATCTTTTAAAATTCCCCTGCATCTTATATGCCATATGTAGGTTTAAAATTTGCAATAGTCAGCCGAAATTAGCTACCTAGCAACTCCTATTAGCTTAGACTTTAGAGTAACTTTCATATACCTATTATCATTATTTAAAAGGCTATTATGCAGATTAAAAGTGTTATCATTCATTATATTAATTTCATCACATTCAATATTAGTACTTTGTTTCACTAAAATTATATGCAATAAATTCAAAATATATATTTGTAAAATATATTTGTTTCATTAATATTTTTCTTGCAATAACTTCTGGCTGCATTGGTATAAATACAATCAGAATTTTTATATCCTAATTATTCCACTAAGACGTTTACAAGACGCAGGTTGTACAGATCATATAAAGGAATATTTTTGACTGAATTTTAATGGTAACTGTACTGTTTTGCTCAATTGTAATAATTGCTTGATTTTTATTTTATTTTCTTACCTTTGGATATAATAAAGTTTTTATAGGCTTGTGTTTTTTTCCCATTATTTTTCATTTAATTGTAATTGTGGCTTGTTTAGCCAAAATAATACCTCATAAATATAACCTTGTCAGTACCATTTACTAATAATTTTACTAATTACTAATTTTTTATTAATTTGCCCTGCTGAAATTGGGATGCATCTTATATACCATCAAATACAGTAGATATATAGAAATCAAGGTGTTGGCTTAAACTGACTCCAGAAGATTGGTTAAAACTGTCTGAATTAATGTATTTCTGACTTATATATGAAAATTATATCCTTACTTTGACTTACTCTTACTAGGAAAGACATCTATTCATTTCCATTTTTGGAAATATTTTTTTTTTTGCTAAATTTTTTTTAAATTTCAGGAAAAGGATGATCCATTAATCATTCAAAGGAGTCGGAATGAAGATTTCAAATATTTGAATTCAGCTAAGGGTGTGTCTCCTTTTTGTAGTCCCAATTCCTTGACATCAGGTGAGTATGCTGATGTGAGTTCATTGTCTCACTCAGATAGCAAAACCAGCAACAGTAGCAGCTTTGGCAGTCTGGCCACCAAAACATCCACATTTGAGGTCCCTATGTCTCCCTTGGTACAAATTTCTTCCAGTCAGTCCAAGAAAGACAACTTGAGTGGCCCCCAAAGTGGTCAACCTGTTACTTTGAGATCATTGCAGAGTCCAAATACAGATGATGACCTTTTGAAGGCGCCATCACCAATTACATCTGTCTACAAGGACACACATTCTGTAAGTGTTATGGTTTATGTGGTATATTGAACATAATACGTTTGGGTTGGAACAAAAGTTTGTCATATTTTGTGCCTCACTATTTGGTACAAATAATCAGACGTCGGTTGAGAACTGACTGTTTTAAAAATTAAATATTAATATTTATAGCCTACTCTTAAGATAGTTGAAGCTGGTAGAATGGAGATCAATGTGTTTTAGTAGACTCAGCAGTTTTTAATCTGCTTGTCTGAATTGTCTTCAAGAAGTGAGAGCAAGATCTAAAATGTCAGCCAATCTAACAGTGATCTCATCCCCAAATCTTCACTCTTGCTCCATATGCGGCCTCGTTTGTAAATCACTAGCAGGTCTTAAGTGCCACTTAAGATTATCACACAAAATTTCATAACTGAATCAATTAAGTTGTCAGATCCTCATACATCAAAACTGATGGGAGTGTCCATTATTATATATATATATATATATATATATATATATATATATATATATATATATATTATATGAAAAATATTTAACTTTTTAAATATCAATTTTTATCCCAACATCGATGTTTCTTAGTAAAATTTCAGTCATCAGGAAAACAAATATTATCCCGGATGACTGGAAATTTTACTAAGAAACATTGAGGATAAAAATTGTAATTTAAAAAGTTAAGTAATCTTTTCATATAATATCATTAATGCTCTATTTTTAATATTATTTTAATATTTTTAATTTTGAACAATATATATAAAAATATCTGCTGTTTCTTAAATCTTTTATATATATATATATATATATATTTATACATAAAATGATAATTGTCTGACTTTGTCCATTTCATAATGTGTGACGTCATATATATATATATAAGTAGACATTGAAGTCAACATCGAGCAGTGACAGTTTGTTTCATATTTATATGCATTTGTCAGACCTGATGATTGCATAAAAGCATGAAATGGACTGCCGCCTCTGGGTGCTGACTTTTATATTTGCACATACTCTATCCTTGATATTGAGCACTTTAACCCATAAATATGGCATAACTTAAAACTATATTTTATCATATATATATATATATATATATATATATATATATATATATAAAATAAAAAAAAATTATCCACTGTACCATGTGTCCTCAAGGGCACATGGCACAGTGGATAAAGGCATTAGTTAGATCCAGTGACAGGACCCAAAGAGTGTGAGCTCAGTACCTGATTAAGGCGGTAGAGAACTTGAAGAAGTGAATTAACAGGAGATAAATGATAACTGACATCCATTAGACATGGCACATGGAACTAGAACAGTTTACCCCAGCGAGCGAAATAAAGGACATTCCAACCACCTAAAGAAGGCTGGAGTGTACAAAAGCTGAAATGTTGTGATAAATATGGCAACAAAGATGAGGACAATAGTCTGAATATGTAAATAGTATATATTTATTTATTATATATATATATATATATATATATATATATATATATATATATATATGAGAGAGACAGACAGAGACAGAGATTTAGAAATGATCTAAATAATGAGATATGATCAACCATATATGTGAGTGAATATGTACATAACTATTTATTTAATCAATGGTGTAGAAAAAACAGTGCTCAATGTAGTTAAACAGAGTTATAAAGTATGTATTAATAATTACACATATACCTACATTTATAGTACAACTCAGTTTCATGGCTTTACCATTCATTAGGTACAAAAAATTATGACCAACCAAAACAAATACAGAAAGATATTTTTGTAGATTTTAAATGTTCTTAAATGTTAAAAGTGGAAAAAATGTGATGCATTTTTGTTATTCACTGCTCTTTTATTTCCATAAAGGAAAAATATTGTGCCAACAGGGAAAAAAGACAAGTGACGTTTGTAGTGCCATAGCTGAGAGGACTGTTAGCAAGTGGTTTACTATGTTTGAAAGTGGAAATTTTGATTTAGAAGATGGAGAACATTGCAGCAGTCCTGCAGTTGTTGATGATGCTAATGATTAAATTGAAAAAGTGATTCAAAATAATCCCGTTAACATGACACAGAACATTGCAGAAATACACCAAATTAGCATTGCAAAGCATTTGAAAACCCTTCTTGAATTTCTGTAATTGTTTTTGATTCACAATTTAAAGACAAAATAAATGTACTGCATTTCTATCTTCAATTCTCTGCGAAAATGCAACAAAAACAACACATTTTTAGAAAGAACAATTACAGGAGATGAAAAATGGCTTGTTTACAAAAATGTGGAGAAAACAAAATGAACCACACCATGAAGTAGTGCTGTATCTGAAGAAGCTGATTTTGTCCATCTGGTTGGATTGGGAGGATATTATGCATTATGAGCTCCTTCTAAAAAAATCAGATATTAAATTTGAACAAATACTGTTTCCAATTGGAGTAATTAAAAACAGAAAATTATTAAAAGTTCCTGGAATTAGCCAATCAGAAGGGTGTTGTCTTCCATCAAGACAATACTAGTCCTCATTTCTCTTTACAGATCCAGTAGAAATTGGTATAGCTTGACTAGGATGTTCAACTATACCCACCATACTCACCTGACCTACATTTGGATTACCATTTATTTTGATGCCTACAAAATTCTTTTAATGAGAAGAACTTCAATAGTTTGGAAGCCTGTAAAAATCATTTAGACTTTTTCCTCACCCAGAAAGATGCCAAGTTTTGGAAGGAAGCATTCATGAAGCTACCTCATGGCAAACAAAATGGTTCATGCATGATTGAATAAATCTCTGTACAAATATTGTCTTTGAATTTCACTTAAAAAGGCACAACAAACTTTTGTTCTAACCCAATGCATTTATTTTTTAAATGATCATATTCATTTTATTTAACTTGAGTTATTTCAGTTTGGGTTGAAATTTACAGTCACATGTGAAAGTATTAGATACATGAACATTTTAAAGATTTAAAAAAAAATAATATCTAATGGCTACAAACCTAAAAGTTAAATTGAAAATAGTAGATACTTAGGATATCCTATATATAAGCAGAAAAAAGGAATTTTTTTGTCTATCTACAAATTGATGTACAAAGCAAGTTTTTGACACATCAATAAACTGAATTCAGTATTGAACATTACAGCCTTTATTTGCTATGACAAATGTCAGATATTTAGAATAATTTTCTCATAATAATTAAATCCATCTTTATTTCAATCCTATTAATAAATCACTTTAAGATTGTTTAAGTTTTGGTCATTCCACTAATGAACTATATTTTTAAACTCCTTCCATAGACTTTCTATAGGTTTTAAGTGACTGACTTAGCCATTCTAAAGCTGTTATTTTTTGGCTTTAACCATTCTCTTGTTCTCACTACACTATGTTTCAGATCATTATCATATTGAAACATCCAACCCTTAAGTAGTTTAAGTTGTTTGAATCAAGTTCTTCTTCAATATTTCACAATACATAGCACTATTCATTGTTTGTCCTGTGATATATAGAGTATCTGAAACCCAAAGAAAAACAACCCCAAGTCATTCTTCGATCACAATTTTTAACTGTTTGGGTGATATTTTGACGGTTATGTGACATTGTCTTTCAGTTTTTGTCTGACCATAATATTTTTCTAGAACAAAAAGGCTCCTTGAGATTTTTATGAGTGAAGAGTAGTCACAGACTATCTGCTGATTTTTTTCAAACAAATACACACACACACACACACACATATATATTTTTTTATTGAGGTATACAGAAAATTATTCAGCCCAACTCACTTCTCTAAATCAGTAGTCTGATGTTTGGTCATCAAAATACTGATTTTGGGAAATGGGTTGGACTCGGACTCTTATATATGTGGATATGATTTTCTTTGTGTCCTGTCTGTAAATGGGAAAGATGGCCAGTAAAATTTTTATGGATCTTGCTGATAATTTAATTTCATTAATCTTTAAAATAATTAAATAATTTTGTTTGCTTTTCAATTTTAATTTTGTTTTGCTTGTAGGTTTATTGTTCTACTGAAGAACTCCATGCTGTAAATCAGAATTGTGAAGGTTGTAGATCATATGTTACTGAGACAGTTCCTGCCTTAGAGGCATCATCAGGTGACCCTGCTAAATCAAGAGCTACAGTTGTTCAGAACTCTGACTCTCTTTTCTCTTCAGCAGAAAATTTGAATATATCAGATTCTGGTCCTTCTACAACAATAGCAGGACAAGAAAATGTTAAAGGAAAAGAAGGTCAGAGGTCAGTGGACAGTTTGGTACAAGAGGCTGATCAAAGCATTACGTTGACTGTAGAAAGTGCTGAGATTTCTGAAATTGATTTGAAGACTCCACCAGCAAGTCAAAAATGGTCTTCACCCCAAAAGAGAAAAGCTAGCCATTCTGATGAAATTTCTGAAGAAACCGGTATTGATAAACCACCTCCCCAGAAGAGATTGAGGAAAGGTAATTATATTTTTCTTTTTTTGCTCCATTTGATACATAATAACTTTTTCTTTGTTAACTTTGACTAGTTTGAAAGATTAGTAATATAAGATCTAGTTGACCTTTTACTATTTTGACTATCAAACTGATAATAATTTTAAGGACAAACAAGAATAGAAAGATAATGTTTTTTTAATTGGGGATGTTTATAATATACAGCAGGGGTAGTCTATAACGCCGTATCCTCGCCCCACTAGACCCACACACTCCACAAGACCGGCCATTGGTCCGGTATGGTCCAGTATTACAGGTTAGACACAAGTCTCCGGTTCCCAATGTCAATTTGAAGCCACCCTCCAGCCACATTGTGATTGTTTTGATCCTGGAGAGGCCATCAGATTGTAGAAATCCGGAAGCTCCCCGTTGGTCTACCTGTGAGTTTGTCAGGTGAGAATTGGGTTAACAGCAAAATAAATAAACAAGTTGATTCAATTTTGAAAGGACAAAAGTTTTTTTTATATATATAAAAGCAAAAAAAAAAATAATTCTTGTTGCACAAGGTTGAATGTTTCTTGTATGTGAACAATAATCAAATTCAAATACTTCAAATAATTTTAGTAAGGAGATATGTGGCCTTCGTTTTAACCCTTTTTGGTCTGTTCTTAGTGCAACTACTACAACCATCGATGTTCCCGTTCTCAGTAGTCGTAATAGTAGTAGTAGTAGTAGCAGGAGTAGCAGTACTTAGATGTTAGTGGTGGTATTTCGCTTCTTCACCTTCAGTTCAGCAACACAGCAGATGCATTCTTTTCAATGTGACGTCTCTCCACTTAGTTCGACTGCATTCGAAAACAGACTAACCTGAAACTCTCTCTATCTTCTGGTTTGCTCACCTCTTTATATAGAGAACTGGTGACGTATCTGCTTTTCTAGTGCAAATATACTGACATACTTTCAAAGTACAATTTCACTCCTCTGAGAGTAAACAGTTCACTTTTCATCGATAGATTTCCAAGGTCCACAACAAGACGCTATTGTTTATCACCTTGCTATCAACCACTCTGCCACTTTTTGTAAACTACAGTGAGTCTTGTTTCAAAAAGTAAATTCTAAATCAAAACATACTTATTTTAATTTCGATTCTTACAGTGTCCAAATCCATTTCTTTTTCTAAAAGTTCCAATTATCATTGTTCTGGTAATTTTCTATTAGTAATCTGATATCTTTTGTACACTTACAAAAAAATTGTATTTCGTGTTCTAAATTAACTTTCTGTAACATTTACATTTCAAAATTTTTACAGCATTTTTAACATCTTGGTTCTTTTGAAAACGCCTTTTTTTTCTGTTTTACAGCATATTCTCTTTTATTATCATTATTATTATTTAAGGGGTGATATCGCCCTGGCCACAAGTCAAATTTGCTTAATGTAAGAGCCATATATGATAAAGTCCATATGTTTGAGAGCTAAACAAAATTTACACATATGCCTTTGTTACATACACATTTTGTTATAAAAATTTTTATATTAAGAAATGCATGTAGATAATAATATTTATTCATATATGCAGTTTTTTAAACTGTTAATTTGTATAGGTTTCAGCAATCATAATCATCTTTTTTCTAATATACAAATATCCTTTCGCAAATATGTTTGCTCTATGTGGATAAACTGGTCAAAATTCATGTTGTGTTGTCCCAATTTTTCATCTCACATGAATCATTATTGGGATATTGGGGGAGAAGAGAAAATTGTGTGATTTAAGAAGTAAATTGTATCATTATTTTGCATGCATTTACATATCTGTGTGTATGTTACCATATATAACTTTTATAATATAAAATTAAACACAGCTACCTAATAACCTTCAGTTCATTCCTTTGTCTGAATAACAGCAGCTATGCAACATGGCATAGAGTTGGGGTGGGCAAACAGCAGCTCACCAAAAGAATTCATGCATCCCACTAAATGTTAGTAAATTTGAAAGAGAAAGTTACCAAGCAAATAAATAATATTGTGAGCATTTTGTTTTCTTCCTGCATGTATGCATATACGTGGGAGAGTGCTGATCAAAAGGGTTAATATACTAAGCAGCCCAATAAAATTGTCAATATTTAATGTGGCCCTTGCACTGAAAAGTTTGCCCACCCCTGGCATAGAATCTATAAAATGCTGTAATCATTGCCTATATTAGGAGTGACCAAACTTGCATAATCTAAGAGCCACATACAATAAAGTTCACATGTTTGAGAACATAAGACATGAACAAAATTTACGTTTTTTTATATACACATTATGTATTTTTATATGAATATTAATAAATACATGTATTCAATAATATTTATTCATGTATGCAGTTTTTTAAACTTTTACTAATCATGAACATTAAATTTATGTTTTAATTCAATGCGGTCTAAATTCATAGCCAATAAATAATTATAAAACTTGAAATTTTTTTTATTTACCTTTCATATTAACTGTAAGGAAAATAAAAGAAAAAAAAAAGAGTTCAGCCAACGTATTTCCATGAGATGTATATTAAAGGTCAGAGAGCCACGGTTTGGTCACCCCTGATATACAGTGCCAAATTGATCTCTGATTACTTAAAAAGTTATCTGTACTTTGTTTTTATTTACAAATGTCAAATTTGAAACTGTGCTTACATCATTGATAATTGTGTACAATTACAAAAAAAAAAGGGAAAAAGGACTGCATCATTGTTATGCAGTTATCAATGACTTAAACACAGTTTCAAACTTGACATTTGTAAATAAAAACAAAGTACAGATAACTCTTTAAAAAGGCACGGATTGATTTGACACTATATTTATATTATAAAAACAACACCATTTCTAAAATGATAAATAATCTATATCTTAGAATTCTGTCAAGGTCAAGGCTTAGAGAAGGTCTAATGAATGATAATCTACAAAAACTATCCTGCTTTCACCCCCACATCCAAAAAAACATCTTTTTTGGTCTGCAAGTGGCGCTCAGTCAGTTTAAACAGTGCTGATCATAATCAAATGTCATAGATTAAATATTGCCATTATTACAAAAGTGGCATTTAGTCAAGGGCCGTATTGTCTGAACTGCCATTTTCCATTTTAAGGACTTTAGTCTTTAATTTCTCCCTTATTAGAACAAGTTCAGCTTTGCAAATTTGCCTAGCTTATGTATCAGCATCTAAACTGATGCATTCATTCACACATGTCTCAGCCTTGGAGTGAATGATGTGACAGATTGTATCAAGGCCTAGACTATTTGATTACAATAGACTCTTCTATTATTTTGCTCATTGATGCAATGGCTGGTAATCATCATTGGGTAGGATCTAAACAGACTTAAAAAAAAAAATGTTCAACAAGCCTAGCAAAATTATGCCTTAGATGTTGTGTGCTTATATTGAACAAAGAGAAATAATTTTTAATATAAACATGACCAAGGAAAGACAACTCTCTATTTCTTATTTTTATATTGGCCAAATCAATTGTTGACAGAAGCTAGATCTCTCAGTACCAACTTTAACACAATGATAGTGAAATATTTGAAGTATCCAATAGATTTCAAATATTTTGTTATCAGGAATAATACAGCCACACACACACACACACACACACACACACACACACACACACACATATGTGAAAAGTGTGTGTATATAAATATATTACTATTTATATATTATATGTGTGGTACCCCTCCCACTTCTATAATAACATGAATACACGTAATCTACATAAATCCAAAATTTTTAAAAAATTAATCAGTTTGTCTGACAATCACAAAAGCGTGAAACTCAGGGGCACAAACTCACATCATTCCAACCAAATACATATATATATATATATATATATATATATATATATATATATATATATAAAACAAGAAAATACTATTGATATGAAAGAAAAATTTTGAAAAGGTTTTTATGAAATTTTTGCTTTCTAATGGCAATTACATCAAAGAAAATTTACAAAATTTGAATGAAAACATTTTTGCATTTACAGATTCCGAGGAAGGAACTTCTTTACAGCAGACTAAAACCAGTGAAGAAGCAGGGAGGTATGTTTCCAGACTTTAAAATTCTTCTATTAGCCACATTGATCAAATATTAATTTGATTTGATTTTCTCTTGAAGAAATGTTTTTCTCCACCTATTTGTAAGATTTACATCCACACAGATATGCACAAAATAGTTTGGGACAAATATTGTACATACAATTCCCTCAAATAATCACATTCCTTTAACAGTAGTGAATTTTTAACAAGAATTAGATGCTCTCTTAAAAAGACTTCCTGGCTAATGGCTTGCAAACTGGATTACAATTAAATGTCCCATTCTAGTACATTTTGAATTGGTTCTTTTCTCATTAGTAACCCAATTTAGTCCAGCTTCTAAAAGTGACTAAGAAAGTAGCAGATATAACGTGGTGCTCCACCCTGGCCTAACGTTTTACTGCACAAAAATGCCTAATGATTTGAAGCAGGAATTAAGATTAAATTGTGAAAAAACTCAGGGAAACTAATTAAATGTTGAGGAAAAAAGAAAAGAAAGAACAAATTAAAGATAATAATTAGAAGTCATAAAATTTATTGCAAGGAGAATTCAGGGAGAACATGAGCTATTTTAAAAAGTTCTTCTATGTTGAATGATGCTTTATTATTCCTTAGTTTTTTAATAGCTTTCTTAATTTTCTCATCACTAGGTTCATTATTGTTTATGTTTGGGGATGGACTTTGTAATAGTTGGATGAATATTGGTATGTTTTCTATTTTTGCAGGCATCTTAAGTTTGGTCAGGGTTGAAATATAATTCAAAGTGTTTTTGAGACTAGGACATTTTTTTCTGTCAGGGTTTTAATTGTATGATATAATTGTGAGTTTTTTTTTTTTGCTTTTCTCTACATCCTAACACATTGTCTTTACTGTTTGACTTCATTAATTTCATTTCCAATTTTCCAGAGATCCTTGTTTCTCAAAGAATTAACTAGCTTTTTATTTTCTTTGTTAATTGTTTGGCATTTTCCCTTCCATTTTTCTTCTTTTTGTATCTTTCTTGTATCAATTTTTTCAACTTAAGGTTATCATCCCATGTATGAAATATTTTTCTTTCTAGGTCTCTTTGGAATGGTCTCACATGCTTCAGCTAACAACGATATAACATTAGATTCCTTTATGTTTTGATCTAGATTTACTGACATCAATTTGGACTTTAATTTATTATTGAATTCTAGAAGTGCACTTTCATTTTTAAGGGCTTCAATGTTATATCTTGGAGTTTTCCTTGGTTTGTGTGGGCAGAAGCAAGCTATTTTGTTGGTTGGTGTTGTCAGTTTAGTTACAAGTAATCTCTGATCTGATTCAAATTTGCATGCTCTAACATCTGTCACAAACTGCCTAATCCATGAGCCTGAGACACTGAAGTCAATAATCTTTTTGTTACATTATCTGGGCTATGCCATGTGATGTGGTGTTTCATGGTATGATCAAACCATGGGTTAAGGATGGAGTAAGTTTTTGAGTAATAAAAATTTAGTAAGAGTTCTCCATTGTTGTTTGAAGCTTCCTTTTCAAAGGGTGATGTCTTCTTGCCATCAAAGAAACAGTGGTGTTTTAAAAATTGCTTGAGGTAGCATTAATGCACAGTTTTCTGTTTTATTTTTTTATTTTCTACTATACAAATTTTATTTAATCCTTTGTAGAATCTTTCTTTTCCTAAGACAGAATTTTTTTCAGTTGTGGCATAAGGCAATATCACTTGGATCTTACAGCCATGAACAATAATGTTGATGCCATTAGTTTTTCTGACTAGTGTACAATAGTGTCTATTACAATATCTGGTGACTTGTGTATAGCAATTCCATGTTGTCTTTTCTTCTTGTAACCATTCCAAAATAAATTGTATCCCAAATGTGAAATGGAATCACAACCAAGTTGACAAACCTCTTGTATACAAATGACAATAAGGTTTATTTTCCTACATTCATCTAAAAAAAGTGCAACTTGAAATCATCTGATCATGACTGGATGTTGATTTGTCCTATTTTCCATTTGCAGAATTTTTAAGAGCTTGGAATGACCGCATTCCATGAAAAGCCATCTCTTTTTTGGACGAAGAAAGATGATGAATTTCTAATTGAAAAACATGCAATAAATCAGTGCCAGAGGTTTGCAAATACCTTAAATAAGTCAGTAAGCATTCAGACAGCTACAGAGAAAGATGCAGAAACCAGATGATAAAATAAGCGAAGTCTAGTTTTAATCTTTCCTTTCTCCTCCAACTGCTGTTACTGTTCTGAGGTCTCTCAATCTATTTAAATTACTGCTAGAATAATTTTCCTGCTGAAAGACCAACAACCAGGCTACATAGAAGATTAATAATTTTTTATGCCTTATGTACTTTTAGATTTAATTTTTCAAAGTCCCAATGTTTGCATGATTTCCTGTGTTATTTGTGATGATGTTATATATTATGGTAGAGTACACATGGGGCTGGGGTTACAGCAGGTTGAACACTGAGAGCTGATATTTATGGGGCGGTTTTGGGTGGGTTGAAAGATAAAGGGTTAAACCCATTGTTAGTTATTGACAGAGTTTGTTGGTTTGTGCTTTGAAATTAGTTTTAAGCAAATAAGTTACCAAAGCTGTGAAGATTTCATACCTAACATCTCTACAAAATCACAACAACAACTTGGCAAAATCCTCGTAGAACCCAGTTACCTCTTAGCTTACTGATGTCGATATGCAATGACTGGCAAGATCAAAAACACCACCATCTTCATTAGTTAATGATTGGTAATAATATAAAGCATTGTCATAAAATTATATGTAGAGATGTAAAATTTTTTCCAAGATTGTTTATGCAACATTTGAGATATTAACATATTTTATTTAAACTTTGCTGAAAGAAATTGTTTTCACCATTAGGTGAAAGATTTTTTATAACAAAAATTAAAAAATAATTATGAAGAAAACAGTAAACAAAAACATAATTCATCTCAGATTTTAATTTAAGATTATTATTGGTATTATAAAAAAACAAAACAATATGGTATAAAGATGTGGAATAGAGTGATGATTATAGATTTGTGCCCAACTTTCCATGGGTTTCTGTGATTGAATCAGTTAAGGCACTGTCCATGAAACATGATATTAAAATATGGAATCCTAGTTTTGTTATAAGCTACTTGTTTTTATTTTTATTCCTGCTGCTAATTTAATTATTGATGTTGTGATAAAAAGCAACATTATGATGAAGAAAAGCTAAAAATCAATAAAGAATATACTTATCTCAAAGTTTAAATAATTTTCTTTTTACTAATACTGCTACTACAATGCAATATTGTCTGACTTAACCTTTCGCACTCTGCAATATTAATATTACTTCCCCTTTCACGGCATTCTTTTTCAAGGTCTCTCAGTTCCGGTATCCTTATTGTTAATTTCACTTTCAGTTGTTTTCTGTTGTCATAGCAGGTTATGACAGCACAACTATTAAATTCAAACACACTATTGTTCAGGAATCAGAGTCATCTTCAGTGGCAGGATGAACTTTTTATACAGCAAATGAAGTCACATGCAGGGTGATAAAGGTTAAATAAATCTTCTTCTGATTCTCTTCTGTTTTCATTTAATATTCATTATCATTAGACTGAAGAGGATATCTGAAAATACACATGAAAACGATTGGACTGTTCTCCTCATCATTGTTGTTATCACATCATTTTGAACATAGTAACCTTTGGCTTTCAGCAGGTGCTTTTCAATCCAGGTAATGGACACAGAAGCAATTACTGCACCTAATGAATGATTGGAGGGTACACCGGTCACATTGATATGATAGTAACAATAAAGATTATGTCACTAATCCATATATCAAATTGATGTGATAATAACAATAAAGATTAGGTCATTAATCCGAATGTCAAATTGATTTGATAATATCAATAAAAATAGGTCGCTAATCCGAATGTCAAATTGATGTGACAATAACTATAAAGATTAGGTCACTAATCCGAATGTCAAATTGATTTGATAATATCAGTATAAATTAGGACACTAATCCAAATGTCAATTTGATGTGTTAATAACAATAAAGATCAGGATACTAATCTGAATGTAAGTAGATGAAAACAACTTTTTATTTTTCAAAGCGTTCTTTTATTATTACACTATAACCTTTGCTGTGGGTATGACATATAGGTGATAAAGTTTGTTTTCTTAACAAATATTTCTTTGAATAAGAATATTTGAGTTTTTCCTTTTTTTTTTTTTTTAAATATTTGTAGCCCAGAGATTACCCTGCAGGATTACCAGCCGATTAAGATGCCATCACTAAGTCCGGAGTCTTCCAAAAAAGACAAATCAGAAATTGGTAAGAATTCCAAAATCATACTTCAACTAATTTTTCAACTCTGTAATATATTACATTATAAGAAATTATTTACATTCGATGTTAATTAAAAAAACATGTGTATTTACAAGATGTAGTCTGGTACAAGGCTACAAATATAGTATCCTCACTGACGTAGTAATTATGTAGAAATACCAGTTTCCTAACTACTGAGCCTTGTCAATATGACTATTTATTTGTCGGGTGGAGGAGTGTGTGAAACTGAGAAATATTTAGCAAATGAATCTTGCTTGATGATTTACTGGAGCTTCTCATCAAGTCCTTTGCTCATGTAGAGCTGTGCTAGACTAAGTTTAGTAAATATTTATGTCTCTATCAATAGACTGATATGAAAGGACATCATTTTTACTTGGTGCGTTGTATTCTTATCTAGCTTTATGTGTGTGTGTTTAAAATAGGATAGAGAATATTGACAAAGTTTTTAAGAAATTTGACTAATAGAAAATGTTTCATGGAAAATATATTTGATTATGCATTTTGCCTTTCTAGGCTTCATCAGATCCAAAAATGAAAGAAAGAAATCTGTGCATATGCTTAAATAATGAATCATCGTACTTATTCTCTAAGCTGACCTTTCTCGGGATTAAAGAAGAAAAGAAAATGAGTGACTTTTAAAAAAGCCATTTATTTATTCTGTATCTTTATAAATTTTTAGTTCATGTCAAAAGTTGTTAATGTATTTTTCCCAGTTTTTTTGTATCAAATTAAAGGTCAAATGTCATCTCATTTTCAGAATGGCTTGAATGCAAGAAATTCATAGAACCTTTTCTGAAATGAATCCAATCCTAATCCAATCCTTCAGAATGAGTTAAAAGTAAAAGATTTATTTTTAGGTCTGTCCATGTGTTTACTGTGTTGACAATATGTGTTTAAAATAGGATATAGAATCCTGACAAATCTATTTTTAATGAAATGTTTTCCATTTGTTATATATACAGAGCAACCTCGATTCTCAAATGTCTCACATGTTGGTTTTCAAACTGAAAATTTGGGATAAAATTACCTCATTTGATAGCAAAATATCTGTTCTTGAACAACATTGCCGAACTAAGTTAAGCCAATTGGAATCATTTCTGAGTTGACTGCCATGTTGTATACATTTATGTGCTGTACTGTGTTTTGCTTTTCCAATTTTATCAAAGAAATTTGTACCAAATTGAGTTATGTGCAAAGTTTTGTGGAAAAATATCACCCTGATACACAGTGGTAGCAAATAGAGCAGTAAAACTTTTTAATGACAATGTCAAGTCACATTTTAGAAAAATTTTACAATGCAAGCACAAACAATTGACACTGGACAGATTTTTACTGAAAGAAAAAAAGAAATGAAACCCCAGAGAAAGATTTACCTGAATATAGGGTGTAAGTATGTAAATAAGCATTCATCTGCTGCTTGGAAATGAATTAATCTCTTTTACATTAATTGTAATGGGAAAAAATGAACAATTCAGTTTTAGAACAGACTTTCTGAACAAATTATGACTGAGAACTGAGGTTGCTCTGTGTGTGTGTGTGTGTGTGTGTGTGTGTGTGTGTGTATATATATATATATATGTGTGTGTGTGTGTATACAGTTTTAAGTTATGCTATATTTATTTAAGTGCTCAATATCAGGGATAGAGCATATCAGGGCTGTGGAATTGGAATCAGTCAATTAAGGGGTCACTGGAGTTGGAGTCTGTAAAGCTATACTGACATTGATTCCAGTTGAATTTACACTTTATGTAGAAAGTCTTACATTTTAAAATTACATATAAAACAGACTTACCATAACATTGGCACATGTGCAGGAAAGGCGATACTGGAAAGTATGTGCAAACCATGATGTTGACCTTATACCTGTAGAGAGCAGGCAAAACAAAATCCTTGTCAGTCGTCTTAATGAAACTTGTATAAAAGAGGGATTGTTGCCCAAATACACAATTTCATATTTTGATCACGCCCTCTTATTTGAAACGTAATAGCTAAACTCAATAAGGTTGAACCCTTCATTGAGTTCACACATGAATTTGAAACAAATAACTTTCTACCTTTCCTTGATATCCTACTAATATGTAACAATAATAAATTAGAATTTAAGTTTTAGCATAAACCAACTAACAAAAATGACCTTATCAATTTCTATTCCTACCACAACTGGATAAAATCTGGAATAATTATAGGATTTTGCCTTAGAGCCCTTAGGATATATAGCCTTGAATATATTAGTGAAGAAGAGGATTATATTGAGAACACATTCAAACTTCTACATGACCCATACCATTTCACATTAAATGCAAAAAAACAAGCTCACAAAATCCATAAAACTAAACAAACAAATACCTCCAACAAAAATTATACAAAATTCATAATCCTATGCTCCAACACTTCATCTAAACTCACAAATAAATTAGTCATCCCTAATACAAGGATTGTTACAACCACCTCCAAAACTGTCAGAGATATAATCATGATGAAAAATAAAATAAATAACAATTCAAATGCTGGGGTTTATCAAATAAAATGTCTACAGTACAAAAACATATACATTGGGGAGACTTCACGTGATCTAAAAACCCACATCTAGGAATATAAAAGGGATTTGCGTTTAGATAAACATTCAAATTCCCTTGTATTACAGTGCAACAATGTAGGACATAACTTTAATTTCACCAGTGCCAGCCTTATCAAAAAAGAACATAACACTTGAAAAAGAAAATCTGAAAATATATTTATGGCAACATTACCAACTATTAACACACGTTTAAAAAACTACATTGTATCACCATTTTTCTAACTTATCTCTTCCGATTATATATATATATATATATATATATATATATATATATATAACAAGGTATATGTGTGTAATATGTATATGCAGGTGTATGTATGTAATTGTAGCAATGAAAGTCACTCATCTCGTAGAATGAAACACCTATATACCATGTATATTCTTGTCAAAAGTAAAAAAAAATTAAAAATCTATGTTGTATCTCAATCTCATTAATAGAAAAATCGGCATGGTATGCAAATTATTTATCTGACCAATGGTAGGCATCTCAGGTGCCTATATAAACCACTAAGTGTTGAGTGTTGGGGTGAGCTACTCTGAAAGCTTGTGAGTGTTGGCAACCTCTATTATTGGAGACTTTTGCTGTGTTGGCAACCATTAGTTTTGACCTTCAGTGATCCTGCACAATTTTTTGCACTTCCAGTACACACACACACACACACACACATATATATATAAACAAAATTATCCAGACACTTAACAACATACTATGGTGCTAAAATCTATCTTTCTCTGTGAATGAACAGACGATGCGCATACAAGAAAGATATCATTCGCTTTGAAATAGACACCCCACCCTACCTCAGCTTGACCTCTCCCTGAAGGTGACTGATATGTGGATAAAAATTAACTCTTAGGCCCCTTATCAAAAATGGTCGCCCCAGCCGTTTCCATAGTAACGAATGAACATGTTTATAATGATATGTAAACCTCAAAATTGGTTATTCCTAAATTTTCACTTGAGGATGAAACAGGGCTTGTTACTTTAATTCAATTTAATTTTAAATAATTATATTGAGGGTTTCAGCTCTCGTTTTTGAAACATGAGAACTCTATTTAGCGAAGGAACCATATTTTTAAAAAAATAATTATATATATATATATATATATATATATATATATATATATATATATATTCTCAGATGAAGTGTATCTGTTGAAGAGACAAAATGAATAAAAATGTATGTAAGTTTATAAAACCTTCTAATATGTATGTTTAACTATAAGGCAATTATCAACATTGCCTTGATAAAGTCCCTCAGATGATGAAATGTGTTGGCTAGGTATAGTTTTTTCTACTTGTGACTTTTTATTCATATATACATGGTAAGATAAAGAACAAATAGAAAATGTTTATCAGTCTGACATGTTTCACTTTTATTAAAGCTTCTGGCATTGGATGATACACTTAGACATATTAGAATTTTTTACAAGCCTATTTACATATAAAATTATCTATGGTTTTAATGCATGTGATACATGATTGACCAATGAGAATTGACCCAAACAAAATTGAAAATACCAAAGTTCTTTGTTTTTGTCTGTTTTCTCTCAATCTTTGATAAAGCTTTAATAAAAGTGAAACCTGCTAGATTGATAAACTATTTGTTCTTTAACTTATCATCTTGTTGAATTCCAATCCATATTTGATCTGCATCTTTGTGTATATATATATATATATATATATATATATATATATGGAAGAGGTTGTAGGTGTTACAATGAGAGAAAAGTGTATATTTTAAAAAGAAGATAAACTGCAAATGTTTTTGGTTGAAATGTGGGTTTTTTATTTTAAAATATGTATTATGAAAGATAGAGTATAATATATATTTTAAAATAAAAAATCCACATTTCAGCCAAAAATGTTTGCAGTTTATCTTCTTAAAATATATATATAAAAGAGGGAAGACATTGCAAAGGTTGGAAAAAATTCACCATACATAAAAAGATATGAACAAACCCACATCACTTTCCCTTTCCAATCCTAATAGTTTTATTATTCCTTAAGCAAAGGAACACTCTTCCACAAGTCCAAGATGATTTTGGATTACTACTACACACAAAAGACAATGGTTTAAAGATTCAACATAAGAAAAAATTGTTTTAAATAATATGTGGAAATAACCATTCTTTGCCTGATGAAAGTCACAATACCTGAAACACGTGTAGCAAAAAATATAGAAAATAAAATATAATGTATAAAAAATGCAGATTATAACCAAAAACATTCGAGGCATCTTCTCTTTTTAAAATCTACACTTTTCTCTTGTTGGAACAATTATAATATTTTCCTTTATATATATATATATATATATATATATATATAAAGAATTCACTAAAACAGATTTTGTCTGTGAATGAGTATTTTTATTTTTTTTATTTGAGGAATTTATATACTTGCATTTGGTAGGTATGAAGGTAATGGCTAAGTGGAAAGACGGGTATTTCTATCCAGGTAAAACAGCATCTAAGGAGAAAGGAGGAAAGTAAGTGGAAATTTCTTATTTTATTGTTCATTTTTAATTGATAAGCTGGTTGGTTATGAATGATAATGAATTATTTCACAAAATGATTGAACACTTTTTATATTTTAATAAACACAATTTTCCAAATGTTATTCTTGTTGATTATTCACAAATTATTTATGGGATTTAGGAATTTATATTGATATCTTTTTGTGTTATGAGAATTGAAGATTTTTATTCTTTAACTTTGAGGATAAATATAAGATTTAAAATCAAATGAAATGTGTAAATATAAACCTTTCAAAATCCCAGACCTCAAATATATCTTAAAATTATTCTCTCTAGACTATTTTCCCATCTTTGTTGTTTTTAACACATTTCAACCAGTACAAGCTTCCTGATATCTGTCTTGTCTCCAGCATTTACATACTAGACATATTCTTTCTCTATTAATTAAAATATGTGAATGAAACTAACCTAACTATTATTAAGTTTGTAATATTTTTCAACAAAAAGTAAATTCTAAAGTCTAGATATAATATATCATTTATGTGCTATGCCTGATAAACGTTTAGGCGATCATGTAACTTTTGATACATGACTGATGAGGCAGATTTTTTTCATGCAGTAGATTGCCATTCCTTTCTGTGGTAGACCAGTTGCTATCCAAGGCTGTAGAACCTGGTCTATCCTGCTATTTACCCATAGCTGGGGGGAGAAGAGGATTCATACCTTTCCCAAGGGTATTAGCATGTAAGTGAATGTAATGGATTCGAATGGAATTTGAACTTGTCTCTTCAATTCCTCAATTCAAGCCAGTATCTATTACCCGACAAAAGCTAAATAACATATTGATTGAAACACTTATAGCAACAAGGATAAAGAAAATCATATGAATAATATATGAAATAACAAAAACCATCTCAGAATTTTAGAAAGATATTTTAGACTGTTTCAAAATAAAACTGCTATGAAAAGTATTGATATAAGCTAAAATAGTGTATATCAATAATATTAATAATAATGTATTGACATGTGTTAAAAAGCAACAATAATAAGATAGAATAAAACTAGTAAGAAAATACAAATGAAGAGTAATAAAAAGAGTAAAATAAAGTAATAATGAAGAGTATTGAGCCAGAGTATTGGGATAAAATGCAACAATAATAATACAAAGTGAAAAAAAATAAGAAGGAAATATATATTGGTGTTGTGTTTTTCGATAATGAAGTAACAATAAGATGTAAAGCTAATAATAAAATAATACTGGGAATATGTTATAATTTTGTATGTGTGTGTTCTATTGTTCTAATCCTCTTCTTTGTAGGTGTTTAATCAACTTTGCTGATGGAGATCAACTGTGGGTTAAAATAAACCAGATTTTGGTTGTAGATTACCTTCCACAGGGTCAAAGTGTAATGGTTCAGTCCAAAGATAATTTCTTTGATTCTGCCATGATTGTTGACCACATTTCCATCAGTTCTGATTCTTCTGATTCCTTTGTTTACCAAGTAGAAATGGATGACAACACAACAGTCAAGTAAGCTTTTCAATTTATATTGTTGTTTATCAATGGAAAAGCGAATTTGATCAATTTTTAGAATATCATCTGTGAAATCATATTTGCCTTGCATACTTCATTGACTTATTTAGATTCTGTATTTAAAACATTTTTTATATCAATTTATTTGTTTTTTTATGGGTTTTGCAGGTTATTTAAAGCAACAAAATACTTTTAGATTGTAAGAATTTTTTTTTGAGATAATGATTTACTGATACAAATTCTACTAATTAACCCATAGCTAAGGGGTGAATAGGTGTATTCATACCTTTTTCAAGGCTATTTGTGTGTAAGTTAATATAACAAACCTGACTGGAATTGGAACTTGGCTCTCCAAATTCCAGTTCCAAGCTATTATCCATTACACCACCCACACATCCAAGTTTACAGCATCTGGTATTTCCAAGTGGTCACCCATCTTTGTATTGACCAGGCTCAACGTTACTTAGCTTTGGTGTTTCAACATGATAGGCCAGTAACCTTATTTATATCAAATGAAGATAGTTTTTCATTAATACAGTTAAGATGTTACAAGAAAATGAAAATACTGCAAATTCTTGTATAGATTGGAAATAGTTGAAATTCAAAACTTAGATAAAAATGGTTGAGTTTAAGATTTAAGAGAATTGATTCAATGAAAAAATTGTTTGTAACTATTTAACATTTATCAAAATCAATTAATCGTCAGCACCCACTTACATCTGAGCATTGGGATTATCATCCTCTCTCCTTATTCGTCCTGGTGGCGGTGGTGGAGATGGCTGTGAAGGCCCAGCCTACTCCTGAAGAGATGTGAGCAGGAGTCTCAGAGGAATGTGAGTGGTGGATGTGGCTGGATCAGCCAGATCCATCTCACTGCTCCTGTCAGATGGTCCTATGATAGGAAGGTCGATTTGCAGCAACGGTTTCTCAGGTCTCAGGATCAATGTTGGCCTGTGTCAGGGATGTTTTCAACTGATCCTTGAAGCGTTGTTTTGGGTCTCCATGTAGCCACTTGCTGCTGGTAAGTTCTCCATACAAGATGATACATGGGAGCCAAGTGGGATGCATTCTAGACACATGACCCACCCAGTGGAGGCAATGTTGAAGTTAAAAAATTATTTGTAACTATTTAACATTTGATGAAAATTAATAATTCATATTTGACATAATAAAACTTTATAGAATCTGAGGTTTTTTTTTTTTTTCCAGTTGTGCCCGTCAAAAGGTGATTTTGTCAGAAGACCAGGCTGCTATTTTGTTATCTGATGAGGAGTATCAAATGACAAGTGCAGCTCCAAGCACTCCTCGTCTTTCTGGGGCAGACGTTAGTTTGGGTGAATTTTTTTTATTTATTATTATTGGAAATATAATAACTTGACAGAATGATTTTTATCATAAATGACAGAATAATTTATATATATATATATATCTTCTACCTAAAGTCACTCACTGGCTATATATATATATATATATATATATATATATATATATATAATAGAAAAACTCTAAAAATTAGTTATTCCTGCACAAACAACATATATAATATTATTGACTCACTGAGGCGAATAAAGAAAACGGTAACCAGTGAGTAAATTCAAGCTCTCCCAGCTGGTATTTCAACCTTGAGTCGTTCCTTCTTGAGTTCTGTCTCAAAATCACACTAACTGCCCGTTCTCGCCGTCAACCGTGAACGTCCCTAGAAGAACTCCCCGACTTGGAAAAAAGTAGTTGCTTTTATAGTTGTTCATATACCCATAATCCTTTGCATCTTCATGTGATCCCATAATTCATTGCGTCCATGTCCCATAATGCATTGCATCGTTATTGCATAAAAAAGCAATGCCAGTCCCCCCCTCATTCTTTTGCGTTATCTGGCCGAGGATGGATTACGGCAGAGCGGTAAGTGCTTTTTTTCTCTCCCTCATTTCAACTGCAGTAGCTTTACATGCTAAGCAAATATGGGCTCTTTTTTGGCGGGGACAAGGCAAGTTGCGACCAGTTGTGCTCGTCCCAAGTTCTGTCTCATGTCCGCCACACTCACACAACAATAAAATATTAAAATCATTTATGACAGCAACATACCAGATAACAAAACCTCTTGCAATTGTAAAACCAAAGCCAACTGCCCAGTTGGTGGCATTTGTAATTCAGAAAATGTTGTATACCAAGCTACCATCTTTCCAAAAATAAATATTCTTGATAAAAAAAAGTATACATTGGTATCTCTACTGGAAGTTGGAAACAGAGGTTCTACAATGTTTTTTTTTTCTTATTTTTTTTTTAACATGTTGACTGCCAGAAGTCAATTATGAAATATGACTTCAAATACTAACTTCATAATAGCCACCGTAGGCAATAAAAACTTTTTATATAATTTAATTTCATATATATAATTTCTGTTTTCTTTAATAATAAATAATCAATCATCTGTCTTCATTCAAAAATGTATTAAAATGTGAAAAATGTTAGCTTAGTTTAGATTACCCCTCTTTTGACAGAGTAATGATACTTTCTATTGCTGTGTAGTAGAATATGTTTCCTACTGTATATGTTTAACAAAGAAGTAATGAGTCAATCAACAGATGATCTTGTTACTTTTAATTTGCCTAAACACACATTAAACATCAAAATTAGTTACTTTATTTCAAGGGTTTAATGTAAAAGTGATGTATGTCTTTTTGCAGATAATTTGGTGGAGGGGTCTCGACGATCAGCAAAAAAAGTGGAAGTCTTGAGTGAGAAAATGGAAAGCAGAAGCAGTAAGCGTACTAAGCTGATGAGGATGGAACCACAGGCAATGAGCACTCCCACACCTAAAAGGAAGGCCAAAGCCTTAAAAAAAGGTAATCACTTTTTGGGGTGCTTAGATTGAATTTTGTTTGTCTGGCAAAAAATTCTAAAAGCTGAATTCAGAGTTATTTACTGTATTTATTTGTGTACAACACAAAAGGTTTTGTGCCAACATTGTTTAGGATGCAGTTGTATTATACATAAGTGTAATATCTTGGCAATTTTTGATTTGATAATCACTATTCTATGTATATAGTGCTATACATTTTCATTGCAGAATCTTTCATCTTTGATCTTTCTTAAAGAGAAGGCTTACAGCCATATCATTGAAACACTAGATGTCATATGATCACTGAAATTAGTAAATGTTGAGCCTGGTCAATACCTAGATGGGTGACTGCTTGGGAATACCAGGTGCTGTAAGCTTGGATGTGTGGATGGTTTAATGGATAATGGCTCAGAATTGGAAATTGGAGAGCTGTGTTCTAATTCCAGTTGGGTTTGTTAAATTCACTTATGCACAAATGCTCTTGGGAAAGACATGAATCCACCTCTTCTCCCCTCAGCTATGAGTTGATTAGTAAAACTTATATCAATAACTCATTAGCTCCAAAAAAAGTCTTAAAATCTAAAAATATTTTCTGGCTTTAAATAACCTGTAAAATGTGGATAGCCATAAAAAACAATCAATCACTTTTTTAAAAAGAGAAAGATAAGTCCAGTATATACACAAGTTTCTAATATTGTCATAAAAATAGGTTACAGCCTGAAAACTGATTGTTTCATGCCTTTTATTCATAATGAAGTAGGGATCATGTTGTTCACAAAAATAAAAATATGTTCATGATTTTTTAAATACTAAAATAGCAGAACATTATGTATAAGATTTCAGAATTTATTATTAATAAATCAATGGAATTGTAACTGGGGTCAAAACACTATGAAAATGTAAAAATAGGTTTTAATACCAGAAATACTTTGTAAAAAATTATTACCAGCAATACATTTTTGAAAACCAAATGTCACCAGCAATGCATTTTTGAAAAACAAATATTACCAGCAATATATTTTTGAAAAAAAAAAAATGAAAAATATATATTATCAATATATTTTTTGAAAAAAAAAAAAAAAAAAAAAATATTACCAGTGATACATATTTGAAAGAAAATTATTATCAGAAATAGAATTTTTGAAGGAAAAATATTATCAGAAATAGATTTAAAAAAAAAATATTAGCAACAATAAAAATTTTGTTGGCATTAAATAACCCATTGAGGTTGATATGCTGTAAAACTAAGACAGACCAAACCAAACTAATAATAAATAATTGATATTTTATGGAGGAGAAAAATGTAAAATAAAATAAATACAATCTTACCACCCCTCAGTAAAAAAGATCCCCTGCCATTATGAAAAATTCCAAAGGGAAGATGTTACTATATCATGACTATGAATAGGTCACACTAAAATTACGCATTCATTCTCACTGAAACAAGAAGAACCCCCATGGTGTCTTACATGCTAAACCCAATATATGGTAAAACAATTTCTAATTGAATGCATTGGTCTTGACTCCAAAAGACACAATTTCTTCAAGGCAAACAGCCTAAAAGAAATATTTGAAAATATTAAAATAAATAGAATTATAACATTCCTGAAATTAGTTGGATTATATCTGAAAATATAAAAAAAAACAGATTGTTCATTTTCTCTAAATATAAACCCAAATAAATCAGTTTTGGCATAAAATGACCCTAAGGAGTTGATATGCTGTTAAAAATCCACTTAAACTAAAACCTATTACAATTCCATCTAGTCCTGCTGCTTTGTTCCTGTTTATCGTGTCCAGTACTGATCTTAGCTCAGACTTTGATATTTCAGGTGATTTTATATTTTTGCATATTGCAAGTTTCTCTCTAACCTCTACAGGTGTAAAATATACACCTTGCCTTTTAGATATATCTAGGTATGACACAATGAGTCTTGGCTGTGTTCAGTACACCCCAAAAGTCTAAGGGCTTCTAAAAGTTTTTATCTGTGACTTGAAGAGTCTGGTGTTTTATGACAGCAAATTTGGTTTTATGCTTGGACAGTTGATTCACTTCTAGATAATTTTTCTCATCAGAATGCATCTTGCATGTTTATAAAAACAAATTGAAATATTGTTCATTTTCCCTAAATATAAACCCAAATAAATCAGTTTTGGCATAAAATGACTCTAAAGAGTTGATATGCCATTAAAAATCCAATTAAGCATTGATATTTTATTTTGGGTCCCAAAAATTAAAGTAAAACTTTTTCTCTTAAAACTATTAGGATTTTGTTATTTTGGAACCCAAGAATATGAAATTTAAAAACTGAGAAGTCCTAAATAAGAAATGAAAAAGATTTTCCTAGACATGGACAGCAGGATGAGAACAATCTTCACATGTTGATTAAATAAAGTGTTTAGTTTGAAATTCCCTGAAGGTTAACCAAATCAACAGACACCTGAAGAAGGTTAGAGGACACAAAAGATGAAATATTTTGTGATAATAATGAAGATGAGGATTTAAATCAGTAAAACTATCAACATGTAGCGAGAATGACAGTTACTGTCTCATAACAACTGCATATGTCAAAGTCATAAATATATAATATCCTGGTACCAGATCCTAAAAGAAACTTTTAGAGTTCTTACAAATTCCATATCTAATCAGGTAAGAGTTGTTTTGTGAGCAGATGGAAGACCAGCACTTTATTAGGTAGTTGATCATAATGCTTTGCCCCATCAGTGTATGAACATTGGAACAGACAGATTATGGCCCATTGTCAACCCTCTTTTCTAGCTTACATTCTAATTACACTGAAACATCAGTTTTCATTTGATCACCAAAGTTAAGCAATGTTTGACTTAAATGGGGGACCATTTGGGAACACTGTGTACTAAGCAACCTCTTATAATTTGAAATATGTTTTGGCTTTAAATATCCCAAAATGGGTTGATAAGCTGTAAAAAAATGAATCAATCTCTTATTCATCTGTAGTTTCTTGCAATGCTTTTCTTGTCTTCATGTTATCACTGCTACCTACTTAGTTTCATATCATGAACTTTTCTTGTCTACATATTTTATGTATGTAATCTTGTATATAAACCTTTCTTGTCTACTTGCTGTTACTCTCACTGCCAGCTACTTAGTTTCATATCATGAACTTTCTGTCAATGATTTTTATTGCTGGGGTGGTGGTTAATAAGGAGTTTCAACATGATGCATGCAATGTACTTGCCTAACTGATTGATATTATGTGATTATTAGTTTTTCAACTAGTATTTTTCTCTTCTTAATTTTTGTTGTTTTTCATCACAACCCTCAGAATATCAATCTTTTATTAACTTTAAGTAATATTGATAAAAATAAAGAATATATTTATTTTTTACTGATAGTACAGAAAATAAAATTCTATAGATGAACTTTGCCCTTCTTGCAGGTTGGGTGTATTTTTCTTTTCATATTTACAATTGGACTGGTATGAACAAAATTCTGTGTGTTGTGTCATTAGCTGATTTCAGGTGTTACTTGAGGATTCCTCTGCAAACTGGAACAGTAGTTTCAACTGCAGTCAGTCTTTGGGCTTAGTCTGTATACTCTTAGATTTATTAAGATTTGCTTTCATTAATCATTTGAAAATGTCAGTAGGATTGGGATTTCTCCTAAGTCGAGAGCAGAGATAGCAAAAAAAAAAAATGTGAGCAGAGAAATAGGATTAGTAATAAAAATAAATTAAGTTATAAAAAAGTTCAATATCTGTCTATATTTCAATACCAGGTTAAGGCAGTGGAGAACTTTCAGAGGGAAAATTAACATGAGCTAACTGATAACTGACATCCATTAAACATGGCACATGGAACTAGAACAGTCTACCCCAGTGAGCAAAATAAAGGGTTCAGTTGACATTCCAACCACCTGAAGAAGGCGGAGCGTATAAACGGCGAAACGTTGTAATAAATATGGCGACAAGGATGAGGACAATAGTCCGAATAATGTAAATAATATAAAAAAGTTCATAAAATAAAATTATTATTCATAAAATTAAATCAAGTTCAGAAGATTAAATTATTAAAAATGAGAAGTTCATTAAATAAAATAAGTTTTAAAAAAAGTTACCATAAGTATAAAAATTGTGAGCACAGCAGATAGCATAAAAAAAATGATTTACTCATGATGCCTGTACCAAAAGTTGCAACTTTGCACAATTTAGATGTCTGCTGCATTACACTGCAGTAATCATTATTGTAAACTAAGGAAATTTGTTTAGAGCGATATCTGCTGTTTGATAAGCATGTAGAAATATGGACAAAGATTTTCAGCTATGATGAAATTGATAAAATCAAAATAAAACTAATTGATAAAAATTTTAAGAATTCTCTACTGCTCTGCATCAAGTTCAGCAAAATCAAATCAAACTCTAAAGTCTCATTGCAGAAAGAAAGTCTCATCTTGTTTTATATCACTGTATATACTTGAGTGTAGTGCAAGTTATGATTTTATGATCAGATTTTTTATGAAAAAATTAGGTGTTGTACTATACAAAGGTAATTTTTTGGAAGAGGTTAAAAATCATACATTTTTGGTGAACATTTGCCCTATAATTTTCTTCTGGAGGGGTTTAAATTCATGCAAAAAAAAATTAAGGGTTACACTATACATAAAGTTGTCTTATACATGACTATATATGCTATACAAAAATGCTACAAATATTTGTATAGATATTTTCTTTAAAACTATTACTAGGTATACAATATTTGTATGGAACATCTGAACTCATTCATAGAAAAATGAATATATGGAACGCAAATGGTTGATTGGCCTTGATCTTAAGACTCCAACCATCAGACAAGAAATTGATGAAGAGAATCTTTTGCATCTATCTATATCTTTGAAATGAGGCAGTGTAACTATTTACATCGTCATATGCCCCAAGGACATGGCCCAGTGGATAAAAGTGTTGGTTGAAGTGACTTGACTCAAAGTGTTATGAGTTTAAGACCTGCCTACTTGGAGAGTTGAGTTACTAAAGGGAAATAACAGAAACTGAGATATCTAGAGAAGGCATGGAATGTGGAACTAGAACAATCTACCCCAATGAACTAAATCATGGATTTTATTCAAAATTCCAACATATATCACCTGAAGAAGGCTGGAGCATACAAGAGTTGAAATGTTGTGAATATGACAATAAAGATGAGGACAACAGCCCGACAATGTAGATAGTGTTAATAGAATCTTTTGGTCATTAATTCTGCTCCTATCCCCAAAAACCCATTAAAATTTCTTGGTCATCAACATTTCTGCACTGATTAAGACATTTCAAAACTAAACTTGTTGGAAATATATTTTGATTATCAAGCAGTTTTGGATGATTTGCCTGAAACGTTTTGGACATTTTAAGATATTTGTTGTAATTCTGAAAGTAAATTCTTTTCTTGTGATTTGTAAGATTCAGTACGATTCTTTCAAAAATAACTTTCTCATGTAATGAACATGACTAGCATTTCAATCCTTTTCTACCCATCAACTAGACAGAGCCACTAAAAATGTCCCTCTTCTTCTTCTATAAGACATAGGCAATCATGGCTCTCCACAATTTCTTGTTCTTTGTAGCTCTTAATAAACTTTGTCTTTTTGTTACCTCTTCTAAACCTTGTTCTGACATCCATTTACACAAGCTCGCTAGGTAGGTGTTGTTTTCCTCTGTCCCTCTTGCCTTCAATCTGTCCTGTGAGTATCACATTTTCCAAGCCCTCTTTCCTCATTATGTGCCCAATAAATTTCAACTATTTCTTCCTGATGTTAAGTAAGTGTCCTTTTTGTTTTCATTTTCTCTAAAACTTTGTTGTTGCTCACATGTTCAGGCCATTGTATTCTCAGCATCCTTCTGTTGAACCACATTTTTGTTGCTTCAAGTCTGTTCCTCATCTGTAAGGAGATTGTCCAGTATTCATTGCCATATAGGAGGACTGATATTACATAACAGTTTAGTACTCGTTTCTTTGTTTCTAATGAAATTTTTGTTTCTCAATACTTTGTTTAGCTTTTTGAAGGCATCTTTCACTATCCTGATGTGCCTTTAGATCTCAAAAGACCTGTAATTTTATAGTTGTAGTTCAATCTATATTTGGATCCCAGTGATGTTTTCTACTGATTATTACTTAAATTTGATCACTGTGTTGAATCTTTTGCTATGTGCCTAACAAAAGGTTAGTCAAGAACATGATGTGATGTGAAAAACCATTTCTAGATGACTGCTAGCTGCTCCATTTTGATATGAATCATAAAAATATAGGATATTATGTTTTTTTTTTTTTTTTTTTAATTAAAACAAATGTCTATTTTTATTTACATTTAATAAAGGAGTTACATCCTTGCAATTCTGACCAAACTAAAGGGAAACATCAATTTAGGTTTAAAATTATGGGAAGAAGAAAACTTTATTGTAATTTGAAATTCCTAAAATATCTTGATTAAAAAAGAAAATCTAAGGGCTTGTGTCAGTTTACTTTTCACATTTATAGCATGCACTTTTAGGAGATTTGTTAACTCCTAACTGATTCTTGTTATATGTTTTGTATTTATAAACTGATAAGAATGTCTTTGAAATTGATGGTTGGTGATCTTTTCTAATTTTTCAATGGTTCAGGCTTTCTAGATATTAATATTGTTAGTTGAATTATTTCTAAATATAACAGCTGAAAAGTATTCCTAGCTGTTTATATTTCATTTGCCTATATTAATTTCTTTATCATTTTAGGAAAATTAAAGATTTTCTTTTGAAAACTTATTTTTGTATGTCAAGGTTGACAACAGATGTAACAACTTTCTGCTTCACATGCAAAACATAATTATAAAAGAGTGGTTTGCTCAATTGTTCACTTAGTCAATCTCTTTTTCAGCCATTGTGGTGTGGTATACTAGTGATAAGATGTCTAATGATGGCATAGTACACAAAGAAAAATGATCTGTGCCTTTCCCAAGTGTATTAGTGCAATGTGTAAGCAACTCTAGTTAGAATCTGACTCAGTTTGCCAATTTTGTTTGCATTATGCTACCCAAAATCTTCCAAAAAGAAAGAATAATTATTTATATAAAAATTATTTTTTCAATTCTTTAGACAACTATCTTCTGGGGAGGTGGGGTAGGTTGTTGTGGGGGTTCTATAACTAAATTTCACATGCAAAATTTAAAACTGTAAAATGTTTCCTGAAAATTTCTTTATTTTTATAAATCTTTTTCTGCTATGTACTTTTGAGGCATGGTTCACTAAAATCCTTCTGTCATAATTTAGGATTCATTGAATCCACATACTGCATTTGTATTTTCCAGGATTTATGGCATATTTGAACCTTGTTCCCACGGCTGAGCCGTGGTCTTCTGAAAAGAAATTAAGATTATGCAGTAAGTCAGTCAAGTTATAAGAATTCCATTGAAAGCAATTGTTATTGAATCATGCTTGTCTTTTTTTGTAAGCTACACAATCTCTCGAAATCAGTCCAGAGAAATGAGCAAACAATAATTCACATATAAGTAACTTGTAGTAAGTCATATAAACTTCTATACAGTTTTTGTATTGGATTCGTAGTATTGTTTTAAAATATTTTTGTGCAGAATTTTTTTGAAAAGATTGAGCACTAATTCTGCATGAATTCTATACCTGTCTTTATTCTGTATGCTTGTTTATTACCTGCAAAAAAAATCACTGGTTATCTCTTGTTATCTAAAGTGCCATGGATGATACACTCATGGGCAAATGGTCTATGCTGTGTCACAGAGGTTGAACTATTGTACTAAGACTGAGGAGTTCATTATTTTCACATCTCTTAGTAGTGGGGGGGCAGTTTCTTTCTTTTTGACAACATTCAAGGCAGATTTGTTTTTTAAGTTATCTTCTAGCCTTTGCCTAAAGAGACATGAGCAGCAGGTTGTTGGACCAGGCTTGTTTTTAATACAGCGTTTTTCCTTCTTCTAGACTGGTAGCCACCCAAGGCTATAGAACCCACTCTGTTCTGCTATTTACCTATAGTTGGGGTGAGAAGAGATTGATTCATACTCTTCTCAAGGGTCTTAGCACATAAGTGAATGTAATGAACTCGACTGGAATTTGAACTCAGTTCTCTGATTCCTCAATCTGAGCCACTATCCATTACTCCACTCTGTCTCCGCTTATCTATACATAAATAGTTCCATCTTTTTTATGGTTAATGTTAATCATAGTTTTTATTCTTTTAAATGGGTTTAACACATCAATATTATATGGAGAAAAAAAAGTAACTAGTATACTACTACAGAGGTGGTGGTAGTAGTAGTAGTAGTAGTAGTAGTAGTGATATCACTAACAGCAGATGCAAATACACAGACACAGAGCCTTGCTTTACCACCTTCTTCCTTTTCTATTTCCTTTACCAAGCCACAAACAAAATAGTGACATTCATTTTTATATCATAAGATGATTAAAAGTTGTATCCTTTCTTTTACAACATATTAAACTGGGATGTCAGTCTGTTAGCAAAATAATGTGCAACTAATTCTTAAGTTTTGGCTTGATATTATTGTTACAACTAAAATCAGTATAACATTTTTTTTTCTTAGATTCTAAAGATGCTGAAAGTCTTATTGGAGCAGCTGTATCTTCTCCAAAAAGTCAGAAATCTGATAGAACCCGACAAGTAAAGAAAGGTAATTACAATCAATAACTTTTTGCTTTTAATTTTCAGCCTGTTTCAGTCTTTAATGCACTTTTTATTAACAAAGAAATTGTTATATTCCATGCTAATAGGAATATGGAATAGACAAACATGGTGGATAAATAGTAACAGGTTTATTGTAGAAACCAGTACACCAAGCAAGGAAGTAATAGTTATGCACATGGTCGTTGCAAGTCACTACAGTTGTGTGTGTGCTGTTATCGGAAGGCCACTAGTCTCGCAGATCCCAGCTCAACTCTTCTGTCCACTGTCCTAACAGATACTTATAGGTGGTTACCACCTATAGTGTCACCACTTATGGGGGTGGCAGGTTATTCCATCACATCAGAAATATACACCTATTTTGAAATAATGCTTTTAGGAAGTTGGTCAGGCTGAAGAGTTTTTAGTAATTCCTCATATAATATGTTGGCCTAGAAAGTTAATTCTGTATTTGTCATTAGGAGACTTCAGTTTTAACAAAGTACATTAAAAAAAGATTACTTTTTCTATATTTGTTATCATGAGAGTTCAGTTTTAACAAAGTACATTAAAAAAAAAGTACTTTTTTTATTGTGACAACTGTCATATCTGCATGCATCTTTTAAAAAGAAATTGCCAAAATTAGTATCACTTTTGTTTATCAATTGAAATGAAACACTTCTTTTATGATCACTGAAGTTAAGCAACATTAAGCCTAGTCAGTACCTAAGCAGGTGACTTCCTCCAGGTGTTTGGATGTGTGGGTGGTGTAATAGATAATGACTTGTAATTGTAAATCAGAGAACTTAGTTTCAATTCAAACCAGATTTGTTATATTCACTTATGTGCAAATGCTATTGGGAAATGTATGAATCTACCTGTCCCCCTGGCTATGGGTTAATTAGTAGGACTTTTATCAGTAAGTCATTATTATCTCCAAAAAAATCTTACAATTCAAAAATATTTTCTGGTTTATAATAACCAGCAAAGGGTTGATAAGCTATAAAAACAAATCAATTAATCAATCTAATATTGAAGAGGAAAGAAAGGAAGCAACATACTGACATATTATGTTTTTATTTTAAGAAAGGTAAAAATTTAAATTTAAAAAGAAAAGTACCATAGATAACTTTTGTGACTCAATGAACACTCGTTGCCACTTTTGTGATGTCAACGAATACTCATTGTCATTTTTGCAATTGCAGATACAACTATAATATGCCGTTGAACAATACTGGTGTCAGATGTCTTTGAATAGCACTCCTGGTAATAGTACTTGCTTGATAATACTCCCTCAACAAGTAACCTGTATAGTGATCTGAATAGAGAAATGTATAGTTAATAGAGTAGAGAATAGTGGTCCATATAGTAATAGAATAGAATGCAGATCCGAATAGTAATAGAGGATAGATTAGAAATGATGATCCATCTAGATGTCACGTGACTTCTTATATGTGCATTTCCTCTATGGTCATGTGATCCACTTAATTCAATAATGGGATCACCTGTGTTTGCTCACTGGTGACCTATGTTCAAACTCAAGTGATGGCAGCAACACTTTATTCTTATATAACAATAACTCAATGTGTCAAATGTAGTTTGCTTAATTTTACATTGTAAACCTTTTGCTAAATGATGTTCTCAAATCAGGTAGACAAGCTGAGGTTGATAATAATTAGTTCAAGACGTTATCTGAGAATAATCAATATTATATGGTACGGTAGATAGCTAGCTAGCATTCTTAGAATATCCCAATCAAGCATTAAAAAATCATTTGCATCATCATTGTTATATTAATTGCTTTGATGAGTCACTTTCACATGAACAAAAACAACTCACTCAACTCTATTTCTGTTTGTGATTTGCTACTTAAATGAAAGTGTTTTATTTTTTAATAAATTGGAATGAGAAGGAAATACTTCAGTATGTGAATCAAAAGATCTTGTGAAATGCAAAATAAATCATCATTTATAAATAGGGTGATGTTGGGATTGGAACAAAGTCCTTTCTTCTGGAGAAGAAAATGATTTGAGGAACTATTGCTCTCATTTCAGCCATTTGAAGGCAGCAATCAATGAAAAGTGTTAAGAGAAAGGCCATAATATTTCATAAAGATAAAACTAAGCTGCATGTTTCTTTGGTAACCAAGCAGAAATTGTTACAGATTGACTACAAAGTTCTGTAATAATCACTATATGCTTCTTTTATTTTAATCTTTACAAAATTTTCTTAATAAAAAAAAGACATTAAATTCCCAGAAAGATTGCAAAAGACATCTAGAGCAGTTTTTTGCTAAAAAAAAATGTTTTAGGAGGATGTAATTATCAAGTTGCTTGAAAGATAGTGATAATAGAACAAAACAGCAAATATATTTTTTTATGGATCATAAAGACTGGTGGATCCGTCATTATGGATGATAAGGACTGGTGGATCCCTCATTATGGATGATAAAGATTAGTGGATCCATCATTATTTCCAATCTTCACTGATTAATGGCTCTAGAATGTAAAAAAAAAACAAAAAGAAGCATTGGGATGAAATCAAGAGAAATGAGATAAAAACAAAAAACTAGTGAAAGAATTAATAATGAAAATATTTCATTTAAAGAATTAAAACAATTAAAATCTATTAAGTTTACTTATCTAAATGATTGTTTTTTAATTCGCAACAATGTCATCAGGTGGACCAGATCTAACAAACACATTTAAAGTATACAATCTAGACTGAGTCAACATTAAAATTTATAAGTGGTCAAAATATGCTGTTCCATCTACAAATTATTGAAATTATTCAGTATTTAATACTGTAGCTGTTAAACTTGATGATTTTAAGTAATTCTTGAAGAATTTTCACTTTACTTTTGTAAAAAATGAAAGTAGATCTTAATTTATTCAGCCATGTTAAGGAGTAAGAACCAAGAATTATTATTTTTTTAAACTTTTACTGCATCTTATGGACAGCTTTTATTATTGATTGATTGATTTTGATGATAGAAAAATGGGAATGTTTTCACCTCTGGACACATTTTTATTTTTTTTGGCAAAGACATTATTGCTGTGACACGATAACTAGGCGTCTATTAAGGTTGATTTGTAAAATATGTATTTTATTTTAATAAATTAAGAATAGAAAACGGTTAAGAATAGAAAAATAGTTTAAAAACGTGTTTCGTTTAACAAAAGTACTAAGGGAAAAAGAAAAGGAAAAAATAAATAAATAAACGCTTTTTCTTTTATAAGTAAATTTGTGGAAGAGAAAAGGGCATCAGATTACTGTTAAATCCTACCAGTCTTCCAATAAAATATTTGACTAAGTGATTTGATGTGATAAAAGATAAACGTTTAGGAAATAGATTTTAAATGACCAGGTCAAAAAAACCGTCTTTACTGTATCTCGACAACACATTAAGGAAATAAAGAAAAGATAACAGAATTTTCCCTTTCTCCAGGCAATAAAAAAGAAAAGGGCTATAAAAACATCCGACGGCCTTCACACGAAGATTTGTTAAGATAAAAAGATTTAAAAATCCTGGAAAATACATTGTGGGAGGCTGATTGCAGACAAGATATCCGCAGGATTTTTACACATCAAAGAAAGCAAATTTAAGTACCTTGAAATTTTTAACTTACAGTCGCCAATGCTTATCTTTTGTTTTCACCTGGTGGTCTAGGGACTTCCGATTATTTCAATATAAATACAAGTGATTTCCCGAGCTGAGCAGTTCAGCCGGGCGTGTGCTTGAAGTAGCCACGTGTCAGGCACACTGAAGAAGTGAAACTCCGTTCGTCTGAGTCGGTCGGTTCGGCATTTGATCTCCATTAGTTAGAGTTAGAGCTGAGTGTCACATCGCCTACCCCAACGGCAAGACTAAGTCTGAACGAAATAAAGCTTGATTAAACTCATCTAAGTTGTGGAAGTTCGTTCCTTCAATGGTTTATCTTGTGCCCCAAGCTTGAGACTTCGACTTTTTCAACCAACCCCCGGCAACATCACAGCGTGGAGAACGGCCGCCGGAGAAATTGTACGGAGCTCACAAGGGGTGTTAAATTGCTATATTGTTTTTTTATTTTTAATTTTTTTTTTTATTTTTAATTTTTTTTTTTTTAGAACTATTTGATGCTGTGAAAGGACCCATTCCTAAACAGAAAAACCTTTTCAAAGGCATGAACTTCCTATTAACTTACACAGAGAAGAGCACAGAACAAAAATTGTTGGATAAGAAAATGATTCAAGAATTCTCATCTGAAAGTTCAACAAACATTTCCTACTCAGATATTGGTAAGTGGTACAATTATTTTAGTTATTATTATTGGTGCTTATACTATTTAAATCTAAAAGGTTTTAATTTCCTTGATTTTAACTTTATTGTTCAAATTCTTCACATTTAAAGTTCATTGAGAAAGATTACACAGTTATTTTATGCTAATGTAGCAAAAATTATGTCAAGAACAGTTTGACACAATGTGTTATAATTTAGTTTATATGATGACGATTTTGAAATGATTTAAGTTTTTTATTCTTTTACATTTTAAAAAGGTTTTGCTGGTAGCAAAGTAGGATTGAACAAATATTTGAAAAAATCTATGGAACAAAGAAAAATACACGAGAGAACAATACTTTTATGACAGTGATTAAACAAATCATTTTCAAGGTTGGATTGTCCATAACCTGGGTCCATCACTCACCCAGTGCTGTGGGTAGCAACTATTTTAGAATAGTAGTTCTGGATATAATGCTTATTTTGGAAACTACTGACATTCATCAAACTTTCAAGTTTAGTGAATCTTAATACTTTTTTGACATAAAGACTAGAAGTAAATAAATATCTGGCTGATGAACAGATAAAAAAAGGTGGTGGGGTCAAGTAGTAAAAATTAATTAGGGAAGGGTAGGGAAAAGGTTTTAAAATCTTCCTTTTTATTAATGATGATTACAAAATGTTTATTTAAAAATTTAATTTTTTTTTAAATTCTAGACGAACCTGAAATTCCTTTTGACAAGCAACATTTGCAATCCCAAATTGAAGCAGGTGGAGGAACCATATTTGATTCTTGGTCGGACAAGGTAAATAAATTCTTACGCTATCAAAAACCTTGACTTTCCAATTTAACATTAAGTATTTTTCTTTTTAATTAAAATCTCTTATTTTTGTGTGAGAGTGAAAACAGCTTCTGTCTATATTTCTGAGAAATAAAATCAGTTTATTGGGGATCCAACTTTCAATCATCTTATAAATTTGTAGGGAGGGGAATGTTTTTGCAGTCATTCATAGCTGGATTGGAAGCAACACAACTTTTCCTTTTCCAACTTAAAGTTACAGCTTATTCGATAAATCCTGCTCCATGTTGAGTGCTTCCTGCTCTGATCAAAACAGTATTGATTGTATTCTCCAAAGTTAAATCTAGCCTTTTCTTTTTAATGTTAACAACTCAAATGCAAGCCACAATTCTGTCTATGATCATCTTTTTCAATTTGTTTTCAAAATTGCATGGTTTTGCTGATTTTTCTAGACTCAGCCATGTATTCACTCACATTTTCATTCTCGTGTCTGTTTCTTATGTTAAAATTTGATCTTTCCATCACTTTATTTGGATTCAGATTTAATTGTCCGTCTAGAGAATTTTTCAGATTATTTAATGATGTCATTAAGTTTCATAAGATGCATCATATTTTACAATAGATTATAATTTTTCTGTTTTGGGACTTTTTAGAAAATACGCACACCTTTTGTCATCTGTATTAATGTACATAGCTATGAAATAAAAAAAAATTAATCTTTCATGCCAATGACCAAAGATCATTCTATTTTTAAATCTACCATCAGTTATGGAGTCACCACTTGAGGGTATACTCCAAACTTTTACGTCACTTTTTTCTTTAATGAATTCACTCCAAGCAAGGCAATGATGCCACTAAGACTCAAAAGGCTATTGGGATTGAAAGAGAATGAGAAGACTTTAGAAGGAACTGGAAACCCAACCCTAAACAAGAAACAGAGGATAAACCTCTACTAATGTTCAAAAGGATTGTGAACTGGACAATAGGCGAACCTATCTACTCCTATTGAGGAAAAAATATAAATAAATAAAAATTCAGAGTTTAGGTGGAGACATTAGAAGTATAGAGTTGAAGTAGACTTTAGAAGGAATTAGAAACCCAATCCTAAACCGGAAACAAGGAATAAACCTCTACTGCCCAAAAGGCCAGCAAGGAGTGTGAACTGGACGATAGGCGAACTTATCTACTCCTATTATTGTATAAAGCAAATGAAAATATTCAGGACATTTTTGTCACTTCCAGTGAAAGTCCGGATGATAAACTTTCTCCAGATTTAAGATATTCACTTCAGCCCCACTATAAAAAAAACCATCCTCAGCAAAACATGGCAGTCTGATCAAGAGTCTGTGTTACTGCAATCAATTACTCAAAAGTATGCAAATAAATGTGTAGTTTGGTACTGATAATTTAAATGTGTTATAGCATCAGTTTAAATTCTAAATGTTAAAAAGTAGCAGCTCTGAATTTCCACAATGTTGTAAATTGTTTTGTCTTGATATTACAGTTAATTATCTCCCCTTCTTTAACTGAGTGATAATATACAAGTGTATTAACCATTTGAGGAGAACAGATGTGATATCTTTTGAGAGATATCTTTGTCTTGGGTCTTCTTACATCGATTGTGAACTGGATAATAATTTAAGATTAATATTCAAAGATGATGATAAAAGCAATAACTGTCCTTGTATGACTGGCACACTATTTGATTAAAAAAAAATGTGTGTGTGTGTACATATATTTTGTGCAATTCTCATTAAACTGATAGTCAATAACAAAATATATTTTCTTTTTTACAAATTTTTTTTAAATCATTATTTTATATTTTTACAATTTGTATTTATGAAACATGCATCTAGATTATTATTTTGATTATTTTATGGACAAACTGGGTCCTATAGCCTTGGATGGCAGCCAGTCTAGGAGAAAGAAACTCTGAATTCAAACCAGCCTGCTGCCTTGTAGGTCCTGCCTCTTTAGGCAAAGGTTTAGAAGAAGGTAACTTCAAAAACAAATCCAACTCCAGAGGAGGAATGAGGTAAATTCAATATCTCTGGTGCAAAAGGAACCTGCAGGCCGTTGCATCATTCTGCCTTGAATATTACCATGAACCACAATTGTGAGATGGATGTGAGTGGTGACCACAGTGGTGCAAAATGCACTAACTGAATAAAATGAATGAAAATGATGATTATTTTGTAGTGTTTGTGAAGAAAAACTTTTTAAAAATCTATAAATTAAGACAAAAATAAATATTAGTAAAAATCAAGAATAGATTTTGGATTCTCTTTTTTTTTTTTTTTTGATCAAAGGAACTTATGTTTATCTTGTTTAATACCGTGTTTGTAGTTTCTTTGATTTTTTTTTTTTCGTTTTTTGTATAGTGCAGATTACCATAAAGTTTTCCCCCTTTATCACTGATGACATCCACCATTAAAAGAAAAAAAGTTGCCTATTTCGAAAATTTTTCTCATATGCCTATTAATCATATTAGTTTTTTTTAAATTTTTTTTTTTATTAGTTTATATCCAAGAAAACAAAGAGTTTCATCATCTCTAACAGTTACCAGCGGACAATTAAATATCTTCAAGGTCTTGCTGCTGGAATCCCATGTGTTTCTTATTTATGGATACGTGATTGCTGCAAACAAGTAAGAAAATTTTTTGTTTTTTAATCAATTTAATGATATTCAATGTCATTTGGTAACATTTTCTAAAGTTACTCATTTATTTGAGGCATTTACTAAGCTGTGGTTAGAATGTCTTTTTTTTTCTGAAAGAGTCAAACAGCTTCATTCAGTAGATATGTTTCCAACTGATTTTGGGCCATGCCCTACTTTGCTATTTTTAAAATCCTGGTACCCCCCCCCCCGTAATATCTAATTCTTACATATTCAAAATTTTACTGCAATTCATGTGAAGGAAGCTTAAAAGGCTATTAACTTGGTCTTTAAACAAGCCTCCAAAGACATGGCATCCATTAAAGAGAAAAATTAAAAAAAACAAAAAGACAGTTAAATATATTTAGTTTCAAAACATAATAGAGAGAAAGGCAGAAATATAAAATATTTGAATGAAAGCTTTGTAGCTGTCACACCAAAAAGGACCCGCTGGAACAGGGCAGTCGTCTCTCGGCATCCTTGTCGGCTCCCTCGGCCCCTACTGCCAAAGCCTTCAGACACATTCATTTTATAGACCATGATGAAGCAGCCGATTGGTTGAGTGGGAGAGTTTTACATATGCGTAGGCGCACTTTTCTTTTAATTGCTCTGCAACACCATAAGCATGCAATGCGTGGGCGTTTTCGGGCATGATGTCGCATATTTTGCTCACAACAATCTCAAGCTTATTCTGTAATATACTTTGATCATTTTAATCATGAAATAATAATGCAAAATGAAATTTGAGCTCATGTTGGTATAGTTAGCCGAAGGGTGCTACACATGCCCCACCAAAATATTACCATGCCACACCGGTGGGTCATGCGCCCCACATTGGGAATCATTGTGTCAGGCTGATCTCATGTATTATGATATTATAATTCTAGAACTTACTAACAATGATTATGTTATCATCTGAACAATTACATCTGTGGGAATTTCTTATCTGACTTTTTCCAGAATTTCACAAAATGTTTTATTCATAGACTAGATTAATTAAAGTTCAAATCTTTATCAAAGATAACAGCTTAACAATTTTCTATGAAAACTTAGATATTTCAGTTGAAGTAGCTGAAGTTGGGGATGAGCTACCTTGAACATACGGAAAACATAGGACTGGACCCATCAAGGATACAAGTGAAGCTACTGAGGGAAGACTAAATAGGAAAAGAAAATTATTATTAAGTTAATTTCACTTTTATAAAATAAATTAATCTTGCAAATAGAACATTTCTATCCGCCATAGTCAGAACTGGATTATCCTTCAGGGTAGTACAGATTGCAGCTTAGGGCCCTTAAGCTTTTTATAAAACAATGATTTTAACTTTCTACATGTTATAACTTCTGAATAGTTTTATAAACAAGTCATAATATGACATTAATATTTGATTGTTTTATTGTTATAATGCTGGTTATAAAAAATCTGTTTTTTTTTTGTTGTTTTTTTTACTACGGTTGTGTTGAAAAATGTGCTAATTTGGTTTGCAAGAAATAGTAAAATGGTGATATATCTTAAAGAATATTTTTATTGACAAACAAAAGATAGCTATTCTAGTTTATTTAAAGAATTTGCAATAAGTTTACTTCAAGATATGTAAATGTAACTAAAATATGAGAGGAAAGTGTGGATGAGTTTAATTTTAATTTCCTAGATGTTATAACTTCTAAATAGTTTTATGAACTGAAATCAATATGACAAAATTATATTTATTTGGCTTTGCAGGAAGCAAAGCAAGGAAAGGAATGTTTTAATTTGTGTCTTTGTCTTTCAAGTAGATAACATGTTTGATTTTATTTCAGAATGTTTAAATCTTAGAAATTTTTATAAAGCAATGATATTAATTTTTGAGACGTTATAACTTCTAAATCGTTTCATAAACTGAAATGATATCAATATGACAAACTCATATTTATTTTAATTGTTTTATCGTTATAATGCTTGTTATGAAAAATTGTTTTTTTACTATGGTTGTGTTAAAATATGTTCTAATTTGGTTTGCAATAAATAGTAGAATAGTGATATTTCTTAAAGAATGTTTTTATTGGCAAACAAAAGATAGCTATTCTCATTTATTTAAAGAATTTGCAATAAGTTAGGGGCCCCAAAAAGGTCATAATCTGGTCCTGATCATAGGACTAATTTAATCTTACTACCTCCTATGAATCAAAATCTTTAGTAGTATCATTTTAGATAAGTAGAAATTAATTTTTGGATTGTACTCATGAAAAAAAAACATTACAAATACTGTGTTAGAAAAATATAAACATAATCCTTGTCAAAAATAAAAGAATTGTTTATGAGTGGATTGGCATTTTGGCCTAAAATCAAAATGCTTAGAATCAGATTGTAATAAATATGTTCTCTATGAAAGGTGTTTAATACATTAAGTTTTATATACCCTATGTCAGAGATTCTGTAATGAGAGTCAAAATATCACTTCCTAGCCCTCTGCTAGGGAGAGAATGGATTCACACTTTCTGCTTAAAATCAAAATGTCACTCCCTAGACCTTGGTCTAGAATCAGAGTGTAATATCTGTGTACTCTGTCAAAGGTGTTTAATATATTGAAGTTATATACCCTATGTCAGATTCTTCCATAAGTCAAATTGTTACTCTCTGGTGCTGTTTGGTGGGGAGAATGATTAGCCCTTCAGCCTGAAATCAAAATATCACTCTCTAGTCTTCTGGCTAGAATTGGTGTGTAGTATGTGTGTACTCTATGAAAACTTCCGTGAAAAGTGCTATGTTGTGTTTTATATACACTGTGTTAGATTTTATTATGCAAGTTAAAATTTTCACAATAAAATTGTTATTTTCAGGATGTACTTATCTATATATTAGCAATATATTTTGTGGGTTTCAGCTTATATCTTATAAATGTTGATAATAACTTGTGTGGATGTTGTGTTTTATTTTGTAAAAAATACAAAACAACAAAGTACAGTATAAATTATTTATATATAAACCCCAAAGATGTAGGCCATAGAAACACCATATCTCATATACTTGAATTAATTATTTTATTTTTTACATATTAATATGAGCTCCTATTGCCTTCAGTGTTTCAACCATTGATTTTGTTAACTTTTCTATTGTTTTTACTTATAGCAGATTTTATTGCTTCCTTGAGATCTTTGCTCAAATATTATTATGACATTGTCACAATATTCTATATGGTTAAGTATTTGGCAACCACTGTTATTGTCATTGTCATTAATGTTATTATGACATTGTCACAATATTCTATATGGTTAAGTATTTGGCAACCACTGTTATTGTCATTGTCATTAATGTTATTATGACATTGTCACAATATCCTATATGGTTAAGTATTTGGCAATCACTGTCATTGTTCAGTATTGACCCTAGTTGGTTGTGTCATTACATCAGCTTTTATAACTTTCTTAAGACCACCTGTTTATGCCTTTTACTGAGAATCAAATTCAATATCTGATCTGAAAGCTTCCCTGTACTTTTTCTATAAATAATTTCATGGTAATTGTTCTGATGAACTTTCCTCTATAGTACTTAGACTTTACAAATTTAAACACTGTACTAGATTGGCAGCAAAGTCTTATCATTTTAAAGCTGAAATGGCTACATGTAACCGTAAGCTGTATGTCTATCACATTTCTCGTTTGTGGAACTCTCTTTCGGCCTTTTGCTTCATAGTCAACTTTGATCTTCAAAAATTTAAATACATTGTTAATCATCATCTTCTATTTTCTTAATTCTTATTCTTTTATTGTCCTCTCACCTTAATAGTATATTTTTTCATATTATTTAACATTCAGTAATCCCTTGTGTCTTAGTGGCTTTATTGCCTTTTAAAAGAAGCCCTTGAATTGCTCAATTATTACAACCCCATCTACAAATTAGTATAATGAACAACCATGGAGTGAAAGTTGCCTACTCCACATATTAATGCCAAGACTGCTTGAATATTATAACAAGAGATCATTGATAATTCACTTAAACGTAAATAAATTAACAAGTTCACTTAAATGTTCAGTCATTTAGACAGTGACCATTGAATGAATGACACCATGTCTCTGCATCAATCCCCCAGGCTCCTATTGCTCACTAATGCATTTAAGGCTTATTGAAGTATTGTGTATGAGTTAAGCAAGCTTAAAGAACTGAATCTAACTAAACCAAAATTGGCGAATCATCAGATCCACAATTGTGTTGGACAGACAGACAGATGTGTTTTATTATAATATAAATTGTTATATTTTGTGTTGTAGGGAATATCATCTGATTACAAGGCTTATATGCTTCAAGCTGGAATCAGCCTTAAAAAGAAAAGTTTAATTGAATGGTAAGTTGAACATGTATTTTGAGTGATTTCATTCTTTTGTTACAAAATTAAAATTCTTCCTTTCTTTTTAGCATGATTAAAATCAGTTTCAATTTTCATTTTAGGAAGAAAATTAGTACTAATTTAAAATATTTTTCATTTACTATCATTTAACAATAAAGAGAAATGTAAAAAAAAAAACAGAAGACTAATGCATCCTGGGTAATACGATAAACTACATCTGACAGCAAGGCCTCTGATCAGGAGGTTTTGAGGAGCATGGAACCACCTCCTAATTGCTGGTGTACCCAGGTCCACTCTGGCCCCTGGGTGGTAGCACCTGTTAGGGACCCAGCTATGAGAAAATAGTTAAGCCCCAAAAAGGGGTCAAAATGCTATGAAAGTGTAAAAATAGGTTTTAATACCAGCAATACATTTTTGTAAAAAATTATTACCAGCAATGAATTTTTGAAGGAAAACATTATTACCAGTAATACATTTTTGAAAACAAAATATTACCAGCAGTACATTTTTGGAAAAAAATATTACCAGCAATAAAAATCTTGTCAGTATTAAATAACCCATTGAGGTTAATATGCCGTAAAACAAAACAAACCAATGTCTTCAGTTTCTATCCTGGTCCATGGTAACCAATTGACACCTTCAAGTCCTTCCCAGTTGTCCAAATGTCCAACACCTGCGGCTGATCATTGAGATGATAGTTTTGATCCATACCTTGCTTTATCATTTACCAACTATTGCTTTAATTAATTCTCCTGGTTTTTGAGAATTAAGCTTTTTGAAAAGAGAAATCTTCATTCTTTCTCACAGTCTGTCCATCATAATATTCATTAACCCCTTCTTATCATTTACCAGCATTCTCTTGGTATATCCATCATTCTATTCATTAACACTTCTTTTTATTTGCCAATGCTAAATAGTGTCACACCAAACCAAACCACTAATAATTTTAAACACACTTTATTATTTTGATTTCTGTTTAAACATTTATGCATCATTTCAAATCTTGACAGATGAGCAGTAAATTCATAAAAGTTAAACTATAAATGCATAATTAGAATTGTCTGTAATTTTGATAAGAGTCATTAACAAACTCAGACTTACAGTCAAATCATATTGAAACACTGGTTCCCGTATGATCACCAAAGTTAAACAATGTTGATACTAGTCAGTACCTAGATGGCTGACTGGAAATGCCAGGTGCTGTAAGCTTAGATGTGCAAGTGGTGTAATAGTGGCTTGGAATTGCTAATTAGAGAGTCAAGTTTCAATTCTTTTGGGGTTCGTTATAATCACTTATGTGCAATATCCTTGAGAAACATATGAATCTGCTTCTGTTCCTTCAGCTATGGGTTAATTAATAAGACTTGTATCACTAAATCATTATCTCCAAAAAAAAATTGTTACAGTCTAAAAATATTTTCTAGTTTTAAAAAACCTGCAATGGGTTGATAGAAAATGGGTTGATCAAAAAAATCTGAAAGTCAATATTGTTTAGAAGTCCCCCAACTATAATTTGGGATCACCTGGTTAGTTGATATACCTACCACTGTTGAAATGCATTTGTTTGTTTGGTACAACCATATTTTGCAAGTAAGCAAAGAAGATGTTCAAATGTTCAAACAGTTTTGGGCAGGGATTGTTGGAATAATTGTTGACTTGAATTCTCCTAAGGCATAATTAATAGTCATTTCTATCATTCATGTACAAATATATATTGAAATTCATATTGTTTTAATTGTTTTTGATACTTTTTTGTATTTATTGATCCAAAAATGTATAAGAATAAATGTTTGCATATCCTGTTATGTGTATTGCGGATGTCTTCCATTTTGTAATAGGTAACAAATTCATCTTGAATTCACTACTTTTAGTCATACTGAGTGTTCCACAACTGTGCCCTTTTGCTACTATTAACTAAGATGAGTAACAAGGACTACTGTTAGCAAAAGCTAGTCATGCAGCCCATAGTTAGTCCCATGAGTATGTTATTTCTAGATGAATTTTTGAATTGATTGGGTCTTTCTTATCAAATCATGAAATGAAAGTTGTCTTGAATGGCCACTCTTCTAGATTTTTTGCAATAATACAGTCCCCCTCCTTGGGCTCTATCCTTGAACCTACGTTGTCATCAATGTTATGTCTTCATTGCACTGAATGAAGACAACACAAGCAAGAAATAGTGTGTCGTTTGGAGGAGTTGACCTAGCCTTGCTGAAATAGGTAGTAAGCAGGTAAACTAGATCTCTAATACTCTACTTGTTGACCCCTTCCTACTGACAAATCTTGGTGTCAGCCTATATGTATTTGGATAAGTCCAAGTCTTCTTCTGGAGAGGTGTGTTCATCTCCACAATAATCAATGACCTTCCTGATGGCATAAATTTTCAACTCTGTATCTATGCTACTAACACCAGAATTTTAAATGCTGGTTTTTAAAGTAGACAGGCTCTATAGACTCAGAAGATTGGCACTATACAATCTTCCTAAAAGATTTTGATTATCTTAAAACTTTTTTTTCTTTATAATATGCATATAATAATAATGTTTGGTTAAAATAAGTTCAGGCATTTTTGAGGAAATGCATAAAAATACACACACACACATACACACACATGCAAATGAATAAACTCAATCTTATGTAATAAACCATTCTTCTATGTGCTGTGTCCCTTCATGACATCAGTGATCATGGCTCTCCATAATTTCCTGTGTTTTGTAGCTCTTAAATTTTGTCTTCTACTTATTTCTCATAAACCTTGTTCTGCCATCCATTTACTCAAACGCTCTAGCTAGGTTATATGTTGTTTTCTTCTGTCTCCTCTTGCCTTCAATATGTCCTGTGAGTATCAAATTTTCTAAACCCTCTTTCCTCATTATGCACCCTAGAAATTTCAACTCTTTCTGGTCTTAAGTACAAGTCACCTTTTTGTTTCTATTTTCTCTAGAACTTTGTCATTTCTCACATGTTCAGTCCATGATATTCTCAGCATCCTTCTGTAGAACCACATTTTTGTTGCTTCAAGTCTCTTCTTCATCTATGAGGAGACTGTTCAGCATTTACTGACATATTTGTACAAATATTTTTGTTTTTTTCCCCGTTTTTTTTTAAATATAGGCAGGCATGTATCTGCACAAATTCCTTCCTCTTTATTATCTGTGAATCGGCATGACTTCTTGGGAAAGATAGTGGAGTAGTTTCCCATTCCCTTCTCCATGGTTTGGAATTTAGAGTTTTCCTTCTTTTAGATTGGTTGCCACTTAAGACTAGAGAGCCCAGTTTGCACTGCTTTTTAACTCATAGCTTGACAGGGAGAAGAGATAGGTTCGTGCCCTTACCAAGGGCATTTGTGTGACAGTGAATGCAACAAGTGCACGGTCAGAATTTGGACTTAGCTGACTGATTTCACTTTACATGCTGATAACCACTGAGCTACCAACGTATCCTTTTGTTGTTGTCGTCATCATCAGTCACATGACCAGGTGTGGTTGTAGGGTTACTCCACAGCTGAGCATCTGACCAGTTTTCTGCCCTAGCCATTGACTTCAGTCTAGGAAGTACTCCACCCAGTGATGTTGTATCATCATTGGATTAACTGTATACATAGCTATTTAACCCAGACTTACCCCATTAACCCTGTCAAAAGGTTCATCATCTCTTTGATAGGTCTTGCTTTTAATTTTGCTGGATGCCTAGCTACCCTCCTTGCCAGAAGAGCCTGGTAGGGGAACCACTTTAGTTGCCAATGACCTGACTAAGCAGCAGATAATATTGGGTTACATGGTACCATTGGCACTTGTAGAGAGATCTGACATAATAATGTAACAATAATGTAAGGTACTGCTTGTAAATTAAAAAATGTTTTTTATGTTTTGTCTCCTAAATAATGTTTCCATTGACATTTTTTTTCTTTTGCAGTAAATTAAAACCTCAGTGTCTGGATGATACCCAAGTTCTTGTCTTTTCAACTCATCCAGATTTTGTTAGCACATGGTCAGAAATCCTCACATTGGCAGGATGTAATGTAGTCAAGAAATTCAAAAGATCTAGAGGTCAGTTCATTTATATTTTTTTTTGCTTACCAAGTGTTACATAAATAATCTCCAATGAATTTCTATAGTAAAGCAATGGTATGCTTGCTGTGTGTGTGTGTATATATAATATATATATATATATTTAATGAACTCTCCCGTCGGTTTCGAAGTATGAGGATCTGACAACTTAACCAATTGATTCAGTTATGAATTTTGTACAATAATCTTAAGTGGTACTTAAAACCTGCTAGTGATGTGCAAAGGAGGCTGCATATGGTGCAAGAGTGAGGATTGTGGAATGAGGTCACTATTAGATTGGCTGACCTTTTAGATCATGCTCTTGCTTTTTGAAGATGATTCAGACTAGCGGATTGAAAACTGCTGAATCCACTCAAGCATGTTGATCTCCACTCTACCCGTTCCAAGGCTAAGCACTTTAGAGTGTTATGAGGTATATTGACAGCTGGCAAGTTACTCTTCAGCTTGTCTTTGTATCTAAGCCATGGGCGTCCTACATTCCTGTAGCCCTGATCTAACTGGTTGTACATTAGGATCTTGGGTTTCCTGTCATCATACATTCTCAAGGCATGACCAGTCAACTGCAACTGAGACTGTATGAGGAAAGTCTCGATTCCTCCAATATTACATTACTTAATTTTAACTTTAAATATCAATTTTGTTGTTTTCCCCAACTTCGAAGTTTCTTGGTAATCCTCCATCAAGGAGTTCTGTTTTTAAAAAACAAAGTCCCTTGAAGAATGGATTACCAAGAAACTTTGAAGTTGGGGAAAATAAAAAATTGATATTTAAAGTTAAGTAATCTTAATGCTCTATTTTTAATATTATTTTAATATCAAGCACTAAAAAAAAAAGAATAAAATATCTGCTGTTTCTTAAATCTTGTGTGTGTAATGATAACAGTGAATGAAAATTTTGATGGATTCGTTTAATAAATCTTACTTTTTTATACCAAAGGTTACATGAATAATCTGTAATGAATTCCTATAGTAAAGCATAAATGACATAAAGAGAGCCAAACTCCTTGGGAGTGATCCCTTGCCTGATAAGGGAAGACATGATCGATAGGTGTCACATGACTGCCATCCAATATAATTCTCGGGACATGGAGTGTTAAACCACTGTGGACAGTAAATGCACAGGTTAAATATCAATATTTTAGCCATATGCAAATGTCAGTGGGCAAACAATGGAGGTTTTGTCAGTGACAAATACAGGATCACATATGCAGATGGAGAGGAAAATAGACCAAGACATGGAGTAATTTGTTCTGGGATACTGTCAACTATCGTATAGAATTCTTGTCCTTAAACTGAAAGGAAAGCCTTTCAGTATATCCATCATAGTTGTGTACATATTGACAGCACAAAGTACAGAAGAAGAAATTGAAATCTTCTACTCTACGCTAGACAATGCCAAAGCTTTTTGCAAATCACAGTAACATTTTTTTTTCTGTCCCTTGGATCTACAGTATTTGGACTCTCGAATTGTTTGCTTTTTATTTTGAACCTGAGCTACCACACCAAATTTCCTACAGTATGTAATAATTACAATGAATGAAAGTTTTGATGGATTTATTTAATAAATCTTATCCAAGAATATCATTTTCTATGAAAAATTACTTATTTAAAGTAATTTTTCATAGAAAATGATATTCTTAAAACTTTTTAACTTTATCTTTGTAGAGTTAGCCATTTTTTCACCAGTATTTAATTTCTGTTTTTTGTTCTTTGTCTTTTCTGTTTCAGACCAGAGCCGTGATGTTGATATTGTGGTTACAGACAAAACTTGTAGTGTTCATATCAGAAATCAAGCTGAAACTTATAACACTCCCCTCTTGTCCACAGAATGGGTGATACAGTGTTTGATTCATGGCCAAAAACTCTGTTACACAGGTCATGAGAAATACAAATTTGACTATGAGGAATAAAAATGAAGTAAAGTTTTGGGGCAGGGTCGGGGGACCATTTAGGATGCTCTTTCTTGTAGAATTGTTCTTTTATCACTCGGTTATTTTTTTTTTTATTAATTTATATTTTTTCTCAACCTCATTTGCAGTCTTTTTTATTTCTTCATTTTTCCTTATTTTTTTTCTTCCATTTCTATTTTTCAATTCATTTTCTCTTCTTTGTTCATCACTTCATTTTTTTGCTTTTCTCTGACTTTTTTTTTTTTTTTTTGCACTCCTGGTAAACTGTAAATTTCCCCTGTCATTATTTGACCTCATAAGTTGAAAAAAAAAAAAAGCCTTTTTTTTTTTATTTTACCATTTTCAGTTGCAAAACCAGAATTTTATAGAAAAGCAGTTGTCTTCATTTCGAATTTTCAAAGAAGATTCCTCAAATTATGTTTATATCATTGAAAATCATTTATTTAATCCACCATTTTTATATTCAAATCAAACTGGCCTTTTAAACGTATCGTGAATGTTTTTTAACTACCGAAGAAAAAATGATTTTAATTGAATGTACAGAAAAAAATGAAAAATTTCCTTATATATTAAAATGTTATATGGATTGTGAGTCTATTCTCTATTTGAAATTTGCAGCCTTTTCTTCTGTAAATAATTGCAGACATTAGCATCGGTACCTTCAAAGAAAATGCAATTACTAAGGTTTGAAATGAATTTTTGAAAATAATCTTTCTTGAAGCTTTAAAATTTTAATTTCTAACTAATAGATTAAATTTAATATTTCCAATAAGAAAAATACCTTGCTGAATTTTAAAAAAACATTAACCTTTAAATTTACTGGAAGGAGTTTCTTTTTTGTTTTTTCACTCTCCTTTTGAACAGGAGTAGAGGTTTATCCTTTGTTTCCTGTTTAGAATTGGATTTCCAGTTTCTTCTAAAGTAGGTACCTTCAAAAAAAGCGATACCTAATATTTAAAATTAATTTTTAAAAATGAAAAACTTTCTTGAAGCTTTTATTTTAGTTTTAATTCAATGCTAATAGATTAAATTTAATATTTCCAATAAGCAAAATACTTTGCTGTATTTGAAAAACTAATTTAAATTGACTGGAAGGATTTTTTTTTTTTTGCTAAAATAGCTGATTAGCGCCAATTTTTAGTCGTCTTTCAATGCAATTTAATTCTATTTATTAAAAAAATCTTCCACAAATGTATTTTCTGAAACTTTATTTGAGGAATATTGGCTGAATTAAAGTATAATTAATCTGATTTGAAATAAATATTATTTACTTCAAGTTTAAAATATCGCAGAAATGCATTTTTTTAACACGATAGCTGTTTATTTAAGCTGTTGGTATGTTTGACAGATTAATGTTTATCTAATGTTGTTCTGTGGAGGCTTTAGCCATAAAAAATAATTGAATATAACGTGAGCGCCTTTTATATATAATTTTTAAGTAACAGTAATCTTAAAAATTTAAGAAAATATTCTCCTTAATTTAATGTTTTATTGAATATTAGATACTTTCTGGTTTTAAATTTACTATATTTATCGATTTTATTTTCTGATAATATTGTGTATGGCTGTCCATATCTACAAATATTGGTATGTTTACACACATACAAAAACTTTAAAAATTCTTTTAAAAATATTAGTGTTTGATGATTTGTACTAAGTTTTTCCATTTATGATTATTAGTAAATATAGTTTTTACTTAATAATATCGTCTAAAAGGGTGAAATATAGAATTTTATGATTTAAAACTTAAATTATTCTAATTAAAATTAAAAAAATGGAAACAATTCTTGTAAAAATACATTATTCATTGAAATTTTTTTTTTCTTAAGACAATAATATATGTCCTTAATATATCTTATTTATAAAAGCAATTAAAAGCTTTTCTAATTAAATAATGTCATAGTTTTATTGCATTTTTATTTTATGATTCAGAGCAGATCTTCAGTAAATAGTGTTTCTGTTTGACAAAAAACAAATTGATGATTTAAATTCTCCAAGGAGTCCTGCTTTTAACTAATGTAAATATGAAGAGGATGGAATTTTAATTTCTTGAAATTTCACAAAATTAAGTCGGGGCAACAGATGTAAAAAAAAATATTTTTATCAAGTTTTTCTGAAAAAAAAAAAAAACAAATAATTGTATTCATTTTGGGAATAAGTTCCAAAAATTTAATTAAAATCCAACATTTATTTGATTTTTGCAAGAATTTCTGTGGGCTTTTTAAAAGACAATAAATTTCCCACACTAATCTTTGCCCGACCAGCTCATACAAGAAAAACAAGATTTTTAGCCAAAATTTCAAATGTGCTAGAAATTATTAAAAAATTTAATAAAATAATAAAAAAATACTTTGGTCTTTCCTGTTAATAATAACATAAGCATTTTGATGATAAAACTTTGTTTTTATCATGTTTTTTGCTCTTTTTTAGCAAAGTTTTGGAGATACCTACAATAGCATAAGTTAATGTGAGATGTAAAGGTCATATTTAACCTCTCCACCTTTGCTACACTCCACTTAATTCATCCAGTGACCCCAGCTGAAGATTATAGGTCTCCCTATCACCCAGTCCATACTCCTCCCCTTCTCTTGAACAGGAGTAGAAGTTCATTCTTTGTTCCCTGTTTAGGAAGGGTTTTCTGGTTCCTTTTTTTCTTCTAAGGCCTTAATAATGGTGATAAGAGTGGATGGTGATGATGTCTCTTTGTGCTGAAGGTATCGGGTTGGCAGGCATCCTGACTGGTAGTTAGCCTGACCTCTTGGGTAGTGTCTAGAGAGGCTGCTCTGGTCAACAGTCCCATAATATAGGGATTCTTGCAGTGTCATGTCGTGCATGGAAAGGTGTCCCTGCAAGCGCTTCTGGTGGGCAATCCCAAAGCAACCCTATGCTGCAGTGTGCACCAATTCCCAGCCATCATATATTACCTTAGACAAATGACAGCTACTATTATTCTTGGCCTTTTCCGTAATCTAAATAACATGCAATGACAATAAGCAATCAACAAACTAAAATGAAGCTAGCCCAACAAAAAACACCTAAACCTTTTAACCTTTCTTTCTCCGACATTCATAGCATTCAGACTAATTTCTGCAGTGTGGAATCATTCCTCTTGGAACACTCTCCAGATATCCACTCTCTCTGAAATTAATTTTAATTCTTTCTTAATTCTTCAATCTTCTTGGTTCCTGACTATCTTTTTCTCTTTAGGTAGGACTTTAGCATCCACTTGCATGGCCTTGCTTTTGATGTTTGAGAATATCTCCCACTTTTTTTATGGAACTCTCTCTTGAGTCTCCAAACCATTCTTACATGTGTCTCTGTCTTTCTCGACTAAACTCAGTCAGTTATCTCTTCTTTCTCTATTGTTTCCCTTCCTCTTGTGACTGTTGCGTGCTAGACAGTATTTTTGATAAGGCCCTCTCTCTTTCTACAACTGCTTGTAAATATCTTTGTCTTTGGCAACTTCAATACATATATTGGATGTTCTTGTGAATAATAGTAATATATAAAGTAAAAATCTAGTAATAATATATTCACTACTTTGTTATACAAAAAACCCCAAAGTAAAAACTCTTGCCACCTTAATTTTACTCATCAATGTCAACTTAGATATAAAATAGGCATTATAAAAATTTCCTCATGAGAGCGTATGAGAATTCATCTTTTTGTCCGTTTTTCTTGAAAGAACTTTACAATGTGAAATGCTAGTTTCCAAATCAGCCGATAGATCACCATATTAGATTTTTTCTTTCTAAGGTAACCAATAGCAAAACTGAACATACAGATAATAGCATTAACATTCTCTATAAAAATCAAATGCATGGTAACTATAAGCAGGGTGAATCTTCCTTTAGAAATATTATAAAGAAATATACAACTTCAGTCAACAAAAACAAGAAAATTAAATTAATTATCTACTATAAATAATTTTAAACTGCTAACCTTATTGTCAACAACAATAACTCAACTGCAAGATTTAAATTACAGAGAACTAATATTATTTATGAATTAACGTGTTCCTTAAGGAAGTTTGTTCTTGACCAAATTCATAAATAATTATATTGTGTATACTACAACATGCCTAACAAGAAGACTTGTGTTACATCTCTCTGACCATAGCTCAATTAGGTTTCATTTAACTACACAGAGAAATCTACCAAACTCCATCCGCAACATTGTTGTTAACAATACAAATATCAGTACATGTAAAAATAAAAAAAAAGCTAAAAATAATCGAAGCATTATTAATAAAAAAAGAAAAGGCTAACACTCAATAATATCAACTATGAACATGGCCACAATGTGCTGGCTATTCTTGGAAAATTAAACATACATTCAGTTAAAAGTAAAAATACAATCATTCTTGATAATGGCTAAAAGTATAACCAAAAGTGCTTGGACATACAGAATATTCAGACAATTTCTACATAATTTATGTCCAGTAAAGAAAAAAAATTTAACACAAAAAAAAAAATTTAATAAAATCTTCTTGTCAGTTGTTTTTAATGAAACTTGTATAAAAGAGGGATTGCTGCCCAAATACACACACACACACATATACACAAATATATATACACATACACACATGTAGACACACATAAATACACATATACCCACATATATATATGCACACAAACACATATAGATAGATAGACACACACACATATATATAAAAAGTGGACATTGAAGTCAATACCCAGTGGCAAAAGTTTGTTTCATGTTTAAATGTAATTGTCAAGCACTTTAACCAATAAATATAACATACCTTATAACTATATTTTTATCATAAAATATATATATAAGGAAGTCATTGATTTATTTTGAAGGCAACATTTTTATTACTTCAGATGTTATTTTATTGGATGCCCATGTTTGAATAGATGTGCTGTTTTTTTTATTTTAGACATTGTGAGTGTGTTGCATCAATTGGCCTGAGCACTTGAGAAAACTTTAAAAAAATATGCTCTCTGGCTGGCATGCACACAAACATATATTAATAT